GGTGTTCCTCTTGGCTGCAAAGGGATAAGACAATACTGTTACATAAATAACAAATTGAACCATAAAATTCCCAATTAAAAAAATGTTAAAAACAAAAAAACGAAAGTGGAAGGGTATTACCTGGAGGTGCCCCCGAGGCACCAGTACAGTCAGTCGATGTGGTGTCGGTGGTGGTAGCGGGCCGGTGTCGCCGCCTAGCGCTAAGAGGCTGCACCACCGAAGAAGATGATGATGCAGCCGCCTGGGATCCCCCAGGACCAGCTAGCACGTGGTCCTGCTCCATCAGTGCTAGAGCAGTGACAGCTGATACCGGCTGAGCCGGGGGCTCCGAACTCGGTGTAGTCGTCACCGCCTTACGACGTCTAATCAAGTTTGACATCTGCACAATTTCATTAATCAAATGTAGCACATACAATGTTATTAAAAAATTGAACTAACTAATTAAAATCATAGTTTGACCTAGGGTTTGCGATTTCGGAGTATCCGGGACTCCGATCCACGATCCGTCGAATCCTAAACAATCCTATAAATACATGGTACCACATACGTGAGTTTCAGCTCGATCCAACGGTCCAAACATATCAAACCCGAAAATCGCACAATAGGTTCGAACCGTTCGAGACTCAAACGATAACCAAATTCCAATCCGAACACACCTACACGCTCATGACAACGAAATGTTTGCACTGGGACAAAAAGCCCTATGCCACAGTACCCCACGCGCCACCACACGCGCCGGCAGCGCGTGGGTGCCCTAAGCGATAACAATCATCGGGAAATCCTAAAAATAAAGGGCCAAGGTTCCTACCCTAGGTTCAAAACATCAATTGGAGGCACTTTTGTTCTCGGACCTACCCCGAAAAACGGCCAGAAGTGGCCGGAATTTCAATTTCAAAACCGGCCGAAACCTAGGGTTTCAAATTCACTACCCTATGCACACAATCAATCAAATCCTACCCAACCATCAGCTAAAGCATCAAAAATAGTCCAGAAAGCATACCTCAATTGCCGGATTTGGTGCCCGGAGAAGAGAGAACAACGGCGGTGAAGATTCGGCCTAAACGGAGGAAATCACAGCGGCAGGATGGACGGCGACGGCGGAGAAGCTCCAGGGTTCGACAGTTGTGGCGACAGGGTCTGAATTGGGGCGGAGTAGGGGCTGAGGTCACGGCGGAGAGAGAGGGAGGTTTTAGGGTTCCGTTTGAGAAACTAGGGAAGAAGGAGAAGATCGCGATTTTCAGAAAACTTATTTAACTTTGCGCGACGAATAACCAAACCCGTCGCGCAAAATTCATTAAAATAACTTTTGCGCAACGCAAAAATGACTTCCTGTCGCGCAAGGTTCTGAAAATATGACCTTTGCGCGACCTAAAAACATACTTTCGTCGCGTAAAGTAGTGAAAATATCACCTTTGCGCGACGAAAAAACTAGTGTCGTCGCGCAAGTTTGTCCAGCTGCCCAAATTTTGGGATTTGATTTTGCGCGGGGAAGAGAAATGAAATGATATTGAGCGACGAAGAGACCGAAGTTCGTCGCGCAATCTAGCTTTTGCCAAAAAAAATTTCGCCAAGTGTTGGAGAGAAGGGCTGCAATTTTTTCATTTTGCACGACGAAGGCACTTGCTTTCGTCGCGTAATCTAGCTTTTGCCAAAAATAAATTTCGCTAAGTGTTGGAGCGGAGAAGGGCTGTAATTTTTTTTCATCATTTTGCGCGACAAAGGCACTTGCGTTCGTCGCGCAATCTAACTTTTGCCAAAAAAAATTTCGCCAAGTGTTGGAGAGAAGGGTTGCAATTTTTTCATTTTGCGCGACGAAGGCACTTGCTTTCAACGAAGGCATCACATCTAGAATCGTGCCCACCAATGTGTCTGATACGACTAACTGTTTTCCCGAAGGGAGCAAAATCCAACCGGTTAAGCTGGTCCAATATCTCATCACCAGACCATTCTCTGGGTCTAAGGCGATGCTCTGTGTTCCCGTCGAACTCTTTATCTTTTTCCCTCCACTCATGGTCCCATGGCAACCATCTTCGATGACCAAGGTAACAAACTTTTCCAGCGTGCCAACCAGAAGTTACATCTTCCTTGCATACAGGACATGCCATATAACCTTTTGTGCTCCACCCAGAAACTATTGCATATGCTGGGAAATCATTCACAGTCCACATAACTGCTGCCCGCAAAGTGAACATCTTCCCAGTTGATTTATCGTACTTACGAACACCGTTTGTCCATAAATCCTTCAGCTCATCAACCAGCGGCCTTAAGTAAACATCGATTGACCTCCCAGGATCCTCAGTTATCAAAACAGTCATCATCATGTATTCTTTTTTCATGCATTTCCAAGGCGGCAAATTATATGGGAATACGAAAATTGGCCAAGTGCTGTGCTGTTGGTTTAGAACCCCATACGGATTGAATCCGTCAATGGCAAGTCTCAATCTAACATTTCGGGGATCAGCAGCAAACTTGGGGAACGTTCGATCGAACTCTTTCCATGCCTCTCCATCTGCAGGATGCCGCATGACATCATCGTTTACCCGTTTTTCCTTATGCCATCTCATGTCTGTGGCAGTATGCGTCGACATATACAATCGCTGCAACCTAGGTTTTAGGGGCAAATAACGCATGACTTTTTGTGGGATCTTAGTCGTCCTATTCTGAGATGTCATCTTGAACCTCGACTCATTGCATATAGGACATGTATCCAACGATTCATGCTCTTTGTAGAATAACATGCAATTGTTTTTGCAAGCATGGATTTTTTCATAACCCAATCCAAGACCATTCAACACCTTCTGCGCCTGTTTATGGTCTTTCGGCAAACAATTGTCCGTCGGAAGCATTCTCTTGAAAACCCCCAAAAAGTAATCGAAACACAGGTTCGACATACGATACTTTATTTTTCCGTGCATTAGCTCCACAATGGCCGTGAACGGAAAAGCTCTCGCACCCCGGGTATAACTCTTGGTTGGCATTTTTTAACAATTTTTCATATTGTTCAAACTTCGCACTGTCTATTGGTGTAGGCACATCATCTTGCTCTTCTTGATTCATGTTGGTCGATGCAAATGGAAAAACATCTTGTATAATATCCATGACTTGATCATTAGCATCCACAATAGGTTGAACATTGTCCACTCTTGTGGCATTTGAAGACGAAGCATGCTCTAATTGTTCCCCGTGAAGGTTCCAAATGCTATATGTCTCAATCATTCCATTCCTTACTAAATGAAATCCAACATTTTCAATTGTCTCCCATAACGTGTTGTTGCACCTCCTACAAGGACAACGGATTCTAGTTGCACCCGGTTTGTGTCTACGTGCAAACTCAATAAAATCCTTGATTCCATCCAAGTATTCGTCTGCACATCTGTTCGGGTTCTGTATCCACCTTCTGTCCATAATTCCTGAAACCAGAATCACAACACAACAATCACAACAACTTCATACGAAGTTATAATGTCACCTTATGCCTCCGGTAAGGGTCCTATCCCATTCGGGAATGCATACTCCTGCCACGTAACCTACGACTACATGAGATTAGATTTCGACGTGGATGAATTTCGCCAGCATCTCGCTACAGTTCTTGAGGTGGCCATAGGTATAAATACCTACGTACCACCCGAAGAACGTACCGAGATGACATCGAAATATCCACAATCGAAACCTAATCCTGTAACCATAGATTACGTGACAACACTATGCATTACCAAACTGTCCAAATAATGGGACAATTCAAGAATTAATTGGACCGCAGTCATGCATTACGCATCCATGCACGAAATCCAACTAATCTCGAACGGGAAACTAAGTGTTACTAAACATAAAAATAAAAACACGAAGTTAATTTCAATTAACTTCGTACATCACAACAGATTGTGCTACGTTACACACAATTTAACAACATAATATAAATATAACTTCACAAGAAAATTTTAAACATAACAAATTAACATTATTAATATATAAAACGAATAAAATACCTTCTCCATCGTTCTCCACCAATCGCTAATTACAAATATCCCTAACGAAAACAAAATAAAAAACCTTAGTACGAACTTAAATTAATACTTTTAAACTAATGACGAAAAATACTTACCCAATCAATGTATTGAAGTCCCAGCAGCGGCAGAGAGGTTGAGAGAGAGGCAGAGGCAGAATGCTTTGTTTTTGCATTCTGCCTCTGCAATGGCAGAATTCTAATATGAAGAAGAAGGACTTTGCTTGACGAATATATAAGTTCGTCGCGCAAACTTCCGTTGCAAAAAACCAAATCGTCCGTCGCACAAACCCTTTTTTTCGTCGCGTAATCACCTGCCGACATCTAACTTTTGCGCGACGCTGGTATTTTCCGTCGCGCAACCTTTCGTCGTGCAAAAACAAAATTCCGTCGCGCAAAACAATATATTCGTCACGCAAACTTGGAACTTTACGCGACGAACAGTACGTACGTCGCGCAAACAAAAATATCTCAACCAGGTAATTTTTGCGCCAAAAATAAAATATCCCTCTTTCTCTTACGCAACGAACAATCTTCCCGTCGCACTAAGCTGTCTTGTGTGACGAAGAATTTCGTCGCACAAGTTTTTACCGCCAAATAAGGGGACCCACTGGGTTCTGTCCGTTTTTGCGCGACGAATTAATGTACCGTCGCGCAAGATTGTCTTAAGCGACAATATGTCTCGTCGCGCAAATGTTTCGCGCCAAAAAAAGTCCCCCCACTTTTTTTAACTCTGTTTGCGCGATGACGATTTTTTTGGTCGCGCAAAGACATTTCGTGCGACGAAAAATTTGGTCACGCAAATTTTCAGTGGATTGCGCGACGAATATTTTCTTTCGTCGCGCCAGTATGTTTTGCGTGACGAATTATGCTTCGTCGCGCAATCTTTCATCGCGCAAATGGTGAAACGTAGTAGTGGAGGCAAGTGAAAGACCAACCACTGCTGCATAGGGTTTTTGCGATTTAAGGGGTTTTTGCGATTTAAGGGGTTTTTCCTATGGAAGATGGTTTTGCTTTTCAGATGCAAAGGGTGCCTATCCTTACCCTGTATTTATGTTTGGCTGAGAACAAGCAGGGTAATAAGGTCTCTTACCGTATTATCTCCGTGCGTTTGATGGATGTGATGCATGCAGAGATCGTAAAACCCGAATTCCAAGTAGTGGGTTATAAATCTGGCGAAGGGCTTCCTCTTGGTATGGGTTTCGGTATTTTCCGATCCAACATTATTTTGGCCGGCGGCCTTGAAGCCGTGTACGACGGCTACACAAATTTCCCACCAAATCCAAGGAAGGATGTGTATCAGTTTGACGATAACAGTACCTACACCATTCCCTTCCTCCAACAAGGGAAGTCTTGTCCTTTCCTGGCACAGCATAATGGCAAATTGTATGTTCTCTCAACTTTCTCTTTAAAGTTTTCTGCTGGCCATCACTTTACTCCCTCTTTTGAAATGTTTGATCCAAAAGAGGGCAAATGGGCCAGTCTGCCTGAACCCCCACCTTTCACCCGCGACTACCTTAAACATGATCCTTTTACTGCTCATGCAGTTGTAGGCTCTAACATATTTGTCTCATCTATCTTTACTCCCATATTCTGTTTTAACATGGATGATCCCAATCAAGAATGGAAAGAACACGAATTTAACATGGATAGTCAAGAATGGGACTGCCAAGGCTTGCCCATGGATTTTAATGGTCAAGCTTTAGCAGTGGAAACTAAGGATGGAGATTGGGTGATTTTAAGCTGTACGCCACAAAGTGATCCTATTGAAGCTGGCGACGACATTGATGAAGATGACCACGATGAGTACGACCAGGACAACTTTGATTTGGAGGAGCATCATTATCATCGTGCTCGTCCTTCTCGTGACTATGAATGGTGGGGTATGTCTATACATGGGTATCTGATGTCAAAAGACTGTAAATCATTGAAACTAATGAAAGATTTGAAGGTGCCGGAGGGTATCTTACCTCGTAATCGTCAACGTGTGCGTGGAATGGAATTTAAGTTGGTTCATTTAGGGGAGCAAAAAGTATGTCTTGTTATGTGCGTAGACTATGGGCATGAGCCCAAGGATTTAGAGATTCATGTTATTGGTTTCGAATTTCAACTTCTACCGAGTAGAGATGCCTTACACTTCACAATGCTCAATGATGTTTCTCAATTTACATATCATGGCGATGAGTCATTAGAACCTAGCACCACCGGAATATACATTCACAGTGCCTTTTTCCTGTAAGTTTATTTAATTTTGTTTACTTGTATCATTGAAATGCCCAACTATTTAGATTTTGACCATTAATTCTGAGTTCTTCTATCATCACATGTTTAGATCTGATTGAGTAAGAGGATGTTGGTGAGGATGATGCTGGAGATTGAGGTTAGTGTCATTTAATTGTATATGCTTATTAAATTTACATGTGCTATCAAAGCCGATCATAATACAACTAAAAACCGATTATTTAGTGAATCTAAAATTAACGACTATAAGACCATGGCATGCTTTTAGATATTCGTTTCATTTTTCATGTTAATGTTTCGTTGACATAAGTAATTAGGGCCTTTTTTTAGTATGAGTCTGGATCATTAGTCCCTATATTTCTACCAACAATAGTGGCAAACTTCATGTTCTTGAGTAGTTGTTATGTTGTGGCAAGGCTTTTAAATGAGAATCAAATCAACCACCGAAGAACACATGTTTGAAGACCTGTGACAATGAATAAAATGAGGATCATATTTTATCCAAATAAGAGAAGAAAAAAAAGGGTTTGGGTTAACAATTCTGCTATCATGTAGGGCAAATGTTGATATGTGCTTAGTTAATTTATATTATTGGTCTTGGAACATTTGATACTGTTTACAATCCATTTTTTTTTTTTTTTTTTTTTTTTTTTTTTCTTGGGACTATTGGGTTGAGTTTCTTTTGAATTGTTTTCAGGTGCAGCAGTATAGCATGAAGAAGAAATTGATTCTCTATGTACAAGTTGGTTGTTGGTCCTGCTGTTCGTCGGTTTCTCTCATATTTTGTAACCATGTTAAATTCTCAGCTTAGTACTTTATCCTACCTAGAATGTTTCAGATCCATAAAAGCAATGTTTGTTTATGGAACTGAGAATTTTCAACTTCTACCGAGTGGACATGCCTTACACTTCACAATGCTCAATCATGTTTCTCAGTTTACATATCATGCCGATGGGCCATTCGAACCTAGCACCATTGGAGTATACATTCATGGTGCCTTTTGCTATAAGTTTCTGTAATTTTGTTTAGTAGTATCATTGAAATGCCCGACTATTTAGATTTTGACTATTAATTCTGAATTCTTTTATCATTAGGGTTTAGGGTTACTTTCTTATCGACCTCTAAAGTGTGTTCAAGTATATGGCACTGAGTTACTTTCTTATTGACCTCAAAAGTGTTCAAGTGCACATCAATTCTCAAACTTATACCCGATTTATATTTTGGTTCCTAAACTAAATTATTCGTTCAAATGGTCCACCAACTCTTTATTAATTAAAAACTATAAAAGAATAAAAAACAACAAAAAGTAAACCCAAAAAAATGGGTAAATTACTGAAATAGTCCTCAAACTTGTACTCGATTTACATTTTGGTCCCTAAATTAAATTATTAGTCCAAATGGTACATAAACTCTATTTTAATCGCTCATTTGATCCATATTGTCGTGAACGGGATGACATAAGGATTATTTTAGGACCAAGAGAGACACCAAAACAATGCCCACGCGCCGGCAACACGTGGGTGTTCAAAGTGATTTCGGCGATCCAAAAATCTCCAAACCGCTAGTCAAGACTTATACCTACATGATCAGGACATTAAGTCAGGCACTTCTGAGTACGAGAAATTGGATTAACTATGTTGTACAAGGCGGTCCTCAATCTCCCTTGTTTACCATCAGACTATTTTACATTAAGGAATCACCCCAACTACATTATTGTGCCAACTCATCTTAATCACTACCCCGTTGGTTACACGCCAAGTTCGTTGGACTTTCTAAAATACAACCGTAACATTGACGTACATCCGGTATAAATGACAAATCATATAAATATGTTTTTTTCCTTTAGTTTTAATTTAGTTTCACTTTTTTAATGTTTATTGTGCGTACTTTTAGATCTCAAGATGGACTATCGCTCAAACATATTTGGCAATAAATGATTTGGTGCCAAATTTTTTGCCATGTTTGTTCGAGGTGCTTGCCTCACAAAGTTAAATTTATATGTTGAAGGTATATAATATATATATATATAGATTTATCTATTTCTTAAGCAGGTTCTCTCTTAAAGTGTGTGGTAAATGTAGCTATGTGCTTAGTTAATTTACATCCTTTAATTCTGAGTTCTTCTATCATCACATGTGTAGATCTGATTGACTAAGAGAGCGAGCAATCCTCGTTTTGTGTTATTGTTTCATAGGTGACGCAAACTCATGTCATAGTCATGTATGAGAACATGTTTTCCTATTTGATTTGGCTTGGAACTATTACTAATAGTATAATAATCATTTAATTATGAGTTCTTCTATCATCACATGTGTAGATCTGATTGACTAAGAGAGTGAGCAATCATCGTTTCGTGTTATTGTTTCATAGGTGACGCAAAGTTCGTTGAACTTCCTAAAATACAACCGTAACATTGACGCACATCCGGTATAAATGGCAAATCATATAAATATGTTTTTTCCTTTAGTTTTAATTTAGTTTCACTTTTTTAACGTTTATTGTGCGTACTTATAGATCTCAAGATGGACTATCGCTCAAATAGATTTGGCAATAAATGATTTGGTGCCAAATTTTTTGCCATGTTTGTTCGAGGTACTTGCCTCACAAAGTTTATATTGTTGAAGGTATATAATATATATAGGTTTATCTATTTCTTAAGCAGGTTATCTCTTAAAGTGTATGGTAAATGTAGTTATGTGCTTAGTTAATTTACATCCTTTAATTCTGAGTTCTTCTATCATCACATGTGTAGATCTGATTGACTAAGAGAGCGAGCAATCATCGTTTTGTGTTATTGTTTAATAGGTGACGCAAACTCATGTCATAATCATGTATGAGAACATGTTTTCCTATTTGATTTGGCTTGGAACTATTACTAATAGTATAATAATAATTTAATTATGAGTTCTTCTATCATCACATGTGTATATCTGATTGACTAAGAGAGCGAGCAATCATCGTCTTGTGTTATTGTTTCATAGGTGACGCAAAGTTCGTTGGACTTCCTAAAATACAACCGTAACATTGACGTACATCCGGTATAAATGGCAAATCATATAAATATGTTTTTTTCCTTTAGTTTTAATTTAGTTTCACTTTTTTAATGTTTATTGTGCGTACTTATTGATCTCAAGATGGACTATCGCTCAAATAGATTTGGCAATAAATGATTTGGTGCCAAATTTTTTGCTATGTTTGTTCGAGGTGCTTGCCTCACAAAGTTTATATTGTTAAAGGTATATAATATATATATAGGTTTACATATTTCTTAAGCAGGTTTTTTCTTAAAGTGTATGGTAAATGTAGCTATGTGCTTAGTTAATTTACATCCTTTAATTATGAGTTCTTCTATCATCACATGTGTAGATCTGATTGACTAAGAGAGCGAGTAATCATCGTTTTGTGTTATTGTTTCATAGGTGACGCAAACTCATGTCATAATCATGTATAAGAACATGTTTTCCTATTTGATTTGGCTTGGAACTATTACTAATAGTATAATAATCATTTAATTATGAGTTCTTCTATCATCACATGTGTAGATCTGATTGACTAAGAGAGCGAGCAATCATCGTCTTGTGTTATTGTTTCATAGGTGACGCAAAGTTCGTTGGACTTCCTAAAATACAACCGTAACATTGACGCACATCCAGTATAAATGGCAAATCATATAAATATGTTTTTTCCTTTAGTTTTAATTTAGTTTCACTTTTTTAATGTTTATTGTGCGTACTTATAGATCTCAAGATGGACTATCGCTCAAATAGATTTGGCAATAAATGATTTGGTGCCAAATTTTTTGCTATGTTTGTTCGAGGTGCTTGCCTCACAAAGTTTATATTGTTAAAGGTATATAATATATATATAGGTTTACATATTTCTTAAGCAGGTTTTTTCTTAAAGTGTATGGTAAATGTAGCTATGTGCTTAGTTAATTTACATCCTTTAATTATGAGTTCTTCTATCATCACATGTGTAGATCTGATTGACTAAGAGAGCGAGTAATCATCGTTTTGTGTTATTGTTTAATAGGTGATGCAAACTCATGTCATAATCATGTATGAGAACATGTTTTCCGATTTGATTTGGCTTGGAACTATTACTAATAGTATAATAATAATTTAATTCTGATTTCTTCTATCATCACATGTGTAGATCTAATTGACTAAGAGAGCGAGCAATCATCGTTTTGTGTTATTGTTTCATAGGTGGCGCAAACTCATGTCATAATCATGTATGAGAACATGTTTTCCTATTTGATTTGGCTTGGAACTATGATTAATAGTATAATAATCATTTAATAATCATTTAATGGTGTAAGGTAAAACCAAACCAGGAATTCCAAGGGCTATAATGTGAAGGGGCAAATGTTATGTTGCATAGACACGGATACAGTGATACAGGGAAATGGTAAATCTTAAAATACTAGAATATGGGGACACGACAATTAAAAACAATTATATACTTATATATGTTTAAATATATATATAGATGTTCATACTGCAATTTCACAATAATATATAGAGAAATTCAAGCTTTCCATGCCTGACAAATAATGTAAATTAATTAAGCGCAAAGCTCATACATGTGTTCTTCTGTGATTGATTTGATTCTCATTTAAAAGCCTTGCCACAACATAACAACTACTAAAAAATACGAAGTTTGCCACTATTGTTAGTAGAAATATAGGGAGTGATGATCCAGGCTCATACTAAAAAAAGGTCATAATTACTTATGTCAATGAAAACATTAACATGAAAAATGAAACGAATACCTAAAAGCATGCCATGGTCTTATAGTTGTTAATTTTAGATTCACCAAATAATAGGTTTTTAGTTGTATTATTATCGACTTTGATAGCACATGTAATATTTAATAAGCAACTACAACTAAACGACACTAACCTCATCTCTAGCATCATCCTTACCAACATCCTCTTACTCAATTAGATCTACACATGTGATGATATGTGATCAGTTGCATCACTATTGTTTTGAATTTATTTTGTCCTGTTTAAGTCTTCTTTAGATCATTGTCTTTACATTAGATAGAGAGATTAAGTTTGATAGACCCAATACATGCAATATTTGCTTGTGACCCATTTGGCATATGAATGGATGGAGATGAAGATATGAACTTCTGTTGTTTGAGATTGGATGAGAAAGATATGTGGTCAGTTGCATCACTGTTGTATTGAATTAATTTTTTTCCCGTTTATTATTGTCTTTACATTAGATAGAGAGATTTGGCCTAAAATAAATAAATTGGTAATAGAGAGCGAGCAATCATCGTTTTGTGTTATTGTTTCATAGGTGACGCAAACTCATGTCATAATCATGTATGAGAACATGTTTTCCTATTTGATTTGGCTTGGAACTATGATTAATAGTATAATAATCATTTAATAGTGTAAGGTAAAACCAAACTAGGAATTCCAAGAGCTATAATGTGAAGGGGCAAATGTTATGTTGCACGGACACGGATACAGCGATATAGGGAAATGGTAAATCTTAAAAGATTAGGATATAGGGACACGGCAATTTAAAAAAAAATTTATATACTTATATATATTTAAAATATATATATATAGATGTTCATACTGCAATTTCACAATAATATATAGAGAAATTCAAGCTTTCCATGCCTGACAAATAATGTAAATTAACTAAGCACATAACTCAGACATGTGTTCTTCGGTGATTGATTTGATTCTCATTTAAAAGCATTGCCACAACATAACAACTACTCAAAAATACGAAGTTTGCCACTATTGTTAGTAGAAATATAGAGAGTGATGATCCAAGCTCATACTAAAAAAAGGCCCTAATTACTTATGTCAATGAAAACATTAACATTAAAAATGAAACGAATACCTAAAAGCATGTCATGGTCATATAGTTGTTAATTTTAGATTCACCAAATAATAGATTTTTAGTTGTATTATTATTGGCTTTGATAGCACATGTAATATCTAATAAGCAACTATAACTAAACGACACTAACCTCGTCTCCCGCATCATCCTCACCAACATCCACTGGCGGATCTGTGCAGGCGCAAGGAGGTGCACCTGCACCTCCGGTCGCCGGAAATCACCATTAGAGGTGCTGGAGTTGCACATCTGCTTCAGACCAGCAACGCACATAAGGTGTTCGATGAAATGCGCAAGAGACTGCCTGCGCTGCCTGCCTGCTACTGTGCACGCTGCGAGCAACGCGCGCATGTTTTTTTTAAACCAAGAGCTGCGAATTCGAGTATTCGGGTTCCGGCAAGAGCTGCGAATGAATTGGGTGTATTTGGAGATGCCATAGAAGATGTTGCATTGACTTGGTCAACGCCTGATTATAGAGTTTGCAAAACCAGTGGGAGAGATTGTGGGTTAAACAGAGATAGTCAGATTGTCTGCTCTGATCCTAAGGCTAAAAGAAAAGGTAAGTTAACAGAATGCTTGACCTAACTTTCAACCTAGATGAATTCCAATGGCAACACGCAGACTGAGTTTAGCACAAAGCTATTCGACTAGTTGAGCGAAGAAGACGTTGAATAGAGTTTAGCACATTCCATTGTAGTTTAACTGATGCTTCTGAGGCAAGAGAACTACAAACGAGCAAACTTGGATAAAGAAGCCTTAAATATATGGTAACTGCTAAACATTAAGATAAGTCAACACGAAATTCACAGTACCAAATAATACTATTAGATTAACTTATGGTATAAAATGACAAGCTGTATTACTATGTAGGTACATCATTAGGGAATTAAAACACCACTTATTATGTAGACAAAATTTGATAAAACCCAAGTTGTCACTTGTGGAAACCTTGTTCCAAGATGAAGCCTAAAATCTTCAGGAAAGCAGTGAAGATGCCAATTTGGATGAGAAATTGTGCATTAAGAGCAGCAGTCAGTGCAGTATTCTTTGTTACCAAAGCTCTGTCTTGCAATTCTCCTTCAACCCCAGATAATGCCTGAAACTAGAATATGTTCCCGTGAAAATAAATAATCTTATTACATTGTATTTCAGTCCTTAATCTTATTAGTCACTGTTCTTCAGTGGCTAATGCTATTAGTCACCATCTTTCAGTGCCCACAAACATTAGATTTACCCGGGAAGAACATTTCATTTCCCGGTCATTCTCTTCTCAACCTTCCTCACTCATCTTCACCAGCCCATCCTCTTCTCAGTCCTTGAAGACCCATCGGCTTGTTCCTGCTTGAAGACCCATTGACTTCTCATTGCTTGAAGAGAGGATTGATATCACGTTATACATTGGTAGAATACCCCCCCACCTTGGAATTAGTATGTAATTTCAATGCTCAATTTCATCGTCACTTTTCATTTGTGGCTTCTTTTTTATTTTTGTGTTTGTGGAAATTATAGGTATGATGGGATATTAAAGGTATGCAACTTCTGCAAGAATCTGTCAAGGTCATGAAAAATAATGTATATTCAAGGTAATCTTGGGATCAAAGGTCCCAGTAGTTATGAATCATTCAGGTGCAAAACCTTAGAACAAAGAATGTTGGTGCAAGTGTGTCGAATACATGTAATAAAGATAAACTCATAGCACTTTCAAGAGCTGCACCTCAAATATCAAAGGCTCGTTTACATGAGACAAAAGGCTGCGTCTAGGGCCAAACTGCAACCAACACACACAAGTGTATATTATTTTAGTTATGTGGGCAAAAAGAACCCATTTAACAACAAAGTTCAGGAAATGAATCATGATTGTTGGGTTTTACCTCTTCAGGAATTGGTTTTAAGTTTTCATTTATGTAACCCACATAAGGAGGTATCAATGCTCTTCTCTTTCCTGAAAAGTAAGCATATTCAGAATGTGAGTGCTTTTTATAAGTCTATACAAGTGATAGCAAAACTGAAAACAGATGATCTCTAGGTTAATAACATTAGTCTTATACATCATACCAATTTCCAAGACATAAAGAGGATACAATATTTTCCAGCTTATTTATATTTCCAATCCTTCTAACTCAGATCATCAACATAAGAAACATTAGGGATGGAATTTCAAGAAATTTTGAAGTACAGAAGAATGGGGAAGGAAAAAATCAAGCCACATACGCAGGGAGCCAAGGATGATAATCAGGTGGAGGTCATTCAAAAACTGTACTTTGTGTTCTTCTTTTTTACCATCATCTTACTTTAAAAAGAGTTAAAACCCAGCATATGACATAAGTAGATCCTCCAGTTGTTAAAAATTGCAGCTTTATATTAGAACATACCGCCAATCCTCATGCCAACTAGAACCTCCTTCAAGCCTGCTATAATCTGTAGGAGCAATTATGTAACACGTTAATGGCATGATCAACGAAAGAAAGGCTTAAAGACTCCACAGTGTGCCATTGAAACAAGAATTAACCTGTTTTTCATCCAAAGGAAGTATCACAGGTGTGCTTTCTCCACTGAATTGATCTACAGTGCTACACCAAAACATATTCCATTCAGACAAGTTGAAGACTGAGGTATGATATACTAGTATAAAAACAAAACAGGAGTACCGGAAGCAGGGAATTTATACAAATGGCATTGATCATAAATTCAACAGAATGTACAGAGTCTACCTATGAACAAAATATCCATTTGTGCGCCTGCATACATAGTTAATTTCAACCAAATCTCCTTCGTTGGCTGCTGAGCCTTGCCCTTCAACAATCTCTACAAAAAGGAAACTTTGAATTAACATTAACCTAAAAGAACAAAACTGATTATACGCATGCAAGATCCCTTTCTACTTAGTTGAAGTATGAAATTTATCCAATGGGAATGTGACTCAATTCCATGTACAAATTTTCAACATTGAGAGCTCAGATGTCATACAATAAAAACAGCACTCTCATGTCTTAAATGGTCATTCAAAAAGGAAACATGGGATTAATGTTAACCCCGGAATGAACAAACCTTTTTCCTTGGTTAAAGTATGACATTTTATCTAATGGGTAAGTCACTGAGTTCCATACACAGTTTCAACATTTATAGCATAAATGACATAAAATAACTCATGGAAAGACCACATCTCATATCTTAAATGGTTATTCAGTATGAAAGGATCATGTATGGAGCAAATGAAATTCAAGTCACAGACCAGGCACAGATATTCATTTTGTAGAATATGGAAAAAGATAATGCCAATGGGCAATACTGAATAATCATTGAACATCTTATTCATGTAAATTAATTCTTAATGTCTAAAGTGTCGGACCACATCAATGAATAACATATCAAATACCCCAAAATCATTCTTGAGCAATTATCATATGGAATCTTTAGAATTCTGTAGATTATGTACCTTGAATCCTCACACCGCTGGGAAGCTTTAAGGTCCTGGACGCTTCAAATTCGAAACAACATTGCATATGAGACTCACACTTTTTTTTTTTCTTAGAATAAGAAGCTGGCTCCAAATTTGAGCTTAAATTTCAAGTAAAAAATGGGAACAGAAATGGAAATAAACAAAGAACCACATACAAAATTTTACCGAATGACTTGAGGTTCCTTCATCTCTGGCATTGGTGCAGCAAAAACAGGATGTGAAAGGATTGGACAGAATCCCATAAACTGCAAAAGCAGCCTTCTTGGTAATCTTTTGGCTGTCGGTGAGTGAAGTCTTTCATCCAAGTTCTTAGCCACAGTGTTCTTAGGTTGCTCAACATAACTGGTTTATGCACAATAACATAATCAACAGACACTCAAAAAACTGAAACCAAAATATGAATATATGACAAAGCATAATCAAATGACAGATGACATAAATTTTGATCAGTTCAAATTGCAGGATGCCAATTTAACCCCAATCAGGACAGTGAAAAGCAATTTACAATATTGGGGTTCAGTAAAAGTAGTAAAGAACACAAGTTTGGTTTTTCTAAGGAGCATCTAAGATCACCAAGACCATGCTTTCAAGCCCATCTTTATGCATTGCCATAGTAAATATTTTCTGGGTGGTCAATATATTCAGTTTGATTGCCATTATTGAATGAATTCCTGAATTGAGAAGAGAGTTTTACCTTGGAGTTCTGAGAGTAGATGGGAGTTGAAGTAAGCTTTGAAATGAGAGAGCTTCCATTTGCCAAATAGGAGAGTTCAAGAATTGGGAGATAACGGATAAACAGGGAAAGGTGGAAGCTTGAGAGAAAAAATGGAGAATTTTGCTAATATGTTCCAATGTCCAGGGAGCGGTCTATGGACCGTTGTTTTGGACGGACATAAGGAAGTCGGCCACCTTGACCAATATGAGAAGAAAGACTTGGAGTCAACCGATAGTAATCAAAGATTATTTATTTTGGAGAAAATATTTATCAATGCTTCCGAATTTTCAATCTTGTTCAATTTGCCCTTCAAACTTTCAATTTGATTTTGAGCTCTCGTAAACTTTTAGTTCATATTAGTGTCTTCTAACTGTCAATTATGTCACAATTATCATTCATTTTCATCACGATAAAGATGGGTCAAGCAAGTCTCAACTTGAATTGACGAAATATTAAAATAACTAATATCAGCGGGACATTAGCACGTATTAAAAGTTTAAGGGAACTCACAATTAAGAAAGTTCAAATAACATAATGAAAAATGACATATAATTTCGAGAAGCTAAAGTTTTTATTACGAATCAAATTGAAAGGATAACTAATCTGCCAAATTTTTTATAAAATCAATTTGGTTTGATCAATCATCCGGCCAAATCAAACTACAATTTTATAAAATCAAGAGTCATGAAAAGTATGAATGGTAAAAATAAAAGTGTTCTGGTTACAATATGCAAAACATAAGTATATGCCAAAAGCTTTTGGGTTAAGTATACACAATTTTGTAACCTACAAGATTGAAGTAGCATGAAGGGAATGAATTTAGTTTTATATACATGCAACTATTAGATGAATGATGCATTTATAATTTTTTATGAAAATTATAGTTACTGATAAATAACTCGAAACCCCCTTTTTTATCCATACTTGGAAATTACTAGATTCTTTTCTTAGAAAACAAGAAAAAAAGAGGAAGCAGAAGGAACCATTCAAACGTGAAGACCTCAAAAGTTAGGTCTTCGCCAAACTTCTTGGCAAGTTTAGGATCAAAACAGAGGAACTTTCCCCTTTTGTGTTTGGATTCTCTTATTGGGCCCTCCTTCTCTCTCTTATAAGCCCAAAGACCCCTCTTGCGAACAATCTAGACTATCCACTTGGCAGCACAACAGCCCGGGTCTAACAGAAAAGGAATTCCCCAACGCGTACGCGAAACCAAACTCCGAAAAAACATATGAAAAAATCAGATCCAATTAATTAGCGATAGAAGGATCTAGAAACCCTAGTCAAGTCTCCTATATAATGCTCGCTTCCTCCACTCTTCATAGCGCAAATATTCACTACCTCCTCTGTCTTCATTTTTACGTTGTCTTCGACCTCTCCGCTTCTCCAAAACCCTAGATCTCCTTTAACCCCTAATATACAACATCAATGGCGGAGACTGAGACGTTTGCCTTCCAGGCCGAGATCAACCAGCTTCTGAGTTTGATCATCAACACCTTCTACAGCAACAAGGAGATCTTTCTCCGTGAGCTCATCAGTAACGCCTCCGATGTACGTGTTTTCACCTTTTATTCTTATCCTGATTTATCATTTCAGTATTTTCTAGTGTTTATTGTATGAATCTTTGTGTTTTGATTGTGAACGTTTCAAATTCAACGATTTTGTTTGTATGGCTTAGGTTAGAGATCTGAACATGTTAATTTTTATGCTGTGGTTTATGCTCATTTCAATATGGGATGAAACTAATTTATTTCTTCTTTAGTCGTTACTTTTTTTAGTTAAAAGTTTGAGAACAGGATTAGGGGTTTTTGATTTAGTTGTTCTGTTATGGCTTAGAAAGACTGTGGCTTATCTGCTTATGGATTTCTTGGTTTTGATTTCACATTAGGGTTTTGATTAGTTCTTTGGGTATTTGTTTCATTTTTAATGATAATGATAGTGGTATTGAATGTCAATTGAGTATTTGAGTTTCTTATACTATCAGAAGTTTGCTATCCCTGTTTGTCTTTTTTATTCTCTTTTAGTATGTGTTAAACGTTTGTAAGTTGAATATAATAAGGTTTTTTAAAAATATTTATGTTGCACGCATGATTTTGAAATCGCTATCTAAATTGTCTTTAGTGTTCCTGGCTCCTGGTGAATTGATGCTGAAAAACTATGTAGCGAATTGAATTTCCTTTAGCTTAGTTTTAATAAATTGTCCCATATATCTTTTTCACGTTTACTCATTGTGTAATGCTCTGTTTGTAGGCTCTTGACAAGATTAGATTTGAGAGTTTGACTGACAAGAGCAAGCTCGATGGTCAGCCAGAGCTCTTCATCCACATCATCCCTGACAAAACCAACAATACCTTGACTATTATTGACAGTGGTATTGGGATGACCAAAGCTGGTAAGTTGATTTGTATTAGACAATTTGTTATCTGTGTTATTCCAATGATTGTATTGTCCTTAATGGTTTTGTTCTTATTTTGTTTTGTCAGATTTGGTGAACAACCTCGGTACCATTGCAAGGTCTGGCACCAAGGAATTTATGGAAGCTTTGGCCGCTGGGGCTGATGTTAGCATGATCGGTCAGTTTGGTGTTGGGTTCTACTCTGCTTATCTTGTTGCAGACAAGGTCATTGTTACCACCAAGCACAATGATGACGAGCAATATGTGTGGGAGTCTCAAGCTGGAGGCTCATTCACAGTCACCAGAGACAACTCTGGTGAGGTTCTCGGCAGGGGTACAAAGATTACTCTTCACCTCAAGGAGGACCAGCTTGAGTACCTTGAAGAGCGCCGTCTCAAGGATTTGGTTAAGAAGCACTCTGAGTTCATCAGCTACCCAATCTCACTCTGGATTGAGAAGACCACTGAGAAGGAGATTTCTGATGACGAAGATGAGGAAGAAAAGAAGGAAGAGGAAGGAAAGGTTGAGGAAGTTGATGAAGAGAAAGAAAAAGAGGAGAAGAAAAAGAAGAAGATCCAGGAAGTGTCACATGAGTGGTCTTTGGTGAACAAGCAAAAACCTATCTGGATGAGGAAGCCAGAGGAGATCACTAAGGAAGAGTATTCAGCTTTCTACAAGAGTCTTACCAATGACTGGGAGGAGCACCTTTCTGTGAAGCACTTTTCAGTTGAGGGTCAGCTTGAGTTCAAGGCCATCCTCTTTGTTCCCAAGAGGGCTCCATTTGATCTCTTTGACACAAGGAAGAAGCCCAACAACATCAAGCTCTATGTCCGCCGTGTCTTCATCATGGACAACTGTGAGGAGCTGATCCCCGAATACCTTGGCTTTGTTAAGGGTATTGTGGACTCTGAGGATCTCCCTCTTAACATTTCAAGAGAGATGTTGCAGCAAAACAAGATCTTGAAGGTCATCCGCAAAAACTTGGTGAAGAAGTGCATTGAGATGTTCCAAGAGATTGCTGAGAACAAGGAAGACTACAACAAGTTCTACGAGTCATTCTCCAAGAACCTCAAGCTTGGAATCCATGAGGACTCACAGAACAAGACAAAGCTTGCTGAGTTGCTCAGATATCACTCCACCAAGAGCGGTGAAGAGATGACCAGTCTCAAGGACTATGTGACAAGGATGAAGGAGGGCCAGAACGATATTTACTACATCACCGGTGAGAGCAAGAAGGCTGTTGAGAACTCTCCATTCCTTGAGAAGCTGAAGAAGAAGGGATATGAGGTCCTCTTCATGGTTGATGCTATTGATGAGTACGCTGTTGGTCAGCTCAAGGAGTTTGAGGGCAAGAAGCTTGTCTCAGCCACCAAGGAAGGTCTCAAGCTTGATGAGAGTGAAGACGAGGCAAAGAAGAAGGAAGAGTTGAAGGAGAAGTTTGAGGGACTCTGCAAGGTTGTGAAGGATGTTTTGGGTGACAGAGTGGAGAAGGTTGTGGTGTCTGACCGTGTGGTCGACTCTCCCTGCTGTTTGGTGACAGGCGAGTATGGCTGGACTGCCAACATGGAAAGAATCATGAAGGCTCAGGCCTTGAGGGATAACAGCATGGCTGGGTACATGTCGAGCAAGAAGACCATGGAGATCAACCCAGAGAACCCCATCATGGAGGAGCTGAGAAAGAGGGCTGATGCAGACAAGAATGACAAGTCAGTGAAGGACCTTGTTCTCCTTCTGTTTGAGACTGCTCTCCTCACCTCTGGGTTCAGCCTTGATGACCCCAACACCTTCGGCAACAGGATCCACAGAATGTTGAAGCTTGGATTGAGCATTGACGACGATGCTGTTGACGGTGATGCTGAGATGCCCCCATTGGAGGACGCTGATGCTGATGCCGAGGGCAGCAAGATGGAGGAAGTTGATTAAGTGATGTGTCTGAAAAACCCCCCCAACCCACCACCAAGCAGTAGTTTTTTCTCCATAGTAGTGATGTTATATTTTCTTACTTTCTTTAGTTAATTTTGGATATTTCGGGATGGTTACTGCTGTTTTTGTTATCGGATATTATAATTACCTAATTTTTGTTAATGCATTTGGAACTATTGTCTCCTACGGCTGTTTCTGTGGTTTTGCTTCTATTGGTCTTGATGCTTAATTGTGAATCTAGTTCCTTCTTATTTGTTATGTTTTTTTTCAAAAATATAATCTAGTTATTTTTGCTTAATTATTTCATTGACTGTTGGGTTACAAGTAATTTAGTGATTTATTTAGAACAAAATCTATGGGATTCAAAACAGATTATAAGATTTACTTGAAGTTTTCGGCTTTTTAACAAAACCTCTTGGGGTTTCAGAAATTGCGTGAACACTTTCTCATGTTTTAAATTGTATTGTTTTCATTGATGTTTTTAATCTTAAAATTTATCCAAATAGCAAAGTTGACTTTTGAGATTAAATTGAGGTTAGTTTTGTCATTTGAGTAAGTTTTAATTTTGTCATTTGTATAAATATTTGTATAGTGTTTTTTGTAATTGTAGTTCAATCAAAGAGGGATGGAAAGGTTTGAGACTTGAATTTTGACCCACTTCAAATTATGGGTTTGTTTAGCACGTTATTACTATGCCTGTTGAGTATAAATTTTGGGGACAAATATTGGTACAAATTTACCAACATTTTCAGGTATAAATGGCAATTCCCTAGAGTTAAAATTAGAGAACGAAAATGAGAACCCGACTTAGATTGTGCTGTTTTCTGTTCACACGCAGGGCCTCAGGCTCCAATTTCAGTGTGAAATGTGTCAGCCAAAACGACACTGTTTTCTGTTCACACGCAGTCTCAGTCATCTTCCCTTCTCAGCCACAAGAAGCTGCCCAGGTGCTCATCCAGCTCATTCAATGCTCAATGAATTATTTGATAACGACGTAGAACAAAGCTGTTATTCCACTAGAAGGTCCATTAGTTATAAATAAATAAAAATCAACCTTTCTAGTCGCACCCAAGAGGAGAAAAAGACCGCTGCTCTTGTCGTTTGGTCGTTTCACCATTAAAAAAGCAAACACTACTCCTCATCCGACCAATTTTCCTTCATTTATACGACACAGTTTGGCCTCAAGCAGGCAGACAGATGCTGAGAGGAACATCAATGAATTATAACTTAGCAAAGCCAAGAGGATAGAATTACGTGGCAAAATCACTCTCGTCGGTGTAGCCTACAATTCTATGTTCACCTCCCAATAAAATCCAGTATCATAAGAAGCCAAAATCAGAAGCCACATACAATTCAAAGCAATTTCAGTCGTTGAGCATAAAATAAAATACACACAGCCAAAAAATATTCAAAAGAAACAACGAAAATAATGATGTAAAAAATTTCTTCTTGGCCCTTTACATAAGAGTGGAGTGGGCCACATTCTCTTCAGAAACATGCAAAACCACATCAAGTTAATTAAAAAATGATGTCCCTTGGAGCTTAAAATTGGAAATTTTCAAATTTCAGGTGTCGTCCACTTGTGAGTGAAATACAAAGCTCGGAAATGTTGTGGTGATGTCTCTGCTCAGAAAACAAAAAACACATCATCATCACAAGTTATAGCACACAACCAGTTGTACTGTTATATACAATCAACGAGTTCAATTAAATCTGAAATTTAGTACCCAAAAAAAATAACTATTCATTTTTAATGTTTTTAGTCGGCATTGATCAATTGCCGACTGTTCATCACAGGTAAATCAAAATCAAAACAGATATCCTGATAAAAAGATTAGGATCACGTCATTCTACCAAAGGATATTTAGAGACTCGTGGTTTTAAGCATACATGAAAACACCAACATCAACGAAAAAAGAAAGATGTTTTGAAATCTTTTCCACAAGATTTATCTTGTCTTTGTTTAGCCGGAAAAGTTTATCTTGGTCTAAGCAGGCATAAAGTTGGGCACATTTGTAAGGACACGGTCTCGTAACATGATAAGTATATATGAAAACTTACTTGAGGTATTGAAGCGTCATATTTTTAAGAAGGGATGGGTGCCGCAAAACAAGGCTTCTCCACTCTTCCTTGTCGATCCTCCCATCATGTTTAGTATCGGCTTCCTCAAAGGTCTGAAACAAGGTTCCAAAAGAAAAAAGAAAAAAAATATTTAATCAACTTCAGTAACATACCAAGCACTCCATGTAACCAATATATCTAGGAACATCATACATAAACATCTAATACTAAAGTTGGGTAGAGAAAGCACCTTATCAATTATACTTTCTATCACATCATCTGAAAGATTCATGCCAGATTCTGCAAGGGTAGCGACTACCATTTGCTTCACCTAGATATATAGAAACATAAATAAGAACATGCGGACTGTTGGAAAGAAACATAAAGAAGCTTAATAAATGAATTCGGAGATAAACAGATAGTTTACTTAGGAACAAAGAAATTACCTCCTGCCTTTCAATGAAGCCTTGTTGCTTGAGGTCATATAATTGAAAAGAAACTGAAATTTGCGATTTTAAAAATTAAGAGGGGTGAAAAAAGAAAGAAAAAAAAAAAAAAAAAAAAAAAACAAGGTCTATTGATCAACAAAAAATAAACCTTAAAACCTTGCAATCATATTCCACATGTTACAGTTTAGCATCGATAAACATTAACTGATTGATATTACAATTTATAAATGACTTATATTATCAATATACACAAAACTTACACTCAATCTTATCGTCAATTGGGGCGTTAGGATGAAAGACAGAGAGGGCTCGTGCAAACTCTTCAAAACCTAGTATTCCATTGTGCTTTGTGTCAAACAAGTCAAATACCTGCAATAATGAGCAATAAATAATCGGCGCCTTATCCAAGGTACTTAAGACTTAGCAAAGGCTGTAAGATGCATAATTGATGCTATAAATAATCAGGATGATGGAATTAAAGAGAAGATTATAACAAGTTTGAAGAAGATATAATTTCTCACAGAGAAACGTACACGATCAGCAAACAAGCTCTCTTTCTTGTTTGTCTTGAATAATGCCAGTTGAAACTCCTCCTACACCATGGCATTAAATAAACAACTTTTAAGAAAGAAAAAGAGTGTAGGGAATGTAGAAATGTGGCAGCATAAGAAAGGGACCAGGAATTTATGGAAAAATTTAGGTGAATATGCATTGCAAATACAATTCTAACCCAAATGTATACATGAAAAGCATTGCCTAAAGAACAGTAAGATTATACAGACCTTGTTAATCAATCCATCATCAATCACTGCACTGCTGATCTTCTTAAATAGCTCATAAAGTGCCTCTATTTCACTCACGCTGACTGTATCAAATAAGAAATAACAATTCCCAGTACTATGAGAGTCCATTGTTTAGATATAAAACTGAAATAGCAGACACATAGACATAGTAAGAAAAAAAAAAAGCTAATTTCTTGGTTGAAATGACATACACACTGTCTCCCTTGCTAGAATTTCAGGGTCTTCTAAGCCTCTTGATTGCTTGTACAACTCAAGATCACAGCACCTCAGTAGGGAAGCACATAAATGCTTTAACCCCTCTATGCACTGCAACATGATATTTTCTGCAGATCAAAACACTCCATACCTGGTTCACATGGAAAAATGAAAAACAAATCATGAAATTTCCTTTAAGTCTATCTTTAAAAGAAAGGATCCTAAAGCATGTAAATATCAAAACAAACCTTTTAACCATTTCCTACTCTTCTAACTCACGCCCAAATCCAAGATTCGTAAAATTTGGAGCAGCCAAAGCTATATCTGTTTTGATAGATAGCTGAACTGAATCAAGTAGAACATGGTAGATTAGAAACCCATCTCAAAAACAGGTTTTCCTCTTGTAAAGCCCGAAACGAAAAGCAAACCCACAATAACTGAAGCAATGGAAGTGTATATGACTTGACCAAAGTTTTTTTTTGTTTTTTTGTTTTTTTAATTTACATGAAGATGAAAGGGGTCACATGTAGCTCTTAAACCAACAAAACAGTCACAATGAAATACTAAAACCTAAATCCAATCCTAACCTAAACATTTCCATTGAAAAAGAGCAACAATTTCATGATTTAGTCATATCCATCCTAGTAGTAGCATTTACAGTACCTCACCTCAGCTAAACACTCTCTTCTATTTCTAAACACCACAACGGTTTTAGAGTCGAAACATCTAACTGGATTTGAATAAGAAAAACATGCACAATTATTTCACCGAATAAAACCCACATAATCAAACAAATTTTCAATTCAAACCAAGAAAACGAAATATAAATTACGAATCTGTATTGTGCTTACTGAATTCACAACCCAAATTGGCATTGTGATTGCTTAACAACACATAACTGAGAAACAATCCGGCAAAATGTAAGAAATTTCACACTAAATTTCAGCTTAGAAAACACGGAAGCTGACTAATTATAACTCCCCAATCCTCAATACGTATTCCACAACCAAACATAAATCCACACGCACACAAAAAAAACACAACACCAAACAGAAACAAGCTAGCAATCCCCAAATCCGAATCCGAATCCGAGATCCAAACATTGAGCACAACAAACCGAACGCAATTGAAAGACGCAAATATAAACAGAAGGAGCTCAGCGATCTATTTGGCGGTGGAGAAAATTCGGGCAATTGAAAAAAAACATATTGAGAGAATCAGAACGAAAAGGAAGATTCAGAAATTGGAGAATTACAACAAAAAGATAGAAACTTTACTTTGAGAGAGAGAGAGAGGGGGAAGGAAGAGCGCTGTGGCTAAGCAGCTGTGTTCTTGGAGGGCGATGGTATGCGATCTCTGTGCAGCTATGCAGCGAATCTCCTGTTTATATATGGAGGTTACGAATGTGATAGACAGAGAAGAAGAAGAAGAAGAAGAAGAGCATGTTGTTGTTACAAACTACAAAGACAGATATTCATTTCTGCCAAGGACTGTTTTATGATGCGGAGAGCGAAACGACGTCGTTCGGGAGTTGGATTGGTAGATTGCCATCCGCCGCTAGTGAATTATTGGACTTGGAAGAGGGTGTGTTTGTTTGTTGTTTGTTTTTGGGGTTTATTTATTTATTTTTAAAATAATATATTTTATTTTATTTTATTTTATTTCCTTTTTATTGGGAAAGATAATATGCATTCTCGGCAATCATTTTGGCTTTTCAAAAGATTTTAAACAATTATTTATTTATTATAGCATACTTTAATTGAGCCTTTTAATTAAGATTGCAAAATTAAATATTTCATAATTTAAAACCTAGTTTGGCATAATAAGGTCTTTTTATTAAAGAAAAAAATGGTAATATACAAATTAGAGGTGAAATTCAAGTGGAATTGTGTAATTTCCATATTAAGTTTTAGTCATTTGAAAAGGAGGACAATCCTTTGGGATTTATATGCTTATGATTGTGGTGTTAGGACTTAAGGCAATTTTGATCAAATTGAAATTATTCAGTTGTGAAGTTATAACCCAACTTTGACATGCGCCCTACACCCCATGTTGACAACAAAATCAAGGGTTCATGTAGGGCATGACTAAATAATGTGAAGATAAAAAAAAAAAAATTATTTACATTGAATAATGTTTGTTTGTTTTTTTGTCTGAATTGCATAATGTTTAGTTTGCCCATATTTTATGTCACGTGAACTTGATAGCACATTATATTATTCGTGTTATTATAAATGTTGGGATGATTTAATTTGGAGATTGTGGGTATGTCCGGATGCTGGTGGTGCAAGTAGTTTATTTTTTCTTAAATTTTTTTATATTTAAAATAAAAACTGTGGTATTATTCAAGATATTTTAATTAATTATTTTAATCCTCTTAGTTAATAAATAATATATTATTTGTGTTTAAAATAAAAGGGATATTCATTGAAATATCACCTGAACTTATACTTTAGTTTCAATTTGTCACATGAAAAAAAATTTAAGTGAAATGTCACATGAATTTTTCAAAATCCATGATTTGTCACCTCACTTTAACATCATCCAATTTTCCAACTATTTTCAATGGTATTTTAGTCTTTTTATTTTCAAGAGTATTTTAAAAATGGAAAAATCATTATAAAAAAATTATGAAAAGACCCTTGAAAATTATAAAAATTATGTATCTTTTCACATTTAATCCCCAGCCATTTTTACATTTAAGCTTTATTTTTTTAATAATAATTTTTTCCATTTTTAAAATATCCTTGAAAATGAAAAGACTAAAATACACTTGAAAATAGATAGAAAATCAGATGATGTTAAACTCAGGTGACAAATCATGGATTTTGAAAAATTCAAGTGACATTTCACTTAAATTATTTTTTTCAGGTGACAAATTGAAACTAAAGTATAAGTTTAGGTAACATTTCAACAAATATCCCAAAATAAAACTATCTTAAAAAAACAATAATAAAAAATCCAAAATTTCATTTTAAAAGTCATAAATAAATCCAAAAAGATTTAAAATATCTAAACAAAGAGAGGCCCATTGGGCCTAGTGGTTGAGTGTATTGTGGGTTGACGTAAAGGTCTATGGACCACGATCTCCATACATACATATATATATATATATATATATATATATAAACGTAGAGACAAAATGAGATAGAAGAGTTGCAAACACAACCTCCACGATTGTTTGCCTGGAAAAGCAATAAAAAACCCCCTCAAAAAGCCAATTTCTAATCAATTCGAATTCGAAACCAAAATCAAAATCGAAGCTTTGAAATTAGGGTTACAATCTAAGCATTCAAGCTGTTAAGCTTGTTTGAGAAGCAAAAGCGCTCAGAGTCTAATCGATGGGGAAGAGAAAAGAGCGTCGTCTTGCAGCTAAGACCAACGCTGGTCGCAGAGTCAAGCTCGATCTTTTCGCGGAACCCTCTGGTACTCTCTCTCTCTCTCTCTCTCTCTCTCTATATATATATATATATATACACACACACATATAGGTATGTATGTGTATACATATAATATATCTATACTTTGTGATTTATGCATGCATTTGTCCACGAGATTATTTAAATCGTTGCTCTTTAGTGTTTTCTAATTATTATTTTTCCTGTTTAATTGTCTGTGTGTCTCTATTTCTGGGGTTTTGTTTCATCTAGTTGTGTATAGTCATTAGCTTGTCTAAAAAGTGTCTTCAGATATACATGTACACACACGTATTCTAAAAGTCAGCTGAATAGCGGACGTGGAAGTAACAATCTCTGCAGTTTTGGGATGAAAACGGTATTTTTAGATTATTGGTGGATTGAAGGACTCTTCTTCGGAACATTTTAGATGTGTTTCATTTTGTTGGTTTTGTTTTTTTAAATATGGCCGTTTAGTATCATTAACTGACATTATTTTTCACTAATGTTGATAATGCCATATTGCTGTATGGAATTGGATGATACATAAATGATTTATGTGTAGTTTATCTACATTTCGGGGTATCATGTTGAGCAACTTGTTTGCCTTTATAGGAGATTTGGGTGGCTCTGCTGAACATGATGAGCTTGGAGGAGATATGAAATCCAAAGGCCATGCTGGGTTACCCAATTCACCATCTTCGTCAGGTGGGTTCCGTCAGTTTTCTTCAAAAAGGACTTTGTAGAGAGGACATGTGTGCTCAACATTATGTTGTTCGGTGGAATTATGGATACTATATGTGCAAGACATGTTATGTTGTTTGCCCCCCAAGATTTTGTTTTCAGACTGTAGGGTGGCTGTTGTCTTGTTGAGAACATTCACTGTCAGATCAGGTCGGGCCCTGCCACAGTGAAATTATGAATCACCCCTATTCGTTATTCCCTTTATGGCACCAACAAAGCATTTTGGAGATATCAGCCGGGAAATTTTTCTATCGGTTCGTATGTCCTGTCTTTATTTTGCTTTGTACTTGCTGACAATTTTCTTCCTTGTGTAACAGGTGGCTGCAATGAAGAGATCCTAATCTTCTCATTTCAAATTTTAACTTAGACAGCCTTTTGTCTCCCCCACCCTTAGTTGCTATTACTTCCCTTCTAAATAAAGATTCCAGTCCTTTGTTTGTTTAGGTGCTGATATGTTGGTGATTACTAAGTAGATAATATGATGGATTGGGTAGTGTTTGACAAACGAGTATATTATGCGTGCAGGTCAGCAACCACAAAATCCGTTGCTGTTACTTGGGCAATATAGTGATGATGAGTTGGATGATGACTCAAATCAAGTACTTAGCAATGCTGCTGTAGGGAATTCCTCACCTGAGAATGATGATGAGGTAATTAAATGGATTCTCTACTTTCTTCCATGTCCCGTGTCCTTACCAATCTGGAGCTTAGTTTATTGAGTAGCTTAGTGAGTGGGGCTTTATTATGACTCTCTCTCTCTCTCTTTCTCTCTCTCTCTCTCACTGATGTACTAATTGGGGCATGTCTCTAAGTAAAGCTAGGTACTAAAATTTAAGTTCTCTTTACCTCTCAGACCTTTCATTTTGTATTTACTTCACATGCTCAATGCTTTGCCTCTTTCAGGTTAAGAGTTCACTTGGTGAATCTTATCAGCATATGGATACCAATGCTGACGAAGACCTTGCTTCTCAGAAGGTTAAGCAACAGGGAGGGGATACAAACTCTGCCCCGAATGATTGTGACCAGAGCATGGAGGACAGTGATAAAAGAGAAAATGATGATGTGGCCTCTAGTGATTTACGCACAGAATTGTATTTGACAGAACAAGCCTCTGTTCCTGAAACTTCTAGTGTACAAGTCATTGGAGATGTCAGTTCAGGCTGGAAGATTGTGATGCATGAAGAGAGTAATAGCTATTATTACTGGAATACTGAAACAGGGGAAACTTCATGGGAAGTACCTGATGTTTTGACCCAGGAAACCAAGTTAACGAGTGACCAGAAAACACCTACTGTTGCAGGAAAGTTGGAGAACGTTCCTGTTGGTACAGAAGAGTCTAACTTAACTTCTGATGTGAAATTAGATGGTTTTTCTAATTCTGACACAAATGAAGGGGCTGCCAATATGGTTCCTCATGGAACAGAATCGTATGGACATGGGTGTGGGTCCCAAAGGGATCAGTGGAATCTAGCATGCAATAATCAAGCTACTCATGATACAATGGCTAATGAAGATCATGAATCAGGGATTGATCTCTCCTCTCGTCTTGTCAAACATTGTGAGGCTTTGTTAGAAAGATTGAAATCATTACAAGGGTATGGCATGTTTTGCCCTCTGCTCCCAATTTTTTTGAATTTATTTAAATGCCCACGTGGTTTTTTGTTATGCTTCTGGAGATTTATAATAACTTAATTTATATGTTTCAGGTCCAAGGAACAATTGCAAGATCTCAACTGGATCTCAAAGTATACTTTGGAAGTTGAGATAAGACTCTTTGATTTTCAGTCCCTTTTATCTTATGGGTCATCCTTGCTTCCATTTTGGATGCATTCTGAAAGACAGCTTAAACGGGTTGAGAGTGCTATAGATGATGAAATGTCCAAAATTTCTAAATCTGTACAAACGGATGAAGTTGAGGCAGCTCATGCATCTTTCTCCCAGGGAGAAACAAATTTTCAGGAAGGTGTGGGATGTAAAACTGAAGCAGATCAAGTTGAAACTTTGGATGATTTTCATGCTACCCCTAGTGTTGATACGTTAGCAATAGTCTCTAAAGAAAGTTCAGGTGTAAATGCCGAGCGTGTTTCTGAATTTGGCTCGCCTACTAGGCATATGGAGAGTGGTGTAAGTGAACAAGTCAATGGGGTGGCAGTTCCCATTGAGTCAACTACCAAGAATGATTTTTGTGCTGGGGAAGAGGTTGACATGGATGTGGACATGGAAGTTGAAGATTCAAATTCTGCAGGAAATACAGCTATTGCATATGCATTGAATGCCACGGAGTTTGCTCCATCAGAGCAGCCAATTAATCCTGGCCCACCTTCAGCATACGCATCTTCAGTGCCAGAGGATGCATTCACCATTCCACCTCCCCCAGATGAGGAATGGATTCCTCCACCACCACCTGATAATGAACAGGTTCCTCCACCCCCACCTGATGAGCCACCACCTCAGCCCCCGCATCCTCCTTTGTCATCTTACCCTGAGACAGGGCAAGCTCCTTATCCAGAGCAATACAATTTTTCCTATCCAAGTTCCAGTTTTGAATATTATGGGCATACAGTTACTGAAGGGCGTAGCAGTACTTTTTATGGACATCCTGAAGGATGCCAAGTTTCTATGTCCCATGCACCCCTTTACTATGCTGCAGTTCCTGGCACCTATACTGAAACTTCTCAGGCTGCAGCTAACCCTGTTGAGTCTGTCACATATTATGGGCTTCAAGATGGAACTGGACTTTCTGTTCCTGTAGTAAATGGTGTAGAGTCTTTACAGTTTCACAGTGAGTCTGCTCCTCTTAGCTATGAAAACCTTGCATCCGATCGTACTGGATCTATCAACTCCTTTGCAGGAGCAGGCAGTAGTGGTTCATTGCCAAATGTGAATATTGATAGTTCTGCTGTTGATAGTGAGACTGGTGGGGCATCTATGGAGGTTCCTTCTACCACATCCACAATCCAAGCACCTGCAACCATTTCAGTGAAAAGTAATGTTCCTGTGCCATCAACTAATCATGCCCCTAGTGCTGCATCTATTCCTGCCACATCGGAGGTTACTAAGGCTCAGTCTAAAGGTAAAGCTTTTAAACACCTAATAAGATGGAGTAATGTGCTTTTCACGGCATTTTTTTTTATGTCATCCTACTTGTTAATGTTCTTGATGTAGTTAAGCTGTGACTAGTTATAATTGGTTAGACAACCCATTGTGCAAATGATGTGTGAAAGAGAGTTGTCTCTCTCTCTCTCTCTCTTCCCCTCCCCCCCTCCTTTTCTTCGGGCTCTCTACCATACATAATAAGTTAATAACATATATAGAAAGAAACAAGCCAACAAGTGTTCTTTTTTAGTTCAACCACGTGGTGTTAAACTTTTATTCCAGTGACATGCATAATTACAAGCATACTCATCATTTTCTTTTCTCTTATTCAGTTCCACGTACTAAAAAGCGAACAGTTGCAGTTGCTTCCTCCTTGAGGTCTAATAAGAAAGTCTCCAGTTTAGTAGACAAGGTATGCTTTTTGTGTCTGATTTTTTACATTGCTACTTGCATCAGTATAATTATGGATCACCTAATTTTAATTTCAAATCAACCAGTGGAAAGCAGCAAAAGAGGAGTTGCTTGAAGATGAGGAGGAACCTCAAAATGCATATGAGTTGTTTGAGAGGAAGCGACAAAAGGGAATAGAGGTTTGCTGGACTTTATTTGTACAAGTTACTGTGTCTTGGCTCCTTCTGGTTTCTTACGTTCCCTTTGTTGCAGGAATGGTATGCACAACAAATTACCAGCGGAGAGGCCAAAGATAATGCCAATTTTCAGCCTCTTGGTGGCGATTGGTATGATGACTTAAAATCTTACACTTAACACATTCTTGAAAGAAATTCTAAATTTGCTGAGCTGCAGTAGGGACAGTTTAATATTTTACTCTTAAAGTCCAAAGTTTTCTGATATATTTATTATTTTTTTGGGTGACTTGGTCACAGTCTCCAAGTTTTCAACTTGTTAAATACAAGTTTCATATCATATGAACTTTCTTGTGATGTGATTGCTATGTTTCATATAGGCGTGAGAAGGTGAAGCGAAGAAAAGCTCAATTAGCCCGCAAAGCGGGACAAACCGCATCAACACCTGGACCTGAGGCACCTACGGATGGGAACCAGAAGCCTGATCTGGCTGAACTCTCAAGGAGTCTCCCCTCTGGTTGGCAGGTATATGTTTAGGGGGCACATTATTTACTGGCCAGGAATTCTACTCTTTAACAGGCAGGATTTCTGCTTTAAACAAGTGTTGCTTTTCAACATTTCTGTTATGTTGCCTCCTGGAGTGAGAAGGAATCGAGACACATAAAAAAAATCTTTTATGGGAAAATTCTGCATGTGCTCTAGTTGGATTTGTTTGAGTCTTTTCCTTGCTTGCTAGATTGTATGCTTATTGTCATAGCCATTAAACGCTTCTTCAAAGCATGTGATCTTGTTCTGCAAAATCTGATTTTCTATTTTTGTTATTTTTTTTTTTCAGGCCTACTGGGATGAATCCTCAAAACAGGTTTATTATGGAAATACGGCGACCTCAGAAACTACATGGACTCAACCAACAAAATGAAGTCTTCAAATTTTTATTTGTAGTTATTTGGTTGACTTGTATACTATCCAGGTTGAATTAGGAATGTAAGAGGGCCTGTCATCTTTACAGAGAGATCCTCTCAGCTACAATAAGAAATTTTGGGGTAGTTATTAGTGTTGATTTTATCTTGGTCAGATTGTTTTCGGGGGAAGTTCCCTGTGAGAATCATTTAACTCGCAAAAGGAAAAAATCATTTACATTTTTAAAAGGCCACTTTGCCTGTTCTTTAACCAAGTACTTGGAAGTTTATCGCTAGGGGCAATAAGATTATAAATATGGGGAAAATATAGAGCTTTTGATTGAAATTACACAGCCCAAGAATACCAGCTATGTGTAGATGCCCAAATAGTAGGCAATCGTACATCAAACAGATCTTTTTCCAAGTATAAAACTTAATTATTATTCATTATTCATTACCACAGAAAAAATACAATACAAAATCTCCACAACATGTCCTCTCAAAACCCTTCCATTACCTTCTCCTATTTTCCCGATAACCACCCTCACTTTCTTTATCCTTTAAAAAGCTCAGAAAAAGAAGAAAGCCAAAAAAGGCAAATCCTCCAGACCAGTTGCCACCACCACCACCTCCACCGCCACCACCATCACCGTCATCACCAGGAGGGAATCCACTTCCACCATCATCAAGCAGTGGGGACTTTTCCTTGCCTGTAATTTCATTCTACTGTTAGAGGATTTCTTACATTACTTCAGAGTTTCAAAAAGTAAAACAGAAGATGCCAACCAACATGCTCATCTCCAAGTGAATTCCAAACTTTTTTTTAATAGAACCAAGTAGATTCCAAAATAACTACCAGATTTCAAGACCTTGAGAAAAAAGGGCTATACAAATTAGAGGGACACAAATTACATTGTGTCGAGCAGACACTCATCTCCAAACTTTCAAAATGTGTTTTTTCACAACACTATATTAGCAAATAATACTAACTAATCACTCTTACCAGGAAGATGTGTAATTGTTGGAGCCTCACGGGTGACAGTCTGGGTTTGCTCTGCACCGCATCTGGCATTCTGCACAATAGAAGAGCAAAATCAACAGATTTCTTACACTTCTGTTCCTTGGTAGAGGAACTTAGGGATCAATTTAGAAGAAAACATAAACAATAACAAATGCTAGAACAAAATGTAGACTTGAACATACTTGTCAAGCAATCAAGAAAGCAATTTCATGGTGTTTATTTTAAGGGTTGTACACCAAAATGCTTAAAAATTTACAAACAATAACAATAGAATTACATAATTTCTTCGCCAAATGAGCATCTGTGGAATTTGAAAACACAGGCAGACATACACACACACACACACACACAAAAGAAAAAACTGAACCAGGTATCAATTAACTGATTCCAGGCATCTAGGGCCAATAACCAAACTTAAGTGAAAAGAACTTTCAAAAGCCATGTCAATATCTTCTTCCACCAACTTTCATGAAAAGGAATGAAATGGGAAATGCATCAGCTTATGCTACAGGATCACCATTCTGACGGTTCATCAATGAATTTACCAACAAATGATAAAAATTTGCTTAAGACGAAACATGACCTCAAATTGCTATAGGAGAGTAATCTATAGGATATACTGATCCAGCATGTAACAGATCAAAATTATATCACCATGTAAAGACAAGGAAAGCAGGTAAAATGATACAAGATATGAAATAAGAAACTAACCGAAGCAGAAGCACATATTACAGAAGCAGACCGACGGGAACCAATGACTGGTTTTCTTCTCTCAAGAAGTGATAACTGTGCACCAAGCCCCACTGGTTTGATCTTAAAATGTACCATTCTTCCATCACCACAAACCCTTTTTGGCCCACAGCTAGAAAGCTTCACTCGTCCGGGGCATTGACCTACTGTTTTCACCGTACAAAGAAACATCATAACCGTAATAAATGTCATCAAACTGGAAATTCCAACAAACACAGTTATAGAAGAAATTCTTTCAAGAGACACTCTAGTTGTGTAAATTTCCCCGGTAATGAGCAAGTAACTACAGTCGATACAAAAAATAACACCGTATTTGCTACAATCTAAATTAGGTGAAAAAGCATATCCTGATTTTGGAACTGTTGGCAAACAAATAACAGAATTTATTATCTTAAAAAATCACAGAAACTTAGCAATGGGTACTCATAAAATACCTGCTGGCAATAGAGGCGAGCTAACAATTGTACTTGCAGCAGTCAACATTGGCATCTTGATGATAAAATCACCTGAGAACACAACCCTTTGCACATTAAAACAATAAAACAATACACAGATATATATACCTAAATAAAAATACATGCTTATTAATTAAGATTCAATTAAACGCAATTGAAGAAAACTATGAGCAAAATTTATCCAGTGAAAACTCAATAAACAGGGAGATATTGGTTTTGAGGGGCCTTATCACATCAGTAAAACTCAATAACTAATAAGCTGTTTTGGGTTTGAACTTCGGGTAAGACTAAGTATTTCAATATGCAAAATTCATATCTTTCAGATGGTATTCGTCAGAACCCAATCTCCTTACCCGAGAAAGACTCCTCCTTTGAACCTCAGCAGCTACAGAAAAGCCTGAACCAGCGAACCTTTCGGAGTTTATGGTGGTTGTGCACAAAGCCGAACCCTAATCTTCTGTAAGTCCAAAATTGAAGGAGATTTTGATGTTGTTGTGGGGATGGAGGAGGTGTGGAGGGGTTGGGTTGATTTCGCTGTGAATGCCAATGGAAGGCGGTGAGCAACGCCCGTGTTGGTAACGGTGTCGTTTCGTCACATGCGTGCAATCTTTTTTATATGTTTTATCTCAAGTATGGCCTGAGCCCACTTCGATGAACTTCCATGGGCTTCTAAATGCACCAAACAATTCATTTGTTTTTATTTTCCTTTGCTTACCACCCAACATTTCAATTATTACACCCATCTAAAGGAATTTCAATTTTGTCGTAAATAGTGATCAACAATTTTACAAAATTAAAATGAAAATAACAAGTACACTTCAATCCATCGGAAGACTTCTCTTTGAAGATTCAATTTCTCTCAATTTAGATGGTTTCATGTTTATTTTGTTTCGTAGACATTTATGAATAAGTTAAACTTGTTGTAACAATCACAACATTTTAGTGATCGGTTAGAATAGACAAGACGAAGACATGTGGAGTTAAGGGAAAACAAGACGGGGAGTCGATGATGAGAAACGAAATTCATTTCCATCTCCTTATTTTTAGAAAATTGGTAATATGAAACTTGTGTGAATGTGATGACAAAAAATTGCATGCAAATAGAATTATCTCTTTTTTTGGCTAAAAGAAATAGAATAACTTTTGTTTTTGGTGGAAATATAATTACTTGGAAGCTTAAATTTATGTAGTTTTTTTATATAAGCACAAAATTAACACAAATTAAAAATCAAACCCATGGAAAATTAATGTGCTTTTGCATGAATATAAAACAATTTAGAAGAATCATAAAATAAAATAAAATAAAAACAATTTAGAAGAAGCTTCCTAAAGAGAGCATTGAGAACATATAGAATATCAAGTACTAAACCAATAATACTACACCCTCAAAAGTATCTATCAAAATTTTAGATACTAACCAAATGTTGGATATGTTGTAGATAATATTATTGTTCTCTCCAAGGAGAGACCAAATTACTAACAAATTAATACAACATTTGTCACAATATCAGCTTCTTTTTTTGTTTTGTTTTCTGATGATATGTTGATAGTATTATTCTTATGCTGAAGCAACATGCATGCATGCCAACTATTTCACTCAACATTTTTGTATGAACAAGTTACTGGGCAGGGACTGAATCACTAAGGGGGCTAGACTTGCGAGCCCCCAGCTCCGAGAGGTTTGAGCCGACAGAGGCTCCCCGATTGAGGCCGGAGCCGAAGCTCGAAGTTCTGTGGTGTCTGCAGCGGAAGGAACCAGCATGAGTGGTCGGGGAGCAGAGGCAATTCTTCCACCTTGATTTTGAAGCATCTTGTGATGTTGGTGAAGCAAGCATATGAGAATGTTTCTTGAAATCCTCTATGCTAAATTCTGGTATGGTTAGGTTTTGACCCTTGCACTTGATCCTTGGGGTTCGGGGATTTTGTTCTACCTTTCCAGCCATTTTTGTCTGTCAACTTCAAGAAAAAAGAAAAAAGAAACAATTAACATCCATATATACATGTCACATATGAAAACATGCCAAAATGCCTCACAACATTGAACATTTTCTGTATCATTTCAGATGATGCAATTGCGCAATGTTATTGTTTTATCAATCAATGTGGTTTTCAATCACAAATGTTAATTACAGAAAGAGGAAAGATAAGAGAGGCAGAATAGATAGAATATTGAAATTCTTAGCTTCTCATGAAACCAGAAGATAAGATGGGAATAGCAATTAATCAATCTGAAACTTAAATTCACACAAAAGACATGCAATGTCACCTCTTTGTTCAGATGTGGGACTTGGAAATGGCAGAAAATCTTCCCCAATCGCCAGGCAAGATGTTTTCTGGCTTGTAGCAAGGAGAAGGGTGAGATGGTGAAAGAAGGTGTTTCACATTTATCTTTCTACCCACCCCCTTAACAAAGAGGAAAAAATCTTAATGACAAATATCAACAAATTTGGCAGCAGTCTTCAAATAGCTGAGTTTTTTGTTTCAATTTCCAACCACCTCTATTTTGCAGTTGCAAATTTGTGGTAACTCCTTGATCAGAAGTTTGTAGCCACTAATTTCCATTTTTTGGTATCTCTTTTTATTTTTGTTCCAAATAGATAATACCATGAAAACCAACTCATACATGTCCAAGAATAAACAGCTTTCTGAGCGAAAAGTACCATTGGCTAATACACAGTAGAACTCAATATTGTTATTCATAAAAATAGACAATCTCCTTCCATTCTAAAATTAACCCAAATGGTTGGTGATTCTGAATTTTTTATTTGGAAAAAAAAAAGGGAGACTAAAAGAAAATACACACATATTTGGGTGGATTAGGCTGTTGTGGCCATTGTTTTAGTCAATTGTTCCACGTTATGCAGACTAGTCAACGGTGTTTCATTTGTTTGGGATGTTGAGGAGGAATATATGACTGAAACGAGGCATATAGGTTTTGTACTTCATGTATGTTTAGCTCTATGTATCTTAATTTGGATTCTTTGTTATGTGCATAAACGCATGCATGAAAGTGCAGGAAAAAACTTGTATGGAACAATCCTATTGCACCTCCCCTCACATAATTTCTGAAAGAGATGAAGACCTCAGAGAGAAAGAGAGAGAGTTAGTAACCCCGTTACAGGTAAGCCCTATAAGACACGGCGCAATAGGCTCTGCCCATCACAGAAGCTTTGCTTGCCAGTGCAGGGAGTTGCACTAAGACAGGAAAGTAAGTTAATTTTTCTTCGGGGAGGCAGAGGTGTAAAATTAGCTGGTTAATGGTGGTTGAAGCATGGAGTCACAGGAAGTAACTTTACCTGTGGATACAGTAGTGTTGATAACATGGCATGTGCCTAATTGATGCATTTGACATATCAATGCTAATATCACAATGATCTTGGTTGGAGTCACAGGAAATGTCCAATAGAGCACAGCAGCCTCAAGGTTTTTTTTTTTCTTTTCAAAAACGCTAAAGCAATTTTGATTGAGTAATTTCTAGGTGAGCAGTGATCTATAGGCCTATAATACTTTAAGACCAAAAGATGATATCAGTTTTACAACACATTTTAAAATACAACGATAAAATAGTCACCAAAATTTGCAAATTTTGCCTAATCAATTCAGCAGGTGAGTTTTTCTCGAGAGAGCCAAAGTAGGAAAACTAAAGGATCTAGATGGGTTACAAACACATTTTGCCCTTTTCTTTTATTCTTCTTTCTTCGTCATCCTTTATTCTGCTTCCTTCGTTTGTTACTTTTGCCTCTTGTATATCTTTGCCAGGAATGATTTCAACACTGCCTGTACCGCTTTACTTGAATGAGATTCAATGGATTTTGTAAGTTTCTGATAACTGCTGCTCTCATACTCCAGAAATACACCCTACAAACCCCAAGTTAAATGCAATGTTAACATTAAATGATTGGTTCCAACTCAAGAAATATGCAAAAGAAGCAAACTCTTGATAAACCTATTGCTCCCAGAAAATGTAAAGCTGAAAGAGTAGACAGGGAGAATAACCTGAATATCAAGGACTTTATATAGCTCTTTTACTTTTTCAATACATATTTGATCATCTTTCCCGTAGTTCTCCTGGTACCATAACACAAATACAGATAAATGTAGTCAAAAATTATAACACCAGGACATAGTATACGATTTATAGAAATTAAATTTTCTTGCTTACATGTAATAGTTTTTTTTGTTCCTCATTGGAAAGTTCTAAAGCTTTCACAACCACCCAAGAGCACTTGAAGTCTTGAATATCTGTCCCAACCTAATATTTCAAAGGACAAACAGTTAGATCTCTCATAACTCTCTGATGGTAGGGAATTGCATGACCAAAAGCCAAATGAATATAGCTCAACAACATACCTTGCCAATCACTTTGGGATCACCAAAGCAGTCCAAATAATCATCCTACGAAATACATCAGCGTATCATTTAGTTATACAAAACAAAAAAGGGCAATAGAAAAATATTTGCTGCTTGATTGCCGGGAAGACATAGTGAAGGAAGAAAAAAAACAGTGGTCATAGATTGATCCCGGAGCTGTAGTTTTGGCATCCCCCCTTTCTTTTTTTCCTAGTCTTCCTAGAGTTTATCAGCTATTATGGTAAATTAACTATTACCTGTACTTGAAAATAGGTTCCCATTTCAATAAGAATATTCTTCACACCAACATGGCTTTCAAGATCTTCGCCTGCCATTAGCAACGCGCATGCTACCTGAGTGCATACATTGGCCATAAGCAAGATATCTAAAAGAACATTCACTAAATCCAGGCATGATAAGCATGCTTTTAAATATAAGTAGACATAGCAATTATATAGAAAATGTTAGTTTCATTATGTGTTTAGGAAGATAAAATGACAAGAATCTAGCAAGACTCTACGAAATGAGTCATTTGCAACTTGGAGGAACTGAAACCAACTTCTTTTAGAGAGAACAAAAAGAAAATCAAGAACTCTGCTCTATAGAGGTTATGAACTACTTCAATATATGACCATCAGCAACCAAAAAATTCTTCAAAAGTCGCAGTTCCATTCACATAGAGAAAAAATCCTAGACATGAACAGCCTTACATTACACGCCAATAAAGACAGCAATTTTTCATCTACACAGACAACCATCGGTTGTAAACATCTCTAAAGACAAATTGACCATCAACCTTTTTAGAGGCACTTTGACCATAAAGATGAAAATGAATGCATAGAAAGGAATTTGTACTCACTGGAAGGTAAAATGAGTAATAAGCAGTTTTGTACTGAACGATGCGGCGGTGACTGCATGATTACACAACCATTTTAGATTTTAAAAAAGTAAATAGATTTAATTGAAAATAATTTATATAAGAAAGAAACCATCTCAATTTTCACTTACAGTGCCAATGAGTACTTAGACAGATCTTTCTCTCCTTCATGAGTGGTAATTAAATCTATCAATTGTCCATGGGCTGTTTGAAATTCCACCTGCATATCAATGTCGATGATTGATGCATGGTTAAAATGAAAAAAACAACTTATTGGTCCTGGTCTAATGTCTATGTAAAGACATCCCTACCTCATTAAATAAATCTAGCAGATCCACATAGTAGGGCTTTCCCCTAAAGTGCTTTTTGAGAATTCTTGGGATATGGTTGCGCAGTAGTATGCCATCATTCACAGCAATCATGCCAATCTAATATTAACAATAATGGAAGTTAGAATTTTCAAAGCAATTAAAAAGAGAACTGTTCGAGGAAAAGAATCACTCTTGGTAGAGGCTCACACCTTTGGTAGTCTGAACCAGCAGGGCTGACCCCTACGTGTATGAGAGCCATCCATGATATCATCAAGAACGAGAAAATATGCTTGAAGCTGCAAAAGTCAATGAAAAGAGGGGTCAAAATCCCATTGCAACTAATGCAGAGCAGAATTGCTGAGGTATGATAACCATTGTGATTAATACTAAATGAGAAGAGAAGGGGGAAAGAAAAATGGCAGGAGTCGCTATGTAGACATACCCATTCAATACACCAACCAACTGCTGATGCATGAAAAATTTCATCATCCGTTAGCTCCCTTCCATCCTTAAGTAACTTTAGGCTGTCAATTACGGATAAACCTCGATTCAGCTTTCCTGCCATGGTACAAGTTTATGAGCAGAAGTTCTATCACAAAGAGCTCGAAGAAAAATCAGAAAATGTAACATGTCTATACCTCCTGGCACATTGTAGTCCAGCATCTGCAACAAAAGGGACACAAACATTCAATTAGGAAGTATACTTGACTCAAGCTTTACTTAGCCCAAGCAATGCAAATATCAGTATGAAATAGGAATTAAAGTGATTAAGAGCAACACCAAATTGAGAATAAACTTGTGCCACTGCGTAGTTAAAGAAAAATACACACCTTGGACTTCAAACACACACAAAAACAGAGATATGCATGTGAGGATCTACAAATGCTACCCTTCAGGATGGACAAATTTTGCACAAAAGGAGATCTTACCTATGGTTCAGACATGACTCTGGTTGCTATATCTCATCTCACATGTGAGTCAACATGACGAATCTACACGGTACAGCGTGTCATGTTACACCTTAAAGACAACCTGGAGCATCTCCCATTGTACCCTCTTCAATGTTTGGACTAAATATCGACTCAGCACATCGATTCATTTTAACATTTGCATCGATTCATTTTAACATTTGCATTAATCTAATTTTTTGATAATTATGTATTACATCTTAATTGTATATTTGTCAATCTGTAATCAGAAGTAACTGGTATAACTTTTCTCTCCTTTTTATTTTGGCGATTGGTATTCACAATAAGATATAAGACTGCAAGGTTTCTTGCTCTGAATCTGAACAAATCATGGTAATTGAGTGTCTTGAGTATTATGGGATCGGGTGGTTCATGTGGAACAAAAAAGCCAAACAAACAATGGCAGCAAGCAATGTTGTCTTACTCTGACCAAAAAGAAAAGCTTTCAAGCCACTCCCAATACCAACATTCGTATAAAATTTGAACTGAATCTCAACAATCTTTGTCTAACAAAAGTATCCCATCAAAGTTTTCAGCCAAAAAATAAATTTTGCTCGATTCAATTAATTTTCTTTCACCAAAGTGAAAGATTCCTTCCAAAACCCAAATAACACCCTATTACATTATTGAAAAAACCAACAAAAAGGGAAATCTACAAAACTTAACTGAATGTAACAGCGCATTGAAAATAAATAATAATAAAACTCCATGTTTCAAAGCTATCTATGCACACATTGAGACATGAATTAGAAGCATAATACAGAGATAGATGGAAGTACCCGATCAACCCATTGACGAGAAACGTCCGTGAATTCGAAAGCAGGGTCATTGAGAAGTTCAGATTTCAAAACAGAGTAGACCTCCAAGAATTTAGACCTTAAATCACTCATTTTTTCCACAGAGAAACACACAAGCTCAGAGAGAGAGAGAGAGAGAGAGAGAGAGAGAGGGTGTGGAGTGAGAATGCGAAGGGTGTGAGCTTGAGCTTTAAACGAGAACGTAGGAAAGGGAAGAGTATTATAATGCCAGCCGCAAGCTTTGAACTCTATATAGAGTTGGGCAAGTCCCATCTGGTGGGCTGATTGATGCTTGTTTTTATGTCTTTTGTTTTGGAGTGTTTCCATAAAATTTTAAAAAAACAAACTACACACAAAAATTTAACTAATTAAAATGTACTTCCAAATATTTATCTGAAGAATTTAAAAGAACTTTTCTTCTACTTGGCTTTACTCTAGGAGCATTTTTCATGTATAATATCCATTTATTAAGAAAAGCATACTTTTCTTCTAAAGAATTCAGTTTTGAAATAAAAAGAAATATATATACCGCATGAAACTTAAAATATTTTAAAATTTAAAACAAACAGAAAGAGAGATACTATAGTTCAAATTGGATACAAGAATTTGTATCTTCATTGGACTTTTTTCTCAATAAATCGCATTGCATAAAGTAGACACGAGATGAGATCTAAGAATCCTTTTTAAAAAAAAATTCCAAATGAAATCAAATTTATTATGGTTACTAGTTTATTGGCACGCGCTCCGCACATAATAATTGGTATTTTTCAACTTATAGTGTGATTAATTTACTCTAATTATAGTGTTTTTAACTAAAGTATTTTCAATATTTTTAGAAGGGTTCAGATATTTTGGTGAAAAGGTCACTTATGTTTTTATTTTAAAAGAAACAAAAAAGCCAAAGACAAATTAGGGGACAACATAGGTGTACGTAGCTTACGTTGCCCGTGAACTTCTTCATTGATATCTCACCGAACCATTGTACTTGTCAAAATTGGGGAGCCAACTGCCAAGTCAACTCCCAAGCCATCTCTACAAAAACGGCGTCGTCATTATACTCTGCCAGCCAACCACTAGACACGTAGGTTAATTATAGGAATCATTATATGAGCTGGCACTAGGCTTCGCTGTTAAGTTGTTAACTATTGATGGAATTATTTTCTCGATACGGATAGTCAAACAACAACAAAGATATTATTTCTTTCATAAAGAACAAGATACAATTTCTCTACCTTAGTTAATAATATAGAGTTAACCTAACCAACTGTCAACTAACTATAACCTAACTGATGGTTAACAACAGCGCCAGCTCATATAGAGATTCCTATCAGTCTGCTTGATTTGCATGGGCTCAGTTTTTATGAAAGAGCCCGTTTGTCTCAACAAGGAGGCCCGTTTCTGTTGTTTTGCATTTGGTTGAACTAGAGTGATTTGCATTTGCCGAGTCTATGACAAATCTGACTGAGATGGTACACAAGAATCAACATCCAGAATTTCCTACAGATTGAAAATTCTCATTGAGCACAACTTTGCTTCATATTAATAATTCTTGCTGCTATTGTTTGAAGTAGATTTTCAGAACAGCCAACGCATTGAACTACAAACAGAAAAGCATAGAGACTGTAGAAAAGTACCATATATTAAAGCTCAAACTTTTGAGATCATTACAAAGATTGATGCATTCTTTTCTTTAGTGCATTTGTATGTACATGTATTCCACATATCAATAAAAATTCAAAAAGAAGGTGTTTTTGGTACGTACTGCAGAAAAGAAAAATCAAAGATACCGACGATTCTCTCGCTGTTTGTATATTCAAAGATTATAAACTTAGGTATAGTTTGGTTACTGGTGAGCTCCACTGTACAAGCAATAAACTCGCTCGAGTAACCATGTAAAAATCACACCAAAAGTATAAGAAAACAAAAAAGAAAAAAACAAAGCTCGGTCAATTTGATGTCTTGTTTCCTATCTCTGCAGTTCTTGCTTGCAAAGAGGACAACAAGATATGATCCTGAGCCACTGATCAACGCACTTGAGGTGAAACATATGCGAACATGGCAACTGCCTTACTTCTTCCGTGTCTTTATATTTAGCCAGGCAAATACAGCAATCCTGTAAACACAAGAAAAGGATTAAGAGACAAACTAATCAGCCTTATAGAGGAGAAACTGAGATTCTCATGTGTGAAGAAACCCCAAGCAGGACGCATACTATTTGCAAAGCAAGGCCAGATTTAGTTTTGTATGTATAACCATGACTTACTGGATCTTCATTTGCAAGGCATCCTGAATCACAATCATTTCCGAGCTCTACTTTGGTGTTAACTTCTTTATATCTCCAGCTGGGAAGCTGAGAAATTTGGTCATCAGATGCTGCTTTATCAATGGACCCCATGTTCATGTTGTATCCAAGCAGGCTGCTCATTAGGGGAACACAGCAGCATAGCAGCACAAACAGCAGGAAGGGAAAAGAGTAGCTGATGGCATTCCAAGCAAGCAGAGAGATGCAGAGCACATGGAGTTTTGGAGCTCCAGGAAAAGAACTAAAGCGAGAATCGAAGACCCAAACATTACCCATTACAAACCATATTGCAAAGAATAGCTCAAGTGAGGTCCTACACCGGTTCATCAAATGTGTGGTCCTGTAAGTTACACCATATATCAGAATTTGAGATGTGCAAGTTTCCATATATTTTACCCTACAAATATGTATCCAAATCTTTCATCACAACCATAATAACTAAAAGGAAGTAACGGAAGCCTAGAAAAAAGTACCTGGATTCTTCAGTGCTTCTCTGCTGTTCCATGTCAGAGAGGTTGAAACCATCTCCTTGAGACAAATAAAGTAGCCTGTAACGCCCGAAGAGCACCAGCAAATTGAGAACACAACCAATATCATACCCAACAATCCAAATTCTCATAGGCCAAACCGGCCTCTCCTTCTTTGAAACAGCCAAAGTCATTGTGGTGATACTTATTTGAACAACCAAAGCAATAAATTCCAGCATCATCCAAGTGCTGGAATTGAAAGGGTTTGACCCAAGATCAGACCTTGAACCATTTTGGTAGTGGAATACTCTTCTTAAGAAGATGAACCACCTTGCTCTTGATATTCTCATAGCCATTCTCATTAAGAATGAAGAAGGGGGAGCTCTAGAGGACCTGGTCCTGATTACACTAACAGCCGTCCGATCATCTCCTGGAGAAGTTGATGAAAATGAAACCGCACTGCCAGCAGAGTTACACATGGGCTCTGATGGAAAAAGGTAACGGGTATTCATCGAGAATGATTCTACTGGCCGCTATATATATGGATTTAGAAAAGTGATATATGGTGTGAACTGAAATTTGGAGACTAACATGAAATATATGAGACTTGTATCATAAAAGTTGTGCTGGGAATTTTCACAAATATGTGGCTTGCAGTTGGCTTTGTGGAAGGAAGCGTTGTATTAGGATATTCATGCAACTTTCATGTTTTCTTCAGTAATTGTCATGCATGAGAGTTCAATGAAGCAAAAGGTGAAAAATACCATTTGGGTTGAGCATCCAAAAGCAGTGGATCTAGAAGCTTGTATCTCCAAGGCCTTAAAGCTTCAGGCTTCAGCTTGGAACTAACAACTGCAGCTCAAAACCCCAGGTGATCAGAAACTAAGAAAATCTCTCTCCTCTAAAACCAACTCTAAATATCCCAATCCAAATAAAGCTTACAGCTTTATGCTGACAAAACTCACTTAGGCACAAACTTCTTATGGATTCCTTGGATATATTACCTCAAATTGAATACCCCAGAAAATTAATCACCTTTCCATCAAAATTTTCAAAAACCCACAAACCCAAACACTTTGAAGACCTCAATCTCTCACCCCAAAAGCACAAAACATGCAGAAGAGGTCAAAAGCTTTGTTAGGTATCAAAGGATGGACCTCAACATGAACAGAATGAAAGAAACTGAAGTCTATAAAAGGGGGTATTGAATAACAGGAGCAGCCAGCAGATGGGTGTGAAGAGCATGTCAGGAAGGTGAAGTTGGGTCTTCAGATGGTGACCGAAAATCCAACTGCTAAAGGGCTTTGCTTTGATTCAAAGAGAATCAGAAGGTTTGGAGGGAAGGAAGCTAACCGTTGGCCTAACTTCCCTCCTGCGTTTGTTTATTAAGCAAACAAAAGTTGAGAGCTACTTGGCTGCTTCAACTGCAAATCTATCTTTATCTGCACTGCAATAGAAAATTAGGAGAAAAGCAAAGATATTTTTTTAGAATTTTTAAGTTGATATCTCGTTTTCAGAGTCAATTGGATGAGAGATAAAGTGTTAATTTGAAACTTAAGCTTAGTAATTTGTGTTTAAACATTTGTTAATTTGAATTCTGGCGGGTACAGTGCCCTGTGACATTTTTGTGCTAAGCGGTTGGCCACCTAATCCCATCAGTAGCTGCATTATTTTGGAGTTCCATCCATGGACCCTCTTCTGAGTTATGTTTTTCATGTAGGCCACACCATTCTGGCTCGCTGTCCAATATCTAAATTTTTTTACCGTTACTTATCCTGCTACTATGCTTTCTTCTTTTTTCTTCACATGAAACCAACAACAGAGTTTGGTAGGTCATATTTTGAAAGAAAATACAGGGACCTCTTCTTATAATGTTTGGTGACGGCGAGAATATTTTTGTTTTATTTTTATTTTTTTTGTAATTACTTACCCTTTCTATAGTTCTATTGTAACCCTTTCTATAGTTCTATTGAAGAAGAATAAATATTAGAAAATTATCATGTACTTTGTTTGGCATTTTCTTATGATTATGTTTGTGTCTAAAATGACATAGTTTTCGCAAAGAAGCTAGTAGTGTAGTTGTTTAGAACAAATGCTCTCTCATGAAGGTCCTGGGTTCTAGTCGTAGTATATTATCGACCCTCTCAATAGAAAAAGTTCCAAAAAAATGACATCACTTTCGGATTTTAAAGATAAGTCAAATCTTTTGGATGTAAGATTTCACATCAACAAGATAATTAAATAAAATCCCAGTTAATCTTCGTATTTTGCTAAGCGTAGCAATTCAAGGATTGTGACCCTTCCATGTTCTAAAGTAACAGAATTGTAGACGTGTCATTCAATTAATATACTTGGCAATCTAAGCTAAAAAAGACACAATTCACAAAATTGAAACTCCATGGAGTGAATAAAATTTGGGCCAAATCAAATTTAATAACGTAACTAGGAACATAAACACGTATTAACACACAAATTATCACTAAAGGGCCCATAGGACTTTGAATATTTGAGGGTCATACAACGTCATTAGAGTATTCAAAATGATTTCCAACTCCATTGCATCCTTTAGCAGCAAGCCACGTAGCATCATCCTTGTATGACCATTTTTATTTGTGGCCTTTAACTTCAAAATCTTTCCATGCATAACATAACAAGGATGCCTTGTAGGATCTTCAAAGGTCCAGATGATTCTTTTTTATTTGTTAGTCCATAAAAATAAATTTTATTGAATAAGGACTTGAATCCTTCATAAAACTTATACAAATTATCTAGAAACGTAGAAGATTTCATTTTTTTTTAAGGATGTTACTATTAGAATCTTATCTCATGAATAAATTAGGGCAAAAAATCATGTTGTCATTCTCGTAAATTGTATAAATTATTTAGAGATGTAGAAGATTTCAATTTTTTTAAATTGATATAAATGATATTTAAGGAAGGGGAATTCAAACACAGAACTTGGAGTGCAGAAACAATAGCTCTTTTAACCCCGATAACTTATAGCCTTGGTGTCAATGTCTCATTAAGAAGTATATGCAGCTCATGACATATGGATGGCGCCATGATAGTGAATATTCCAACCCATTTAACATGCACGCTTCTTATCCATGATTGAAGTTGAAGATCTAGAAATTGGCTTGTTTAATTTGGGTCATTACCAAGATTAAATTTTGAGAAAGCTGCCTCTGGATTTATAACATATCTAGTGTATTTCATTTTAAACTGTAAATTCATGAGAACTTGAAAGCAAGTGTTGCCCCTATCTTTCACATACTCACGTTTCTTGTATGAGTCACCTAATAAAAGTTTGATTTAGGAACTCATATTGACCGGAAATTAAAGAATAGGAAACCAAAAGGAGAGTCAAAATCAAGCTTGGTATTTCGTAATTGACCGAAATTTGACCACCTTAGCCGATAATTTGTGGCTACGTGCGCTAATAACTTTGGCTTCACGGATTAGTTCTGATTAGTGAAGCAAAGGAGAGTCGCGTTCGTGTTCATCATATATGTAGGACCTAAGCACAGTTGAACTTTCATCTTAAATTCGAGATATCTATAATTAAAGGCCTTCGGCTTGGTTGCACGCCCACGTAACTCACATATGATTAATTTATCTATATATATAAAACAAAAGATAGAGAATGATGAAATATTCAAAATATCAGAAAATGTCATTGGTTAATGCAAACATTAAAAATTGAAATTATTAATTAAATAAGAATAATATGGTAAATTCACACTTTTTCATATTAAAAAAATTTTAAAAAAAGAAAAATCAGATAATGATTCTTATTTTTATGGAACACAACTACCCATTATCTTTTTTAATTCTAAAATAAATTAAAAAATTTCTAAAAAAAAGCAGCTTCTCAAAGTCGCGGAAGCGTGTGTGGAGAGGCTAGTATAAGATAAATGAGAGATTATTACACGTGTTAGTATTATAACAATTTTGAGAAGCAAGAGCCTTCATGTGCACTTGACAGAAGACATCAGTACGTGATCTGGTTCGTTCATTCTTCAAAGTAAACATAAAAACGCAGAGGATAAAACAAAAATCCCATCAATACCCAAAATCCACAGACGGTGTTTCACTCCACACAAATCACCAAAAAGGCCAAGTCTGCAACTTTACGGAATCTATTCTATTGCATGAGCTAGAAATCAATTGCATAAAATATGAGAGAGAGAGAGAGAGGATCTAAAGCCTGTGGCTTTGAATCTTCTTCTTCTGGGTTCGCGGGTGTTTTCTGCACTAATGGGTTTTCAGGAACAGGGTTTAGATAGATCAGTTCAACAACATCTATCTGTCTCTCCTCTTGGCACCGGCAGTCTCAAAGACAAAGATCACAGTGCAAATCATTCTAATATTTTTCGCCTAATTAAGTGCTTCCATATGCATATAGATTCCAATAATTTCATAATTCAATCGGCCTTGGTAGACAAATATGGTGGATATAAAACTAGAACAAAAGAGAACCTAAAGCCAGTTTCAAGCAGAAAAAACTTACTTGTGTAATATCAAGAGCCTGCTCAAGCCGCTGAATTTGAATCCATTGTTCTGTAACAATGTAAGCCATCTGAAAGCAAAGAGAAAGAAGCCAATGGCAAAATGAACACCACACTAACAACATCACACATTCATAGCCATAGACCAAAGATGGATTGAGTACATCAGTGCATGACCTTGTGAGCCTGAGAGGCAACCGTTTCGAGTCTATCCTCGGCATCTTGTGCTTTAGACTCTTAAAAATGGGGCTAGGTGGGCGCTAGGCGGCTGGGCCGGCCTCCTAGGAGGGTTGGGTGATGCCGAACCCGGAGGACGAAGCAGCTGAAACCGAAGAAAACAAATCGAAGCTTGAGTTGATAGAGAAGCGAAACTTTGACTGCAACTCCGTTCTCTGCGAGTGCAAGCTTCGTGTTCGTTTCGAATATATTTAAAGAGTATAGCCGGTCGGCTATACTCTTAAAATATTCGAATATATTAACATTTAAAATATATTCGAATATTTGACTTAGTCTAGCAAACCGCCTATACTCTGTAAATATATTCTAATATTTAATCGTATAGCCGCGCGGCTGTACTCTTAAAATAGTCCGCGCGGCGATGCTCTTAAAATATATTCTATTATTTATAAAGTATAGCCGCGCGGCGATAACTTTTAAAATTCGGCTATATATTAGAATATATTTAAATAGTTTTTAAAATATATTCGAATATTGCTATACCTTTGAAAACACTTTTGTTGACAATTCTTTGCCTTGAATCTGGCTGCAGTCGGCTCTTCCATCTCCAGAAGGGCTCATTGAGGGCTCTCCATCTGCAGAAGGGCTGTCATCATCATCGTCAGTAAATATCTCGTCTGCGTCAATGGAGGGTTCTCCATCTTCAGAGGGGCTTTCATCATCATCATCATCAGTGTACATCTCGCCTGTGTCCATTGAGTGCTCTCCAGTTTCAGAAGGGCCATGCTGATTGAGGGTTCTCTTCCATCAACTCTAACCAGCAAAGCAACAAAACTTAAATTACAAAAAAGCAATCAAAGTTAAGAAATTTCCTTTTCAATTCAAATTTTTAATTTAAGAAATTTCTCCATTGAGCAACACTGAAAATTCACCATAATTGATTTTCATCAAGTTGGAATGATGGAAAGGACTATGACTGGTGAAAGAAAAAGTTTTCATCAAGTTGCATTTGACCATTTGAAAGATCTACATAACCATTTGGAGGCTGTCAATGACATCCCTCGCAAGGTAGTCTATTTTGAATATGGTTTTCTTTTAGCCTAACATTTTTCAAATCGTACCTCCTTTTTGTGGTTGTTAAAACTGTTATTTTCTCATGTGTATGCCAGATAAGTTCAACTCTCAATTACATGTCTAACATGTTTCCTCGAGCAAATCTGTTGCTTGTTGTCTTTGAAAATTGTTTTGAGAATTAGCAACTGCTGAATGGATTGCTTTTTGGTATTTTGTTCAATTTTACTTTGAAGTTTCATGTTTTCCTTTGAAATATAAATGCTCTCAATTTGTTTGTGATGTCACCATAGTTTGCTGCATCTTTTTTCCTGTTCTTCATTGTAATTATTTTATAATGCTTCTGTAATGATGCAGATCATGATGGCGAATGTCATAAGTTCGCTTTTACATATGGATGATCTTTCTCTCAATTTGGCTCATTGTGCCTCACCATGGAGCTATTCTGAATCACATTACAGATGTGCTTCAGAGAAAACTGATCTAACACGTGAAGAGGGAAACAAATTAGTTGTATCTTTCATGGGGAAACTACTAGATATATTAACATCACTGTCTTCCTTCAACTATAAGTTTATAACTGAACTAGATCATGCTCTAAGTGATGGCGTAACTAGGGGTGGAAGACAAGCATTGGAGTGGAGAGCGTCAATTGCTAAACATTTGAAGAGTGGGCATGGCAGTTGTCAATTTTGCAGCATCTTCTTTCGTTATTTGAAAGCCAGTGGCAGTGGAAAGAGACATTAACTGTATTATGTCCTGCACCATCCAAGCTACTTAACCTGTGAGTTACAAGCCTTTTCTTCTTTGGGAATTTATATGATGATCAATTGGTTCTTGTGCAAGAACTGCTTTTGGATATTTATTATAGATCACTGGTTTGCAAATGACGTTTATGAACTATAACGATCACCCAGGGCAAACAAAATATGATGACCTCATTATTCCAAATGATAGAAATAGATTCTGATATTTGAAGATGACAGCACATAATCAGTTAATATGAAATTGCTGACATCTTACTTTCTGAAGGTAAATATTGTAGATGTTCTTATTTATGAGAAATATACTTTAGTTTCTATGGTTTTATGCATAAATTATCTGGTTTTGGAGAGCATGTTTTTCTGGAGAGCTATGAGGCTGGTCCCTTTTTTATTTAATTTAATCTAATAAATAGTATGCCGCACGGCTATACTGTGGTATTTTTTTTTCATTTAAAAAAAATAGTATGGCCGCTCGGCTAGACGGTTAAATGTAATATATTTAAATAGTATAGCCGGTCGGCTATATTGGGGTCCCTTTTTTTAAAAAATAAATTTGTTTCCCATATTTTTGTTTAGAGCATTATCCATTACTATTAGGCCATGAGTCTCTATAGTCCCCTTTTGATTTTTTACATTTCCAGAGTTATTACCCGTATAAAGAATTTAGCAATTTCCCGTTTTATACTTGTATTATACAAGTATGTATGTGTTTTTCAATAATACTTCCGTTTCCGTACACATCTTAAAGACTCAGTAAAATACACCTGTAGCACTTGAGAGAATGAGGTAGATCCAAGGCAGACGTTCGCACAAAAAAAAGAAGAAGAAGAAGAAGTAATTGAACTCTCAGATTGATTCCATTTTTTCAATATCTGCTTTGGATATATTGAAACTAACAAATTAATAACTATAAAGTATAAACTAATGGAATAATTTCAAAATTTCTAGGGCATCCTTCTTTGCAAACTCAACAACTAGAAAGCTTATGTTTTGCTTCCAGCATAACCTCTCTCTGTTAACTGTCTTTCCCGAGCAGAAGGGTACTTGCAATACACTTATGTCATTCTCTTATGAGAAATTCATCCTATTTATCTGTCCCCGAAACTTTAGTAATTTGCCTCCCCACTATTCAACTTTAGTATTGATAGCTGACTAATTGTCTTCCCAGCTACTCAACTTAAACTAAATACTGTAGGGTTTCTACTTTCTAATCAAGTTTCCAATGCTGCTAATTGTGAGATTTTTTAAGGTGACAGACAGTTACAGAAAACTTTATCAAATTAATACAATTATCTTCTAATTAGAGTCAAACTCTCCATATATAGAGCAGACTAAAAGAAACACACCCCTCACTGGTTCATCAAGGTGAGCAGCCCTGGAATTCTTGTCCTTGTTGACCATAAGAACACTATCAATCTATTGGTAGTCTTTAATGAAAATGTCTTGTTTGGAAAGAGTCAATTTCCCCTCTCATTCTCTCTGAGTTTCTAATTTTTTTTGTTTGGCTTGGTTCCTGGCATTACATGGTAGTCTTTAACCCACCAATGAATTCTCCAGGTGTGGCTGCATCAAGGATGAAGCCTCCCCTAAAGAAAGAAACACCAATGAAGCTTTTGAGAGCACTTAATTAACTTGATATATGTAAATATGTAAAACAGAAGCCATGACAAAACAGTGCATTCAGAACATCAACATAGGATGCAAAAGCGATCCCACTGGAAGATTTAAGTTGAAGAAAAAAAAACCACACATATTCTCAAGCAACATTTTTCTGATCAACTTCTAATACCAAACAATATATTAACTCTAATTCAAATCACAACATGAGTTGTTGAAATCATGATAGAATACACATATGTAACATCTTAAAAGGAGAAGTTACCCACTTCCAAGGAGCATCTCGAGCAGGAAGATTCAAAGGCTTTAGACTGAGACTAGCAAAAATATTCACGAGATGTCTCTTTCTTCACTATCTGCATGATTATGTTCAACAGCACAAGTGTTACCACATAAAGGAAGGAAGGTAGGTTCAATAGATGACTAGGCAACAAAATTACCAACCGCAGTCACAACTGTGCTACAATTTCAATGTTGCGAAGATATATACTCTTAACTTGTTAGGAAAGAATTGGACACCCAAAAATAACACCTAAATATATCACCAATTTTATTAAACTTAAAAGAAGACTTAAAGTATAACCAATTCTGCAGTTCCAAAATAAATAAAATAATAATTTGTAAGTCATATCCCTTGCCTGGACTGGAAATAGGTGATGGGTGCCTCATTGTTGAACTGTGCGTGGCTCCTTTACTATTTTGGACTCCATCTTCTTATAAGAAGTTTCACCAATTAATAAGACATCCGTTAATTGCTTCTCCCCAATATGCTCATTTCCAGAAGCTACGGAAGTCTTTGTTTCTCCTATAACTGAGATAAGAAATCATAAGCATTGCACATATAGCATCCATTTACCATAGGAATAAAATGCTATCTTCACACTTTTAATAACACATCCAAAATATTTTGAACAAAAAAGGCTGAGTAGATACAACAAGTCTGTCTCAACACTTTTACTAACCCAATTCTATTGCATGAACTCTACAATAAGAGCAATTTATAATTTTTCTTTTATAAGAAACACAAATTTAAGTTACAAACTTCCATTAAAACAAAGAAAGAGGATCGTGATGCAGAAGACACTGTTGATAATAATAGTGAAGATTATTTGTACCATTCCTTATACTCAGTTCTGATGATTTGACTTCAGTAGCAGGCAAAGTTGCATCTACTAGATGGTCACTGGACTGGAACCATATTCCTTTGAATTCTGCTAACCACGAGGAGCCTTTGGTTCTGACGAAGACATAAGAGCAACCAATTGCCCCACTAAGAGTATATCAAAAAGCAAAAACTTTCACTATCTAGCATGTACTCAATCATCCATATATACAAGGGGGAGAATGGAGATGATGTGGCTCATAGAATCAAAGCACGATAGGTAAAATGGAGTGTTTTGTTAAGCATATATATAGTGTGATCATCATATTTTGCTAGAATTGAAAGCTAAGTTTATAGAACATCTGTTAGACCAGCCATGCTATATGGGACTGAATGCTGGACAGTTAGAAAACAGACATATTCATAGTTCCTGTAGGTACATATTAGCCAAATGTTACAACCAGCACAGTGATATGCACACCTCTATCTCTGTTTCTCTAACGGCATATAGGCCATTATTAGACACAAATTGTTAAGAGATCAGATTAAAATATTTGTCATCTTTTGAATCCTTCAAAATTGGAAATGTTTGCTGAATAATCTTTGCTATGCTTCAAAAGTGAAGGGTCATTGCCTCAACCTTAAAAGCCTGTTTTTTATAGTGAAAGGGATGTCAATGAACTCGAGGTCTTTCCTTCTTCTAAAGCATTTTCAGCTAATGAAATCACAATCCTTTTACACTAATGGAGGCTCGATAAACGATATTTCATGTTGGTATGTTAATCTGGTGCTTTTGAAGTTAGTTTGAAAAGTTCAATATAATTAAGAGATTTCCAACCCATGTGCTAGCAAATGCACCCTCTAATTTTTTTTATTTGTTTTCTTTGGAGTTGAGGTGGAGTTCGCATAACAGAAACATAGATGCTGATACAAGAACAGATATAAAAGCTTAAATGAATCAGATTTTTCACTGGAGGTGGTGTAATTATCAATTTTTTTTTCCTGTTCTTTGGTGGGTTTGTTTTGGGTTCCTATGCAAACAGGAGGAGGAGACAAATCTTTCTTCTTCTTTTTTTTTTCTCTCAGCACACAAGAGGGCATGATCAAATGTCAAAATCTATAACAGAAATGCAATATCCAAAGAATGAAAAGCGGTCCAACCAAGAAGAAACTAGCAAATATTAGTGAATCAGCAAAACTTATGAATTTAGCAAATAGAGAACCTGAAGCCAGTTTCAAGCAGAAAAAACTTACTTGTGTAATATGAAGAGCCTGCTCAAGCCGCTGAATTTGAATCCATTGTTCTGTAACAATGTCAGCCATCTGAAAGCAAGGAGAAAGAAGCCAATGGCAAAATGAACACCACATTAACAACATCACACATTCATAGCCATAGACCAAAGATGGATTGAGTACATCAGTACATGACCTTGTGAGCCTGAGAGGCAACCGTTTCGAGTCTATCCTCGGCATCTTGTGCTTTAGACTCTAAAAAATCGGCCTAGGCGGGCGATAGGGGGCTAGGCGGGCTCTAGGCGGCTGGGCGGGCCTCCTAGGCGGGTTGGGTCCCTTTTTGGTGCCGAACCTGGAGGACGAAGCAGCCGAAACCGAACAAAACAAATCGAAGCTTGAGTTGATAGAGAAGCAAAACTTCGACTGCAACCTCCGTCCTCTGCGAGTTCAAGCTTCGTGTTCGTTTCGAATATGTTTAAAGAGTATCGCCGCTCGGCTATACTCTTTGAATATATTTTAATTTTAAATAGTATAGCCCGGCGGCTAAACCGTTAAAAATATATTGATTTCAACAGTATGGCCGCGCGGCTATACTTCTAAAATTCGGGTCATTACCTTGGGCAGAGGCAGAGGGAGATCACAGGAGACTGGAGTTGCAGACCAGAGTGAGAGAGGTTGGCAGCTTGAAGCCCACAACACCTACAATGAGCTGCCGGAGAGAGAAATATTATAATATATTATAATATTTAAATAGTATTCCCAAACGGCTATACCCTTTAAATATATTCTAATATTTAAAGAGTATGGCCGCGCGGCTATACTCTTTTAAATATATCCTAATATTTAAATAGTACAGCCGCCCGGTTATACGCTTTAAATATATTATAATATTTAAATAGTATAGCCGATCGGCTATACCTGTGAAATATATTCAAATATTATACTAGCTGCCATCGCCTCTCACTCTGTTGTGCAACTCCAGTCTCTCCAGTACAGTAACCTCAAGACACTCACCTCACTCTCTGCCCAAGGTAATAATAACCCTACATTTAGTTGCTCAATTCGTTCGTTGATAACCCAATTAAGTCCAAGTGATCCTGATTTCTGAGTTGATTTTTTGTTTTGAATTTTATTTAAAAGTTGTGGTCTTTCAAGTTTTGTTGTTTTGTTTGAAGTGGTGTGTTTGGTTGCTTTAGGCTTGATGATTTCCGATAATCCCCAAGGTGGAAGAGAACCCACAACTGACACAGGCGATTGGAGGAGTCAATTGATGCCAAATTCACGACAAGAAATTGTCAACAAAATGTAAGTACGTTTATGAAAGAAAGAAAGAAAGAATAGCTAGAAATGATAGGCCTCCTGAAAGCTGAGTCGAGATTGAATCAGAGCGGCTTGAGAAGCTAAGAATGTTCGAGACCATGTTGGAGCGCATCATTGCCGGCTTTTACTACCATTTAATTGTTATTTTGTATCAATGATAAACTTTATATTGACTCCTCAAGCAATCCTTTAAAAGCACCCATCATTTAATTTTCTTTCACTCAAACTTCTTGTTTTACCCCTATCATCTATGTAATTTCAGGAAGAAAAAAACACAGTCATCCACCACCAATTCCCATAGAATAGAACCACCCCATCCGTGCGGCGCACCGCCTGTGGAATGAGTGTGGTTTGGCGACGGAGCTTATGGTGGTTTGATGGCTGCAGATGAGTGGGATTGTTGGGTTTTTCATTTTTTGCTTTTTGCTTTTTAATTTAGTGAAGGGTAAAATTTTCAAGAGAAATTATTTTGAAATGAGTGCTTTTTTTTTGGGTGGCAATAAAATTTTGCTCTGCCTACATAATATATGTGCTTAATTATGGTAGATTGGATTGCTCAAAACAACTACTACTAGCGTATTAGAGCATCTATAGGGGAGATGCGAAATGCAAAATATTAAATTTGAATTTGATGGCTTATGTGGTGATTTGACACTTTAGAAAAAATTTAACTCCACATGAAATACTAAATATCATATTATTTTATTATATTTATAAAAGCAAATGAGGTTGATATATTTTTTCCAGTCTTCAAATTCATGTATGATTTGATTACTCGGTTAGAGCAATTTTAACCTTCAATTTTTGCCATTTCATGTTTATGTGGCAATTTGACATATTGATTGGAGATGCTAGAGCATCTTCAAAGGATCTAATTAGATCCATAGACTTCATTTCCCTTTTCAACAATGAAATAAAAAAATGTTCACATGCGTAAGGTCTAATTGACGTGATACATCCAATGGATCTGAAGTGGTCGGTGGATTAGATATGTCCATTGGATCTGAAGTGGTCGGTGGATTAGATACGTCCATTCTGCCACATAATTTCATTAGGGATGTAATTCTGTGCATTGCAGAATTATACTAAATAAGAAATATACGAAATGTAATTAAAATTGAACATTAATTAAATGGCAACATACCTGCTGTCGCAATTCGCTAAGCTATACTCTTTAAATATATTCGAATATTTAAACATTATGGCTATCCGCTTTAAAATATTTTATTAGTATAGCCACTCTGCTATACTGTAAACATAAAATATTCGAAATTTCTTAAATTAAAAATTGGAATTGAAAAGGAAGATTTAAGCTGTTCAAAATCTTAACTTTGATTGCTTTTTTAGTTTTTGCAATTCAAGTTTTGTTATTTTGTTGATTACAGCTGATGGAAGAGAACCCTCAATTTACAAGCAGGAGATTATGCTGAGCAGAGCGCTTCTGAAAATGGCGAGCACTCAATGGACGCAGGCCATCGTCAATATGATCACAAGGAAGCAAGCAGTGGATGTTCTAGTGGGTGTGTGGAAGGCTTTTTAACATCCTCGCTGAAGATGTTAATGTCTATATGCGATTATGAATAAAAGCATTAACTTCTGACAAAAAAGGAATTCTTGCTTGAATAATATATATTTTTTATTTCTAAATTTTTAATACTTTTTAATAGTTCCAAAAGTAAACTTTTTATTATTATTATTATTTTTTTCTGGAAAAATGAAAAATTTATGCTAAAAAAATGACAATATGCAGATGACGTCACATCTTTTATATGATTACATGTAGTTTTGGTAAAGTTTATTATATAGAACTTGGAAATGGATGCAAGTCTGCGTAAATCGAAAGCAAGTCTTCTTTTTTACTTTTGAGCACAACGAGATTTTCCCGCAACTTAAGTGGGCAAGAGACAGTGGTCTTCATCTTCAAGTTGCCGAACCTTTCTCACTCTGCCAAAAGGTAAGAACTCTAAGCTTAGTTCATTTCATTATCTAATTGTTAGGTTCATTTGTTCCTGGTTTTAGATCGTACCCTTTAGTATATTATATATAGGAGCAGGGTATTGATAGTTTCTGGTTTCCGATCTTTTGCAGTTCAAGTTTTGTTTGAGGGTGGTGTGCTCTGTTGGTTAGAGCTGATGGATGCTGATAATGAGAAGCCTCGGCCTCCTCAACGTGGTTCAAGCGAACCCTCAATGGACACAGACAAGATGTACGCTGATGATAATGAGCGCCCTTCAGAAGATGAAGATGGAGAGCCCTCAATGAGCCCTTTTGGATATGGATTGCCCTCAATGAGCCCTTCTGGAGATGGAGATCCCTCAATGGGCACAGGCGATTGGAGATTGCCGCCACATACGAGGCGAAAAGTTGTCTACAAGATGTAAGTATGTCTAAAGAAAGAAAGAAAAGTTAGTAATCATAGGCGTCATAAATGATGGTGCACTTAGTGAAATTTTAGTTTCTGTTCCATTTCTTTAACTTTCAACCCAGAAGCATGTTACTGGTTCATGCCATACAAGGGTTTGTATGGAAGTACTCATAAGTCGTAAATACGGTTTGTGATATATGAGGGATAGAAAATAAAACTGGATTTTTATTAAAAAGATAATTTTGTATGTGTTGGTACAGCCAGGAGTGCGCCTTCATAAAACCAGGAGTGCGCTTTCATGTATTCATACAGAAATGACTCCGTATATCAAAGCTAACAAGCTCGACTAATATATAACCTCTTTTGTGTGAATTTATTTATTCATCCTGAATTCAGTTTTGTTGTTAAGAACTCTACCTCCATGCCATGCTTTATGATGGTCAATAAATTTTATTGATTGTGTTGCATGTAAAGGATGGAGACATTGAAGAGGCATCTCCCTCTCTCTACTGAAGAGGGATTACGGGTGCTCAAGAATATTGCTGTAAGGTTTGAGGAAAAGATTTATGCTAAGGCCACAAGCCAGGTACTTCAATAACTCTTGGGTCCTAATTTTTCTTAGCATATGACAAGTAACTCTATTTAGATATGTACTGATCTATACATATGTAATTCTTAAATAAAAATGCTCTGTGTTTCAGCTTTCTTTGTATTTTGGATAGCAATGTAGTCTAAGTTTAGCATGGGTTTCTTTTTACAGTCGGATTACATACAGAAGATTAGTCTGAAGATGCTAACAACGCAGCCCAAGTCTCATAACACAATGGCCAATTCTTTACAGTCCAACGCTTATGGTAATAGGATACTACTGCCATTTTCTCCCTGCTTGTATGCTATTTGACATATAGAGATTGTGATATTTGTGTTTTATATGGAAAGCTGCAGGTTTGACAAAACAAAAATAGGGCGTTTTCCTGTGTTGTGTAGCTTCGTTGTTATTGCTTAATTGCCTGAAAATGGTCTACTATTTCCTCCCCACATGTCATATCTGAAGAGACTCATTTCTGATATCTACATTGGTAGTTAATTTTGTGATGATTGAATGAGTGTCAAATTTTGTGATCATTTTGAAATTTCCCTGTTGGTTGTTGATTTTCTTTTTTAGGTTCATTTGAGACATATAATGGAGGTGACATTTTGAGCATTGTTTGGAATTAGATTACGGTGGTTCCACATGAGGGCAAGGAAATAGAATTGGAAACAATAATCCCAAAAGAATAAGGAAATAGTAATTAAACCCTAAGAAAAGAGAAAAGCACATACTTAGCCTAATTTACTAGCTTTTTTGCATACGTCTAAAATAGGTATGTAGGGTAGACCACCATGATTCCCATTCAGGTTTAGACTTTAGAATCATAGTTGTCACTTGGAGACGTTATATCTGTGACTTTATTGGTTGACAGTTGAAGCTTCTTTTTCCTTTTACTTTAGTTTTGGTATATTTGTTTTTTCATGAATAATGTTGAGATAGTTTAACTGTAAAAGTCTTATTTTGGTTGTTAAAAACATAATTTGTGGATCCTTTATCTTGTGAATAGAAACTTGGAGAACACTCTTATCTGAAGTGTCTTTGAATCTGATGGTTGTTTATATTAACAGTTTCCCATGGCTGTATTACCTACACTGCTGTGTATTCATAATCCTGTTGCTTAAGCACTTGGGCTTTCAGTGTGTTCTCAGACTGTTCATGTCATGTGGAATGGTCTTTTAAATAAATACCGTTCATGTTTTGCAGAATCATTTTTGGCTGAGTTGGTTTCGATTTTTCTTGATCAAAGTTCTGAAGGTAATATTGACCGAAAAAAACAAAGTTCTGAAGGTAATGCTTTTTTCCATTATTATCTTCATCAGAAATTTTTTGTATGATTTTATCACTTATAATCCTGTTTGGCTTAAGTACTTGGGCTTCAGTGTGTTCTCAGACTGGTCATGTCATGTAAAATGATCTTTCAAATAAATACCGTTCATGTTTTTGCAGGATCATCTTTTACTGAATTGGGTCCGATTTTTCTTCATCAAAGTTCTGAAGGTAATATCGAGCACAAAAAAAAAAGTTCTGAAGGTAATGGTTTTCTCCATTGTTACCTTCATAAGAAAATTTTGTATGATTTTATCACTTATAATCCCGTTTGGCCACTTGGGCTTTCAGTGTGTTCTCAGAGTGTTCATGTCATATGTAAAGGTCTTTTAAATACCGTTCATGTTTTTGCAGGATCACTTTTGACTGGATTGGTTCCCACTTTTCTTGATCAAAGTTCTGAAGATAATATTGACCTGAAAAAAAAAGTTCGGAAGGTAATGTTTTTCTCCATTATTTCCTTCATAAGAAAATTTTGTATGATTTTATTACTTATAATTTTGTTAACTCAGTACCAACTCTAGATTCTATATCCCCGACAAGACATGCAAATGGGGATGACTGGCAAGAGGAGGTCTATCAAAAGGTAAGAATATTCTCTGGCATATAATTAAATACCATTTTTTTTGGGTAACTGTAATTAAATGCCATTAAATGGCTAGGATTAGAAAGAAATATAAGCCGCTGTTTTGGGGCTTGGTCACTTGGGTAGGGATTATATCAGTACTGCTCACCCGTGGGACTGAAAATGAAGACTTGTGATCGCCTAACTAACAAGACCAATGCATATCTTGCAAGTTTTCGGCCCATTCTCTTTCTTCCTATGGCTCCAGTGTTTCAGCCATTTTGGTGTATGGGTTGTGGAGATAATCCGGTCTGATTGGTTTAATAGGAATATCTGCCATTTGATTATGTCGGATTTATTCCACTGGCTCTTGTTAGTCAGGCGCTCACAAGTCCTCATTTCAGTCCCTCATGTGAGCTGGACTGGGATTATATACAGGCTTTATTACTAATGTCATTAGCTGCTGGAACAATAGGAGACAACGATAATAAAGTAGGGATATGAAAATTAAATTTTATCTCTTTGAGGAAGTAAGATACAGTTTTTAGTAGTGAAAAACTGAACATTCAATTATTCTCAGAAAATGGAAACTGGTGTTCACAAGTGAGTGATATAGGATTGAAAAAGAAATGAAATGCAGGAATTTGGGAGTTTGGCCTTTTGGATAGGTATTATATTCACGGTTTATCAGGTTTTTTTCTTGGTATTTTTCAATGCTTCGAGGCTTACGCCTCGCCTCACGGGAGGTAAAACGTCTCAGCTTACGCTTTTGCTTTTTAAAACATTGATCAGGAATGATAGTTGCTTCTCAAATCACAGGACATAATGGTGAATAACCTAGGAATACAGAATATACATTTTTCAGTGGCAGAAAATTAAATTTTCTATTATTATCAGAAGAAAGCAGTGGCATTCTGATGTCTATTTTGTTTATATTTAAAATTTTGAAAAAAAATAAGTCAATTGAACTGCCGGATGGGTAATAAACTAGGAATAGATGAAAAACATTTTTAGTAGTGGGGAATCAAATTTTCTAATATCCCATAAGAAAGAAGCTTCAAAGATAGAGACCACTATGCTCTTTATAAATTATCTAAAGAATCTCTTTATATTCTTGAACACTGTATTTTGAAGCATTAGACAAAAAAAAACTTTAATAGATGCATGAGGTACTAAGAAACAAAGAAATCTGGTGTCTGCAAGCATGTAGCTGCAACAAAGTTTTTTCTAATCATCTTTACCTTGCTGACTTCGATTTGCAGATCAAAGTCATGAAGGAGATGTATTTACCTGAACTAAGTGAAATGTATCAGAGATTTGCTAGTTATCTTCTGCAGGTTTGTGATCACTTCATCCTTTTCCTCACTCAATTTGTTGCTCAACTTTTACCATTGAGCAGCCTGTCCCTTCAAGGTTATCATGGTGATGGTCTGTGATAGATCCCTCCAATTAGATCTCCTGTTTAATTATTGCAGCCATGTATACCGCCTACATGGGATTGTTAATGCCAGTAGTAGTTTACTTTTTTCGCTTACAATGCCAATAATATTATTTGCTACAAAGTCTTGTTACTTGTAACATTGCTATTTTGTTGCTTACTCATCGTGTATGTTGTTCTTTCTGTTTGCCAGCACAATTCTCTTCCACAACCACCAAAATCAAAGCAGCTTGACAAACTGAATTTCTTCAAGACCAAGTTGGAGCGCCTCATGTCAGTCTTACAGATTTCCAAAAGTAGCATTTCACCTGGTTTGAAAGACAAGTTTGTTTCATACGAAAAGCAGATAGTAAATTTTATTAATATAAATAGAAGTTGGAAGCCAGTTTCTTCTCTGCAGCAAGGGCAGCTACCCTCATCTCGTATGCACTCCATGCAGCTTTCACAATCTCACATTACTAGAGTGCAATCTCATGAAAATCAAATAAACCCACAGATGCTTTTAATGAACTGACAAGGTTCTGCAGCAACAATGCAGCAGAACAATATGGCCAGCTTGCAGCAAAGTTCTATGTCTTCTTTATCTGGAACAGCGCAGCAGAACATGATGTATTGGTTGCATCCTAGTTACAATCTGGATTCAGGACAAGGAAATACACTGAACTCGTTGCAGCAGTTTGCTTTGGGCTCTGTCCTACAAACTCCTGTCAGTGCTTCCCAACAAGCGAACATGAATGCCTTGTCATCACAGAGTGGGGTTAGTATACTGCAGGTAAACATTGTTTCCCTTCAACCTAGTCAATATGCTGCAGAGCCAATATTCCTCAAAAGCTTGCACTGACAAGGAGTAGAAAGGCTTAATTACTTAACCTTTGGCTCCAAAGCCCGAATTCCATTCTATTGGCACTGGCTTGACCCTCTCCTATCTTGGTAGCTTCACTCATGCCCTATTGCCCCAGAAATGACACCCAAACATTTTAATCTAGCTTCTAGGTTGCCCATGACAAGATTCTAACCTTGAGTGTCCTCTGGATGTTGTTGTGGTACCCATTAAGTACCAGCCAGTACTCTTTTAAAGTCGGGCATGTATTTTTCAGACGGACCTGGTGACCTATTGGGTGGGGTTATTTTCTTTCTTGTTGCTGGTTGAATTGGTTCAATACCGTTCTACCAGCCAAAGTCAATTGTGATGGGATAGTTCTGAACTCGAAATAACTGGCCTGTAACGGCATTAAATCATTTCAAAACTAATGAACTGTCAGGCAGGTGAAGTCAAACCTAGAAGACTTGTTAAGTTTAGGATGTCTACTGCCCAACTCATCTATGCAGCATGTGGTGTTAGAAGCATGCCGCTGTTAACGCCAAACGCTGCATAGTACTGAAACATGATGGTTTTTGTGTTATTCTTTTGTTTTGTTCATTGGTTAGACTTGTTTAGTTGAATTTATGCAAGCTCACAAGGCGATAGCAAGATTTTCTTTAATGTTCAATTGAAAGTATTACTGATTTCTTTTGCAGAATATTTCATCAGAGTGGACCTTTTTAACAGCCAGCTTTGTACTAGAGATTTTGTCAGCTGCTTGTGAACAGTTATCCTCCCGAAATAAGCCTCATTATGCACAAGGCGGTTTGTTGTTTGCTATTGCAGCTTTTCTGATCTGCATCTGGGATCTTGCCGACAAAGTTATCAAGGACAGAAGTGTATTGAGGAGGAGGGAAATGCTGCGCATCCTTCATTATCCATCTCCCCGTAACACACCCTGTTTCAACTTAGCTGAGTATTATGGTTTAGCTGGTGCCGTCTATCAACTGTTTTCTGCAACATTTGAGTGGTTTCATGTCCGCAAGGGTGTTGATAATCCTATAAAATTTTCAATTATGCCTTTAGTATTTCTTGTGCTTTTGGCTTGCTCTAGAGCTAGGGTTGAAAGGTATACCATAGATGAGACCCTGGAAGATATTGTTTAAACAAAGACTCATTTTGAGTTATTAGGGCCCTCTCTGAGGATATTGAAATTTCAACACATTAGGCTCATTTTTATTCCTTTAATCCATGTGGTGTGGCCTTGGTGTGGGAAATTTCATAGAGTTGTGGTTGTGTAAATGTCAATGTCGTTTTGTATAGATATTTACATGAGGTTGTAAATTTAAGTTATCTGTAGACATTCAACTTCAGGAATTTAAAAAATATATGTTCTGTGGCCTTATGTTAAAATTATGGTCCGTCAATATGAGAGAGAAGACATCATTCCTGGAGGAAATGGAAGCCGTTTGAAGCTTCTGTGCACAATCTCGAATTACTCTCATGGAAATCAAATGAGCCTAGGTCCCCACATATATAACCGGCATCACCAACACAATTACTATCCCATCTAGTCGTGTATATGTGAGCCTACCCCAAAAAATAAAATAAAAAATATATAAAAATACTTTTTCTTAGCTACCAATAAAAAATCAATACTAGTATCTGGGTTCAAAACAAGAATTCCATTGTCTACAAAACTTGATTCTAACCCAACCCAACTCGTTATTTTCGAATTGGTAATTGAAGTTCTTTTAGCTTTCTTCCTCAGTTTTTCAAATTTTTGCAATATATTATGGTTTTGGTATAAAATGTATCATTCATCTTAAGTTTTTGTTGGCCTCCAAATCTTTTCAGCCAAGTGTCAAATAAGGCTGATTTGGCAACAAAGACGTCCTGCTTCGATGCTATGGTGGTGCAGGCGTGTGCCAGTACCCAGGCCAAGAAACGGCCGTAAGAATAACTGGGTGATGAGTGATGGGTGCCCTCCATGATCTTCACTTCTTTCTAATGGTGGTGCAATTTTGAAAGGCTAAAAGCTTCATAAAAAATTAAATAAAATAAACAAATCATAATTGATCATACCTCAAGTGGTGCATCGTGCAGCCTCATCTTCCTCGAGTTTGCTATTAAATACTGATCATAAGAGCCAAATCAGAAAAATAAAATATGAAGTGGATTACAAAAAAGGGGAAAAAAGAAGAAACAAAAAAAAAGGAAAAGAATAAGAAATGAATTGGCTTTTTGTCAAGAAGGAAAAAAAAACGCAGCAACAAACTTACTTTTGGTGAAGAAGGAAACAAAAACGCAACAATAGAACCAATTGATTTCCTCCTTTTTAAAATCCTTTAGTAATCTTTGTTTAAATAAGAATAAAAAAAACATGTTTAAAGACTTTTTAAAGCACATGAAATGCTGCCTAAACATGTTGTTTAAAGCCCATGAATTGCAGTCCGTCTTATGAATGGTAGATGGACACTGAGGAATTTGCACCGTCGCTAGTAGATGGACACTGAGGAATTTGCATCTCGACGGTGGATTGGCCCTTGGGTTTGATCAAGAGACGTGTGTCTCTTGATCTTTGAGAGCATCTCCAACCGATATGTCAAAAGTGTTACATAGACATTTAACGATTAGAAATAACATCTCACATCACTCCAACCGAATTGTCAAAGCTGATGTAGAATGAAGGCTAGAGGTTCAGCTGTTATTTTTGACATCCCAAAAGCAAGATGTCAAATGAATATTTTATTATTTTTTAAAGACAGCTGGTTGTAACTTTCATTTATTATTTTCCTTTTTTATTATTTTTATTATTTATCTTAAATGATTTAACTGTTACAATAATTATTTATTGGACATATCAGGTGGAGTAAAAAACTGTGTAAATGTTAAATTGCCACATCAGCCATCAAATTTAAATTTGATGTTTGGTATTTGACATCTCCCTTAGAGATGTTTTGAGGACGGTTGTGGCACCGTGCACGATAGCTCAGCGGGTTCAAACTTGTATCCGGAGGAATCTAGATGGACTGTGTGGTACCCTAGAAATAAATCAAGACGTGCGATCTCTTGATCTTTGAGGACGGTGGTGGCACCGTGCAAGGTAGCACGGAGGGTTCAAACTCGTACCCTAGAAATAAAGGGTGAGAGACGCTTGCCTAACAGGTTCCAAGCCTGATAGGCGGTGGTACATGGGATGAGAAGAGTCTTTATGGAATAGGAGGAAGTTGCCTTGATCCAACTCACGACCAGTTTGTCTCTGGCTAACTCAGGATGCACAGAACCATCTTCTTGCACTTTGGGTGGGTCTGTGGTTTTCTTGATGACCTCTGCAAGGCCATGCATCTCCAATACAAATTCGAATTGTGATTTCCAACTCAAATAGTTGGTTCTGTCCGTAGGAATTGGGAACAAAGATGAGATGTTAAATGAGGTGGGCAAGGATGGGAATGAGAATGAGGCTGAGGCAAGCTTTGACATTTCAAAAATCAGCTTTGTCATATCAATATTACTTGATTCTCCAGACTTGGGTGTGTTTGCCATTTGATTGGGTAGGATCGAAACACTTGAGCTTTGGCTCCGAAGAGCTCTGATACCATATAAGAAACATAACTCAAGGAGGAGAGGGGGATGAGAGATAGAGGTGAAGAGCAATTGAATCAACCAACATGTTATTGGTCTCTGCATTACAACTGTATATAATATACAGAGGGTAAACTTTCTCAAGTCTATTTACAGAAATTAAGAAATACAGCGTAAGTACAATAAATCTCATATATATTATGAATCAATGCTGGCTGATATGTCGTTGGTCTTGTGATGAAGAATCTGTCAAGGTTGATTTGGGGGGAAAGGCTGATTCCATGGGATTGTATGTAGTGAGTGTCTCTTTACAGAAAACATAAGTAACTTGCTTCAGTTGTAAGCCAATTGTTTTGCAGCTTCCGTTTTCCTGGCTTGTAATTCAATATTGCTGTTTTGTTTGACAATGTGTTTGGTTGGTTAGATTATATCGATATCCATAATGAGAGGCCTCTGCAAGGTTAACCGCCAATAGTCGCGGGCAATAGGAGGAGAGAATTGCAGCCAGATTCACAGCGGGGACTTGTCAACAAGATGTAAGCATGCTCAAGTGGTTAAAAGCATTTACAATGCATCCAAGTTTATAGGTTCGATAATCCCTTCTCTAATATTTCTTGTATTAAGAAAAAAAAAACCTTGAAATCATGGACCCTGTGAATTAGCAGAGGCTCCATGAGGATGTAATAGTCGTTTTCTTTTTAGTTGAAGCTTTTGGTTTTCTTCTTACAAAGTTCTGTGGCAACAATTCAGCACAACAATATGTCAAGCTTTGCAGCAAAAACCTATGTGATCCGTACCCAAATAAAAAATAAAAAAATTTGTGTTTTAAACAAACAAATTGATCAATATCTTAATTCAACCGGCATTGGTAGACTTTTATATCGCAAGAAAATACGGTGGATATAAAACTAAAAGAAAAATAAAAAAACCTTGGTTGAAAGAAAAATTAAACCTAATTCATTTCATTCTCACTTATTTGATTTTATTAATCAACACATTGATTTTTAGACTAAAAAAGTAAAAAAAAATTAGTTTTCACTTTGGACCCAATGCAAGGGAAACACGTGCCTGCAAATATTAGAATATATTTTAATAGTATAGCCGCGCGGCTATACCTGTTAAATATATTTTAAAATTATATTCTAATAAAGTATAGCCGATCGGCTAGACTTTTGAAATATATTAGAATATTATACTAGCTGCCATCGCCTCACACTCTGTTGTGCAACTCCAGTAACCGCAAGACACTCTCACCTCACTCTCTGTCTCTGCCCAAGGTAATAAATTATAGGGAGATTCACTATTATACCCAATATAGGGACGCAAATTATAAAAATACTCCGTATGAAATGGACTTTAGAAACACACCCAAATCCAATTTACAACATAACAAATATGCTTTTAACTTCTTATAAATTACAAAACTGTCATCAATTTCTTAAAACAAGCCCAACCCCAAAATCTCATAAAAATACCCAAAACACTCAATAGGCATCAAAGTAATTTAATAATCAATATTAAATTCAATAAAGCCAGCTGTCATTTTTTGGGTTTGTTTATAAAAATTCAATGGTGTAGGGTTTATTTATAATATTAGTGCTAAGAATGGGTATATCACTAAATATCTCTAAATTATAACCGTACATTTAGTTGATGAATTTATTCGTTGATAACTCAGTTAAGTCCGACTGAGGATTATACACAGGCTACATTAACAAGTGCTATTAGCTGCTGGAATAACAGGAGACAATGGTAATGAACAAGGAATGCATGAACACATGCTCTCTGGATGCATTGCACGCACGAGTTCTTTTCTGTTGGCTTTGTTTTTCTAAAGCATTAAACACAAAGGCTTTAAAAGATGCACTAAATAATGAGCTGGTAAGAAACAAAGAATTCTTGTGATACTATAGTGTTTGCAAGCATCTAGATGCAACGAAGTATACTTTCTAATCATCTTTGTCTTGCTGAGTTTGATATATTCTTGTGATATATTTCTAATCATCTTTTTCTTGAGATATATTTTAAATAGTATAGCCGCGCGGCTATACTATTTAAATATTATAATATATTTAAACGGTATCGCCGCGCGGCGATACTAGTCAAATATTCGAATATATTTGAAACATTATAGCCGTGCGGCTATACTATTTTAATATTATAATACATTTAAAGAGTATAGCCGCGCGGCTATACAATTAAAATAATCTAATATATTTGAACAAGTATGTAGTAGCAGGGTACTGATAATTTCTGGTTCCGATCTTTTGGAGTCCAAGTTTTGTTTTTATTTGTTTGAGGGTGTGTTTTGTTGGTTAGAACTGATGATGGATACTGATTAATGAGATGCCTCGGCCTCCTCAAGGTGGTTCAAGAGAACCCTCAGTTGACACAGACGAGATGTACAAAAAGACCATTAGAACAAGACCAATTTAGTAACCAAAAACGTAGTGAACGACTTCTAGGTCATCAATATCATTCCTACTAACTTTGGATACTTTAAAAAACAATTTCAATAGAAATTCGAATTCAATTACTGTTAACACACACGATTAAATTTTTATTTTTTAAAAATACAAGGGATATAGGGTCAACAGGGAATCAAATCTAATCTATCACTTTGGATGGTAGAGGTAAATACGGTTGCCATCTATCACTCTAAAAAACATATGAGCCAAGGCAGCCTACCCAGATAAAAAACACAAAATATAAATATTTTTTCTCAGGTACCTATCAAAAATAAATATCGGCTGGGTTGTAAGTTGTGACGACAATTTCATTGCCTATTTTGTTTGTTTGTGTGTTTTGGTCAAAAGATGAAACGAGAATTTCATTGGTTAGAAGGCTTAATTCTGAAGCAACCCAACCCGTTTCTATCCAATTGACAATTGAAGTTCCCGTCTTCTCCTACTTTAAGCTTTTCTCTTCAAGTCCGAATTGCTCCACTTCCAGTTCCAGTCGAACCAGTCCCTTCGAAGAAAACGGTAAAATTTTGTTCTCTGATTTTTGGTGGTTAATTTTCCTTGTCACTTCCGTTAAAGTTGGTCGATTATGGTTTTTCATTCATCGCTCAGATTTTCGTAATTTTTGTTGGGTTTCCGATAGTATGTGAATTGCAAGCTTCGTTCTTGCGTATGTGACTCTAGGAATAGTGTAGTGGAGAGAGTTTCGTGACATAAGCTATGCTTTACAATCACCATCATCGTTCAAAGTTAGCAGCTTTTTTACAAATTTTTTCATCAAACTTGCTACTCAATTCTTTTTTTGGTTTTGTTTGACAGTTTTTGTTTTGGGTTGGTTAGATTTGATGGATAACAATAATTGGAGGCCTCCTCAAGTTGGAGAACCACCAATTGATGCAGGGGATTGGAGGAGTCAACTGCAGCCAGATTCACGGCAAAGAATTGTCAACAAGATGTAAGCTTCTTTAAACAATGAAAGTGAAAGAATTTAGTGGATTGATTTACTATTCATCCTGAATTCACTTTTGTTTTGAAGTGCTCTACCTCCGTGCCTTTGATGGTCATTAACTTTTCTTAAATGTGTTGCATTGCATGTTAAGAACGGATACATTGAAGAGGAGGCATCTTCCCTTCTCTGGTCAAGAGGGATTACAGGAAATCGTGAAAATTGCTGTAAGGTTTGAGGAAAAGATTTACATCGCCGCCACCAGCCAAGTACTTCTATTACTCTTGGGGTCCTATTTTTCCTGCTGCATCTAATACTACTTAGATATTTATATATGTGCTACTATTTAATTTCTCACATTTATATCATCTTTTTTGTGTTATTTATATTGGGGAGACTGGATATCAATGCATTCTAAGTTTTATGTGGACCTCTTTTTTCCAGTCGGATTATCTCCGGAAAATTTCTCTGAAGATGCTCGCTATGGAGACAAAGTCTCAACACAGAATGGCCAATTCTTCACAATCCAGCTCTGCTGGTAAAAGAAACAGGCTCCCTGATCCGGATGAAAAAAAATTGACAAAAAATGTGCTTTTGTTTCATGCACCTACACAGATCTCATTTACACTTTCAACTATCCCTTTTGTTTCCCTGCATGTATGCTTTTAAAAATGGAGAACTAATGTTTACTCACACGTAGCTTTCTTCTTGATGGCTGGTTTCCTTCTTCCCACATCTCTTATATAAAACGATTCATTGTTGATATTTATATTGGCTGGTAAGCATTCAAGTCTGTAATTCATTTGTTGTATATTCTTTCAGAAAAGGGATCAAATGATGAAGAATATGAGGGACATATAGGGCATTTATTGTGTTCTTGTCTTTACGCTTGTTATTACTTGGAGATGTTTAGATGACCCTAACATGCTTTTGTGTGTGTGTGTGTGTTTGCTTAAGTTGCTTCAGTTTTAAGCCAGTTGCACCATTACACCATTCCCTTTGGTGTTCCAATCTCTGTTGAGGAATTGGCACTTTGTTGTTTCAATTATTATTGTCATTAATTTTTCTCATTTGGTATTTATGCTTTTCTATTTTGTTTCAGCAGGTTCTTTTGGTGTGCGACCCCAAGTCCCCTATCAAGGGCAATTACTCTCCATGCAGTTGTCGGCGAATCAGTCTCTAGCGCACCAACAACTATTATCACAGAACATTCCGAATAACATTCCTCCTGCCTCTGGTTTACCCCAGACTCCTATCCCAAGTACTGTATCCTAACGTGCAAAATATGTCTGGAACTTTATAGAATAACCCCAAGTTTGCTCCAACTTTTTATACATTAGATTCTTTTTTTGACATCCAATTCAGTCAAACTGATCTAATTCTTAAGTTTTATTCCTCGTTTTATATGGTACCCTTTATACGACCAAAAGAAAAATTGTTACACTTTAGAGTGGAGCACCCATAGTGTCTGAATTTGGCTTCTTTTAGGTTTGGGCATCTTGTTTTGCACTTTCCATTTTCCTGGTTTGCAATTTAATTTTCTGTTTATTTAACGGTGTGTTTGGTTGGTTAGATTTGATGGATACCCATAATGAGAGGCTTCTGCAAGGTGGTGAACTGCCAATGGTCGCAGGCAATTGGAGGAGCCAATTGCTGCCAGATTCACGGCGAAGAATTGTTGACAAGATGTAAGTATGTTTAAAAAGAAATAAAAGCTAGAAATCATGGATCCCATAAATAATTAGAGATTCTGTCAGTGTGTGCTCATCTTTTTAGTTGAAGCTATTTGTTTCTTCTTACATGTGCACTCACCAGTGGTCATTACTGGGGTCCTATATGTGCATTGGGAGTGCAAAAGAATTGGTCTTACTAGATGTTTTGGTATGACACTTGGGCCAAATTTTATTCTCTCTTTCATTTCTTTAACTTTGTCAAGTTGAAGTGTGTTATTTGGTTCATGCCAAAAACGGGTTTGTATGGAGGTGCTGATAAATAGTAAAAGATTGACCATGCCTATCTAGTAGCTCTTATATCAGAGACAGCTTTGTCTTAGTTTTGTCATAAAAGGGCAATCTGAAATTCTCAATATTGAATGCAGAGGCAAGTTAGCAGTGAGTTTAAAATTGGAGGCACTAATTGAAAGAAAACATTCTGAGAGATATGGTGGATATATAGCAGACCAAGACATCATAAAATAGACTCTGTACAGATGCATGTTTATAAACATACATGAAATGAAACCCACATGTGTTCATTCATGTGGATGTATTGAAGTTGACAAGGTTGAATGATATACAACCCTTTCTGCATGAATAGATATTTTTATAGTGAAATTATTCCTTGTTGTCTAATTTGGATGCTGGACTAGTGACTGCTGAGGTCTGGCTCCATATAATGCGTGCTTCAGATATTGAAGCTAAAAGATAACGTACTTTTTTCTGGACTAGTAAATGCCATTGCTGTATTCTTCTTTGGTTTTTTCCCCTGTGAAATCTGCTGATGGATTATTTTTTGTGCTTAGTCTATCCCTCACATATATTTCTCTTTCGGGAGTGATTCTTTACTCTGAATTCATGTTGTTAAGAACTCCACCTCCATGCCTTCATGATCAATAACTTGCTAACTGTGTTGCACGTGAAGACTTAATACGTTAAAGAGGCATCTTCTCGTCAGTGGTCAAGAGGGAATCGACGAACTCAGGAGAATTGCTGAAAGGTTTGAAGAACGGACTTATGAATCTTCCTCAAGCCAGGCACTTCCATAACTCTTGGGTTCCTAATGATTTATTTTTCTTTTCTTCCATAGTACATGCAATGTATTCTAAGTTTTGTTCTCTCCTTTTCCAGTCTGATTACCTACGGAGAATTTCTTTGAAGATGCTCACCTTTGAGGCCAAGTATCAATGGACAGCACCTACAGCCGCCCCCTCCAACCTAAAACGGCATCGTGTCTTCCCTTGACATGTGGAATATACAAATTTCGTGACTTGGTCTTAAATAAAATGCACATATTTGTGATGAAAAATTTCAAAAACTAAAGTGTTTGTCGAAGAAGAGCAAGAAACAATTTCTAAACTGTTTCTAATGCTCCAACTCTAGTAGGAACACTTTATTTATATGCTTGCAATAATCCTATATTTTATATTTTATATTGTATATTCTTGTTTCACAAGCAAAGTTGCTCTTTTCTCATGGGTCGAACTTAGCCCAAAGCTTACAAATCAAGAAGGAATGAGTAAACCACCGCTACCCAAAATGTGATATATAACCCACGACTATTTTATTTACACACCCTTAAATTCCGACACACTCACTGGCGGATCCACAGAGGAGCAAAGAGGTGCAGCTGCACCTCTCCTCGCCGGAAACTTCCTGTGGATGTCAGAATTTGCTCCTTCGCTATTGCCCACCAATTGTTCGACTAAATGCCTCAAAGACGTTGTTTTGTTTGCTGTTGTGTGAGACTCTAAATATTTACCTTAGATTGTTGGGCTCGATCTCACGAGCATGTAGGAGAAAACGGTTCATCAATTGGAGCTCCACAACCAAAGTTATGAATTTTCGAAGTTTTTCTAGAATTAAAGTTAGAGTTGCAGAGGCTCTTCAAGGAAGAAGAAAGACTCTGCTTCTCACTTTTGATTTTTTTTTAAATGGTCCAATAGCAAGCTGACACATGTCCATTTCTAATTGGCCTAACTTAAAAAATTCATTAAAAACTCATATGTGTGCCAAAAAATTCACACAAAAAATTACCCAGAACTTTTAATCACGTGTACTTTTATCTCTGACCTCCAAATCACATGTGCTTTAGTTAGATTAATTGGTATTAATTTTGGTTAGATTAATTGGTATTGACTTTTGTTAGATTAATTATGTAATTGACATGGATTTTGTTCATCTTTGATATGAATTTTGGTAAACTAATTGTGTCACTGACATGGATTTTGTTCATATTAATTGATATTCCATACAAACTGTAATCAATTAGTAATACACGTAAAATTCTTATTTGTTTTAATTACGAATAACATTAGTATTGTTAAAATTCTAAGGGCATTTGGTTGTCTAAATTAATTTTTGAATTTTTAGCCTTTTTTTTAACACACTACATGGATATTAGACTTGAACCTTGGACCTTGCTTGAGTCCTTCGCGATTTTTTCGTCTTTTAAATCTTGCACCTCCCCTGAAAAATTCCTAGATCCGTCACTGGACACACTAAATAACTTTATAAATGTTAGATGGATCACGTATAAACCATGAATTTATAACAAAAGGAGTGATTATTTAGGGTAAAACAAAAGACGACCCTTTTATTAGTGTAAGTTTCTAACTATTGAGAGAAAAAGATCCCAACTAAATATTTCATTTAAAAAGGATAAAGCAATAAAGTTATACAATTAAAAATATTAAATGCAAGAATAAATAAAAAAATAAACGAAAAACATGTCCTGCATTTTGAGAAGCTAGTATTTTGGATATATTAAAACAAAAGTTATAAAACTCATTATGAAATTAAACAAAACAAAAAAAAATAAGACAAAAAAATTCATGCATGTGTCCCAAGGGACTAGTATAAATTTAAGCAAAATAATAATACACAATTTAGATTGATGCATGGGCGGACAAGTGTCAAGAGGCTAATTTAAAATATGCGCCATATTTACGCGGGTTAGAGCGCGTGTTGAAAAGCTAGTTATTCATAAAAATAAAAGAGTGACGTAGTGGAGGGTTTCCGTGGACGAAAGTTTCCGGTTGGGGTGGGTGATTGCCCAGGGGGCAAAGATAAGTGGCAAGTGGCAACTTATAAAGTTGCAACGATACTGGTCTTATTGTCTTTTGTCCCCATGAGCTTATTCTGAACCAAACTAAAAAAAATCAGAAATTTGAAAAAAAAAGGACCCCAAAAAAAAATTCAGATATTGATGCATCAATCAATTCAGTCTTTCTCCACTTTGAGTCTTTGTGCCTGAAAGCCCTCTTCTTCCCCTAATTTCCGAATTCGGCAATTTTTCTTTCATCTCCCAAATTCTTCCGCTTCGAGCTGCCTAGGCTTTTCAATCTTCATACAGAAACGGTAAAAAAAAATTAAAAAAATTCAATTTTGTTGGAATTTTTTTTCCCTCTGATTGTCGAAAATCGTATTGAGTTTTCGATTGTATGTGAATTGTAAGCTTTGGTTTTGCATATGTGAATTCTGGGATTGTATATTGGAGAATTCAAGCATCAGGTCAGGTTCCTGGAACCATGCTTCAATCACAAAACGTAATGGATCAGCAAAATAAGTTATATCAATCTCAAAGAGCCCTTCCTGAGACATCATCAAGTATGATTTTTGCAATTATGTTGCTTTTCTTATCCATGTGCTTTCATGTTATTTAGATTATCAGGTTGCATTATGGGTCAACACTGTCACTTTTATGAGATTTAGCTGGTTTTGTGATGCAAACAGGCTTCTTATTTGTATGTTTGCTTTTGTGGTGCTACACTTTTTTTGGATGACTTCTGGAGAAATATATTTTGTTATGCCTGCTTAGTCAACGGAATGGACTTAGTCAATATACATGGATGCACAATGGACTTAGTCAACAGAATGTTTGTGCAGGCTACATGCCAAGTAGGTGCACTCCACCTTTATACTTTTATAGTTTCAGAACTTAGATAGTTTACTGATTGTTTGCTGTGACCATCACTGAAGCACAATACAAACACACAGTAGAGTAGTGTATACAATCCTGTTAAATAGGTGCATCATCCTTTATCTGTCAAACACGTTTATCCCTGGTTGTGTGCTTTATGTTGTTAAACCACATATCATGTCTTTTCCTATGCAAAATGTCCGGTTATGTTAAAAGATAGAGCTAAAACAAGCCATGTCTAGTGGAGGTAAAATTTTGTGAATTGTGTTTGCTAATTAGATGATCAGTGTGGTTTAAGTTTATATGAAAGGAATTGAGGGCGTTGACTAATATAGGATGCAGCACACTGGAGGAAAGATAAACGAAGCTAAATACCAAATCCATGATGAAAATTTCAGCTTTATTCTTGTATTCTCAATATCAATAGGCGGAACTAGGGCTTAATTATAGAGTTGACCTGGTTAGGTAGGAAATAGGCTTTATGGGCTTCAGTTACTCCTGTTTTTAAGGATTTTGCTCTCTTCTATTATGCGAGATTTGGTAGCGGTTGTGAAGTGATGTGTTGCTCTTTTCTTTTTTCCTGGGTGGCCTTTTTGTTTGCTTTTGTCCTCTTTTCCTTTGTTTGTTTTGGTCTTGAGGTTGCTGTTTTCTTTTGTTTTGCACTTGTGGATTCCTTATCCAGTTGCTTGTTTCTTTTTTCTATCTCTTTGAATTTATATAGTTTCTATTCCAAACAAAATATATAGGAAATAATCCACTAGGATAAGGAAATAGTAAGCCTACTGAAAGAATAGATTCTATGTAAATAGCATTGTTACTAGTTTTGCGTCTACTCCTAAAATAGGCATATAGACCATCTTGAGTCCCATAAGTATACCTTTCAACTCTGGTGCTTCTTGTTTATAATCAAAGTTGCTTGAAGATTTTATATCTTTGACTTTACTGATGAAAGCTGAAGCTTTTGTTTCCTTTCACTTCAGGTTTTGCATCTTTGTTTTTTCTTGACTTATCGTGTTAGAGAAATGTTCTTACATATTGTTAAGCTCTTTTCCAAACGTTTCTATTTCTTTGGCAAAAAGTAAATGTGAAACTTTCATCCCTTTGGTTTTAAAAATATGGTTTTTAATTCATGAATTTTGCTTCAATTGGTTTATAGATGAAGAGTTTTTTTTGTGGAGCCTTATTATTTTGCTACTTTGTTTATTAAATATAGTTGCCATGGATTGTCCACAATCTAGTGTGTGCATAGTCCTGTTCCGCTTTAGCTTATGAAGCTTCTACTGTGTCCTTAGACTGCTCATGTAATGAAATGATATTTTTAATTTTATTTTACAAACATACATTTTAAACTATTTTGGACAGGATAGTTTTCCATTTTTCTTTATCAATGTTCTGCAGGCAATGTTTTTTCTAAATCATAACCGTCTATGTGCAAATATCTGACATATATTTCTGTATATTTTGTAGCATCTCTAGATTCCACTGCCCAGACTGGACATGCAACTGGGGGTGATTGGCAAGAGGAGGTCTTTCAAAAAGTAAGATGCCCTGACTTGTTGTCCATTAAATGGCATTCACGTTGGATATAAGATTAGAAAGAAAGAGAATGCGCAATTTGGGGTTTGGCTATTTGTGTTGGGATTATATACAGGATTTGTGGGGAATGTAATTAACTGCTTTTCATATAGGAATATATAAAAATGCATGGTTTAGTATAGAAAAAAGGGCATAGCAGGTAATATAACTTAGGAATACACTTTTCAGGAAAATGGCATTCACATGTGATATAGGATTGAAAAGGGAATTGACGGCAGGGTTTGCTGGGATAACAGTAAATATCGGTAGAAAGAAGATTACAATTTATATTCACTATTACTATATTATTAAAAAGGAAGTTAGGGTAGGTTTGGCTGTCTTGGTAGGATCGTATTCAGGTTCTATCTGAACTGTCCATACCTTATGTACAAGCATGCATGAAGTCATACTTTCCAAATTCATTGTTGCATGAGCTCTTTTCCATTGATACTGTATTTTGAAGCATTGGACAGGAAAACTTATAGATGCTTGAGCTACTACGAAACAAAGAAATCTGGTGATATTATGGTATCTGCAAGCATGTAGCTACAGCAAAGTCCTTTCTAATCATCTTTGCCTTTTTGACTCGATTTTTGCAGATCAAACTCATGAAGGAGATGTACTTAACCGAACTCAGTGAAATATATCAGAAAATTGCTACTAAACTTCAGCGGGTTTGTAATCACTTAATTTTTTTTCCCTATACTATTTGTTGCTTAACGTTTACCATTGAGCAGTCTTTCTCTTTAAGGATATTGTGGTGATGGCCTATGATAGATCCCTCCAACTGGATCTACCTTTTACTTATTCCAGCCATGCATTATGCATACTGTCTACATGGGACTGTTACCCCACCAACGATGCCAATAATATTTTACCTTTTTCAGTTACAAAGCCAATAATATTATTTGCTACAAAATCTTGTTACTTCTAATATTGGTTGTATTTTGGCTTACTCATCATATATGTTGTTCTCTGTGTTTGCCAGCCTGATTCTCTTCCACAACGGCAGCTTGACAGACTGAAAATCTTCAGGACCGTGATAGAGCGCCTCATATCAGTCTTACAGATTTCCAAAAGTAGCATTTCACCTCGTTTGAAGGACAAGTTGTTTTTATACGAAAAGCAGATAGTAAATTTTATTTATGCCTACGAAGCCAGTTTCTGCTCTGCATCATGGACAGCACCCACAGCCGCCCCTCCTACCTGAAACGGCATCGTGTCTTCCCTTGACATGTGGAATATGCACATTTCGTAACTTGGTCTTAAATAAAATGCACATATTTGTGATGAAAAATTTCAGAAACTCGAGTGTTTGTCGAAGAAGAGCGAGAAACAATTTCTAAACTGTTTCTAATGCTCCCACTCTAGTAGGAACACTATATTTATAAATTATATGCTTGTAATAATCCTATATCTTATATTTTATGTTGTATATTCTTGTTCCGCGTGCAGAGTTTCTCTTTTCTCATGGGCCGAACTTAGCCCAAAGCTTACAAATCAAGAAGGATTGAGCAAACCACCACTACCTTAGTCACGCAAAGTTGTCTCCCACCCAAAATGTGATATATAAACCCACCACTATTTTATTTACACACCCTAAAATTCCGACACACTAAATAACTTTATATAGGTTAGATGGATCACGTATAAACCATGAATTTATAACAAAAGGAGTGTGATTATTTAGGGTAAAGCAAAAGACGACCCTTTTATTAGTGTTAAGTTTCTAAATATTAAGAGAAAAAGATCCTAACTAAATATTTCATTTTACAGGGATAAAGCAATAAAGTTATACAGTTAAAAATATTTCATTTTACAGGGAGAAGCTAGCATTTTGAATATATTAAAACAAAAGTTATAAAACTCGTTCTAAAATTTAAAAACAAAATAAGAAACAAAAAAAAAAATTATACGTGTGCACTGAGGAACTAGTAAAAATTTAAGCAAAATAATGATACACAATTTAGATTGATGTATGGGCGGGCAAGTGTCAAGAGGGTAGTTTAAAATATGTGCCATATTTACGCGGGTTAGAGCGCGTGTTGAGAAACTAGTTATCCATAAAAATAAAAGCGTGACGCAGTAGAGGGTTTCCGTGGATTGAAACGGAAGTTTCCGGTTGGGGTGGGTGATTGCCCAGATGAGGGGCAAAGATAAGTGGCAAGTGGCAACTTATAAAGTTTCAACGATATTGGTCTTATTGTCTTTTTGTCCCCATGAGCTTACTCTGAACCAAACTAAAAAAATCAGAAATTTGAAAAAAACCCCAACAACAAAAAAAAAAAGTCAGATATTGATGCTTCGTTTAAAATAGGATTTAGTTGTTTTGTTCCAACGCATCAATCAATTCAATATTTCTTCACTTGAGTCTTTGTGCCTGAAAACCCCCTTCTTCCCCAAATTTCCGACTTCGGCAATTTTTCTTTCATCTCCCAAATTCTTCTGCTTCGAGCTGCCTGGACTTTCAATCTCCATAAAGAAACGGTAATTTTTTTGTTTTCAATTTTATTGGATTTTTTTTCTTCTTTTCTATAGAAACAGATTAGGGGTTTGGTGTAAAATTCATTGTTGGGTGTTTTTTTTTCCCTCTGATTGTCGAAAATCGTATTGAATTTTCGATTGTATGTGAATTGTAAGCTTTGGTTTTGCATATGTGAATCCAGGGATTGTATATTGGAGAATTTCATGACAAAATCATGTTTAAAATCAGCTTAAGTGGATCCATTTTCGGACACAAAAAAGATTTAATATTTGGAAACTTTATCATCGTTTAAGTTTAGTATGTTTTGTACAAATTTTGTGCCCTTTTCGTGGGTTTACATTGAAGTTGCTCAATATTTTGTTCTTTTTTGTTTGACAGTTTGTTGGGTTCCTTGGATTTGATGGATACCAATAATTGGAGGCCTCCTCAAGTTGGAGAGGCCCCCATGGATGCAGGCGATTGGAGGAGTCAACTGCAGCCGGATTCAAGACAAAGAATTGTAAACAAGATGTATGTGTTTCTTTCGTAAGAAAAAAGCTTAGTGGATTGAATTATGTATCCTGAATTCACTTTCGTTGTTATGAACACTACCTCCATGCCTTGGTTGTTAGTAACTTATTGTAAATGTATTGCATGTGAAGAATGGATACATTGAAGAGGCATCTCCCTTTCTCTGGTCATGAGGGATTACAGGAGCTCAAGAAAATTGCTGTAAGGTTTGAGGAAAAGATTTATACTGCTGCCACAAGCCAGGTACTTCAATAACTCTTGGGTCCTAATTTTTCTTTGTATATGACAAGTAACTCTACTTAGATATGTACTGATCTATACATATGTAATTTCTTAAATAAACATGGTCTGTGTTTCAGCTTTCTTTGTATTTTGGATAGCAATGTAGTCTAAGTTTAGCATGGGTTTCTTTTTACAGTCAGATTACCTACGGAAGATTAGTCTGAAGATGCTAACAATGGAGACCAAGTCTCAGAACACAATGGCCAATTCTTTACAATCCAACTCTGCTGGTAATAGCAACAGGCCCCACGATCCAGGTAAAAACAACTATGGAAACTGTGCTCCAATTTCATGCACCTATACAACTTTCAGTTACTCTGTGAACTACTACTTTCTTCTCCCAGCATACATGCTTTATGAAATGGAGGGTGGGTTGTTATTCTATCTTATACGTAGCTTTCTACTTGATGGTTAAATGCTTGAAAAACCATATCGTTTCCTTTTTCCCACATTTCTTACCTGAGAAGATTCATTGTTGATATCTGTTGGCTTATATGGTGAAATTTCAAGACTGGAATCTGGTTGCTATATCTTTTTACTTAATTTTTTATTTATTACTTTTTTATCTATTTGGAAATGTTTATTTGGTATTTATTCTTTCTATTTTACATGAGTAGGGTCTTTTGGTATGCAAACCCAAGTCCCCAATCAAGGGCAATCGCTCTCTATGCCGTTGCCAGCTAATCAACCTGTGGCACGTCAACAACTCTTATCACAGAACATTCAGAATAACATTCCAGCTGCTGGAGTTCAAAGTTCTGCTGGCTTATCATCTGCTCTACCTCCTTCATCCGGTTTAACCCAGACTCCTATTCCAAGTATTGTTGGGCAAAATCAAAACATGCAGAATATGGGCCAGGGGGTACCCTCCAATATGTTTGCTACTTCTCAAAGGCAATTGCCAGGAAGGCAACAGGTAGTTCCACAACAGCAGCAGCAGCAGCAGCAGCAATCCCAGAATTCCCAGCAGTATATGTACCAACAGTTGCAACATCCGCTTTTGAAGCCCAAATATCAGCAGGGAAATATCCCACAACTTGTCCAACAGCAGCAACAGCAGCCGAACCTATTACAACCAACTCAGTTGCAGTCTTCTCAGCAACCTGTTATGCAAACATCATCTGTTATTCAACCTTCTATGGTGCAATCATCTCTCTCTAGTCTTCAGCAGAATCAACAATCTGCAATTCAACAGTCAACACCATCTATGCTTCAGCAGCATCCACAGTCAGTTCTCAGACAGCCTCAACAACAACAGGCCTCTGTTGTTCACCAACAGCAAACATCAATGCCACAACAGCCAATATTACCCCCACAGCAGCAGCAACAGCAGCAGCTTATGGTGCAACAGTCAAATGCTACGAGCTTGTCGCAGAATCAGCTAATCGGACAACAAAACAATGTTGGGGATATGCAGCAGCAACAGCAACAACAGAGGTTACTGAGCCAGCAGAATAACATTTTAAACCTTCAACAACAGCAGCAGCAGCAACAACAGCAACAGCAGCAACAACAGCAGCAGCAGTTAATGGCTCAGCAAAGCAACCTTTCGAATATGCATCAGCCACAGTTGGGCCCTCAGAGTAATGTTACTGGGTTACAGCAACAGCAGCACCTTGGAACTCAAAGTGGTAACTCAAGCATGCAAACTAATCAGCACTCTGTACACTTGTTGCAACAATCCAAGGGTCAAGGGCAGCAACAACAACATCAGAGTTCATCTAACTTGTTACCCACTCAAGGACAGCAGTCACAACCTCAGGCATCACAGCAACAATTGTTGTCACAAATTCAGTCACAGCCTACACAGATGCAGCAATTGGGTTTGCAACAGCAGTCAAATCCACTGCAACGAGATATGCAGCAAAGACTTCAAGCCTCAGGCCAGGTTCCTGGAACCATGCTGCAACCACAAAACGTAATGGATCAGCAAAAGCAGTTATATCAATCTCAAAGACCCCTTCCTGAGACATCATCGAGTATGATTTTTGCAATTATGTAGTTTCCAACACTTGTAATTGTTGCTTTCTTATGCATGTGATTTCATATTATTTAGATTATCATAGATGCATGTTTTGGACAGAATTTTACTTTTCATTTGGGCCGTTGCATTATGGGTCAACGCTGTCACTTTTATGAGATTTAGCTGGTTTTGTGATGCAAACAGGCTTCTTATTTGTATGTTTGCTTTTGTGGTGCTACACTTTTTTTGGATGACTTATGGAGAAATATATTTTGTTATGCCTGCTTGATGTATGGGTCTAGATTCCATGAAAATAATCGAACTTTGGAATGTTATCTTCTCATATGTGACTTCTTTATTACAATATACATGGATGCACAATGGACTTAGTCAACAGAATGTTTGTGCCAGCTATCATGCCAAGTAGGTGCACTCCACCTTTATACTTTTATAGTTTCAAAACTTAGATAGTTTACTGATTGTTTGCTGTGACCATCACTGAAGCACAATACAAACACACAGTAGAGTAGTGTATACAATCCTGTTAAATAGGTGCATCATCCTTTATCTGTCAAACACATTTATCCCTGATTGTGTGCTCTATATTGTTAAACCACATATAATGTCTTTTCCTATGCAAAATGTCTGGTTATATTAAAAGATAGAGCTAAAACAAGCCATGTCAAGTTTACATTTTTTAAAAGGTTAATTTGCAATATCTAGTGGACATAAAATTTTGTGAATTGTGTTTGCTAAATAGATGCTCAGTGTGGTTTAAGTTTATATGAAAGGAATTGAGGGCGTTGACTAATATAGGATGCAGCACACTGGAGGAAAGATAAACGAAGCCAAATACCAAATTCAAGATAAAAATTTCAGCTTTATTCTTGTATTCTCAATATCCATAGGCGGAACTAGGGCTCAATTATAGAGTTGACCTGATTAGATAGGAAATAGGCTTTATGGGCTTCAGTTACTCCTGTTTTTAAGGATTTGGCTGTCTCTTCTATTATGCGAGATTTGTTAGCGGTTGTGAAGTGATGTGTTGCTCTTTTCTTTTTTCCGGGGTGGCCTTTTTGTTTGCATTTGTCCTCTTTTCCTTTGTTTTGGTCTTGAGGTTGCTGTTTTCTTTTGTTTTGCTCTTGTGGATTCCTTATCCAGTTGCTTGTTTCTTTGTTTATCTCTTTGAATTTATATAGTTTCTATTCCAAAAAAAAATATAGGAAATAATCCACAAGGATAAGGAAATAGTAAGCCTACTGACAGAATAGATTGTATGTAAATAGCCTTGTTACTAGTTTTGCGTCTACTCCTAAAATAGGCATATAGACCACCTTGAGTCCCATAAGTATACCTTTCAACTCTGGTGCTTTTTGTTTATAATCAAAGTTGCTTGAAGATTTTATATCTTTGACTTTACTGATGAAAGCTGAAGCTTTTATTTCATTTTACTTCAGGTTTTGCATCTTTGTTTTTTCTTGACTTACAGTGTTAGAGAATGTTCTTACATATTGTTAAGCTCTTTTCCAAACGCTTCTATTTCTTTGGCAAAAAGTAGATGTGAAACTTTTCCTCATAAGCAGAAACTAGGAGCAAAATCTTATCTGAAGTGTCTTTCATCCCTTTGGTTTTAAAAATATGGTTTTTAATTTATGAATTTTGCTTCAATTGGTTCGTAGATGAAGAGTTTTTTTTGTGGAGCCTTCTTATTTTGCTACTTTGTTTATTAAATATAGTTGCCATGGATTGTCCACAATCTAGTGCTTGCATAGTCCTGTTCCGCTTTAGCTCATGAAGCTTCTACTGTGTCCTTAGACTGCTCATGTAATGAAATGATATTTTTAATTTTATTTTACAAACATACAGTTTAAACTATTTTGGACAGGATAGTTTTCCATTCTTCTTTATCAATGTTCTGCAACTGTGTCCTTAGACTGCTCATGTAATGAAATGATATTTTTAATTTTATTTTACAAACATACATTTTAAACTATTTTGGACAGGATAGTTTTACATTTTTCTTTATCAATGTTCTGCAGGCAATGATTTTTCTCAATCATAACCGTCTATGTGCAAATATCTGACATATATTTCTGTATATTTTGTAGCATCTCTAGATTCCACTGCCCAGACTGGACATGCAACTGGGGGTGATTGGCAAGAGGAGGTCTTTCAAAAAGTAAGATGCCCTGACTTGTTGTCCATTAAATGGCATTCACGTTGGATATATGATTGGAAAGAAAGAGAAGGCGCAATTTGGGGTTTGGCTATTTGTGTTGGGATTATATACAGGATTTGTGGGGAGTGTAATTAACTGCTGTAACAAGGGTAGATACTGGTGATCATATAGGAATATATAAAAATGCATGGTTTAGTATAGAAAAAAGTGCATAGAAGGTAATATAACTTAGGAATACACTTTTCAGGGCAATTGCGTTCACATGTGATATAGGATTGAAAAGGGAATTGACGGCAGGGTTTGCTGGGATAACAGTAAATATCGGTAGGAATACATATACGTTGTGTATGGATAGAAAATCAAAATTTCTATTATTTTCAGTAGAAAGAAGATTACATTCCCATATTACTATATTATTAAAAAGGAAGTAAGGGTAGGTTTGGCTGTCTTGGTAGGGATCGTATACAGGCTCTATCTGAACTGTCCATACCTTACGTACAAGCATGCATGAAGTCTTACTTTCCAAATTCATTGTTGCATGCGTGAGCTCTTTTCTGTTGGCACTGTATTTTTGAAGCATTGGACAGGCAAACTTATAGATGCATGAGCTACTACGAAACAAAGAAATCTGGTGATATTATGGTATCTGCAAGCATGTAGCTACAACAAAGTCCTTTCTAATTATCTTTGCCTTTCTTACTCCATTTTTGCAGATCAAAGTCATGAAGGAGATGTACTTACCCGAACTAAGTGAAATGTATCAGAAAATTGCTACTAAACTTCAGCAGGTTTGTAATCACTTCATTTTTTTTCCCTATACTATTTGTTGCTCAACATTTACCATTGAGCAGCCTTTCTCTTCAAGGATATTGTGGTGATGGTCGATGATAGATCCCTCAACTGGATCTACCTTTTACTTATTCCAGCCATGTATACTGTCTACATGGGACTGCTACCCCACCAACAATGCCAATAAAATTTTACCTTTTTTAGTTACAATGCCAATAATATTATTTGCTACAAAATCTTGTTACTTCTAATGTTGGTTGTTTTTTTGCTTACTCATCATATATATTGTTCTCTCTGTTTGCCAGCATGATTCTCTTCCACAACAACCAAAATCAGAGCAGCTTGACAAACTGAAAATGTTCAGGACCATGTTAGAGCGCCTCATATCAGTCTTACAGATTTCCAAAAATAACATTTCACCTGGTTTGAAGGAGAAGTTGCTTTTATACGAAAAGCAGATAGTAAATTTTATTAATACAAATAGACCTAGGAAGCCAGTTTCTTCTCTGCAGCAAGGGCAGCTCCCCCCACCCCATATGCACTCCATGCAGCAGTCACAATCTCAAATTACTCAAGTGCAATCTCATGAAAATCAAATGAACCCACAGTTGCAATCAATGAACTTGCAAGGTTCTGTGGCACCAATGCAGCCGAGCAATATGACAAGCTTGCAGCAAAGTTCTATGTCGGCTTTATCTGGGGTTTCAACAGCACAGCAGAACATGATGAATTCATTGCCACCTAGTTCCAGCATGGATTCAGGACAAGGGAATGCACTGAACTCATTGCAGCAGGTTCCTGTGGGAAGTAACCAACAAACTCCTGTCAGTGCTCCCCAACAAGCAAATATGAATGCCTTGTCATCACAGAGTGGGGTTAATATGCTACAGGCAAACATGAATTCCATTCAGTCAAATTCTGGTATGCTTCAACACCAGCATTTGAAACAACAGCAGGAACATCAAATGTTTCAGAATCAACTCAAGCAACAATTTCAACATCGACAGATGCAGCAGCAATTGATGCAGAAGCAGCAGTTACTGCAACATCAACAGCAGCAGCAGCAGCAGCAGCAGCAGCAGCAGCAGCAGCAGTTACAACTGCAAGCAAAGCAGCAGCTTTGCAGGCGCACCAACAGCAAATTCCACAGCTTCATCAAATGAATGACGTAAATGACTTGAAGATGAGACAGGGGATGGGTGTAAAGCCAGGGGTTTTTCAGCAACATCTCTCTGCAGGCCAGCGTGCTTATCCTCATCCGCCGTTGAAATCAGGATCTCCATTTCCTACAAACCAACTCCTTCAGGCTGCATCTCCACAAATTTCGCAGCATTCTTCTCCCCAAGTTGACCAGCAAAATTTACTGACTCACCCAAAAGCTGGAACCCCATTGCAAACTGCTAGTTCACCTTTTGTCATCCCGTCTCCATCAACTCCCATGGCCCCGTCCCCTATGCCAGGGGATTCTGAGAAACCTTCCTCACTCTCAAATGCTGGGAATGTCGGACATCAACAAACAACTGGTGTCGGAGCGCAGGTCCAGTCCCTTGCCATTGGCACCCCTGGGATATCAGCCTCTCCTTTGCTTGCTGAATTTAGCGTACCAGATACTCATGTTAATGCTTTGTCAACTATTTCTGGCAAGTCAAGTGTTACAGAGCAGCCTCTTGAACGCTTAATTAAAGCGGTTAGTAAAGCTGATTCTCTCGGAGTGGTTAAAATGATATGTTTCAGAACATACGTACTAAGTTCTTGTTTTCATCAAATCCCCTCAGTTGGATAAAATTTCTGTAATTGTATCTTTCAGGTGAAATCGATGTCACCAAATGCATTAAGTGCCTCTGTCAGTGACATTGGCTCTGTAGTCAGTATGATTGATAGGATAGCAGGGTCAGCACCAGGTAATGGATCCAGAGCTGCAGTTGGTGAGGATTTAGTTGCCATGACAAAGTGTCGTCTGCAAGCAAGAAATGTTATGACTCATGATGGAACAAATGGGACTAGGAAAATGAGGCGCTACACTAGTGCCGTGCCCTTAAATGTGGTGTCATCAGCTGGCAGCATGAATGATAGTTTTAAGCAGTTGACCAGTTCAGAGACATCTGATCTGGAGTCAACTGCAACATCTCGTATCAAGAGGCCAAGGATTGAGGTATTAAACTTTTGTTGTGGTATATACTCATCAAGCAATGAAAACTAGTTGCCTGCCTTCGCCCATTTTGAGATGAGGCATTTGCCTCTTTGGAATACTTTTATTATATTTTTATATTATAAAGATGGGCAGTAGATGTTAACTGTGAGTCCACTGTTTAAGGTGCTGCATTGTTGTTAGATTCTAGAAGAAAAGCAACTTTTTGGGAATAAAGTTCTTGTGCTTAAGAAGAAGAAAAAAGGACATTTGAGGGAATAATGTTCTCTTATTTTTTTCCTCTGTGGGGAGAGAGAGATTCATTATTGGATCAGGAAATTGCGGAACCAACCTTAATCCTGCTTCTTCAGTGGACGTGATTAATTATGTGGCTTATCTTGCAGGCTAATCATGCTCTTTTGGAAGAAATAAGAGAAATAAATCGGCGGCTTATCGACACAGTTGTTAATATCAGTGATGAAGATGTTGATCCTAGTGCAGCCGCTGCTGAAGGGGGTGAGGGAACCATTGTCAAGTGCTCGTTTGATGCTGTGGCTCTCAGTCCAAACTTGAAATCGCAGTACGCGTCAGCACAAATGGTGGGCTCTCAAATGTGAATTTAATGACTTGTTACCTGTGTTCATAATATTGATATTTCTTGTATTTACTTGTCTTAATATGGTGCAGTCACCAATTCAGCCATTAAGACTGCTTGTTCCCATGAATTATCCCAACTGCTCTCCAATACTCTTGGACAAGTTTCCAGTCGAAGTCAGGTGAGGAAATAAGCAATCCGACTTTACATACTGCTGCTGCTGTTAAATAAACTAAGAGATGTGGCATTTCTTACTGAGAATACTCGGCATAAATTTGACTTTAATGTTTTTCTTTGACAGTAAGGAGTATGAAGATCTTTCTGTAAAGGCAAAGTCAAAGTTTAGCATCTCTCTACGAAGCATTTCACAACCCATGTCCCTTGGTGAGATAGCAAGGACTTGGGATGTTTGTGCACGTGCAGTTATTTCCGAGCATGCGCAGCAGAGTGGTGGAGGCAGTTTTAGCTCGAAGTATGGGACATGGGAGAACTGCTTGAGTGCTGCTTGATAATCTTTCTTCAGACCTGAAATAAGCCGTGATGCATAATTTATCTACTGCTGTTTTGCTGCAATGATAAAGCAATTTTTGGATGGTCTAGGTTAAGGCGTGTATAGGAGAAACTTGTTATGTTTTGTATATGGCCAGATTTTCCAAAGTGAATAATGTTGGGGGTTGTTCTTGTTGGATTTATCCTAGGTAACATATGTGTGTTGTAGTTTGGATACTGTAAATCATCTGTGATCTGTGTCTTTTTCGTTGGGTTGAAAATGCCCCATTATATGCAGTATTCTGCTGTCTGTTTGTGACAAATTGTATCAATATTCCCATCCCCTTCTCCTGGTGGTTCTATAAGATGGATATCCCTGGAGAAATAAGAAGAATTTCATCTGAGTGAGGACCTTCTTGTGGTCAGATCGGATGGACCCGATCCGATCTGTCCGGGCTTGGGGCTGGGGTTGGGGCCAGGTACATATGTGCTGGGGTGGGCAGAGGACGTTTTGGAGTCCGTGTAGCACTTGATAACAAAATTTGGAGCACCTTCTCTTCTATCTGAATCAGCAAAAGGATGCAATGCAATGTCAGTTGCACAGGCTCTCTATAGAGAAGTATATTTATGTTAAGAGCATCTACAATCATGTTCCCTATTTTTTAGTTAAAATTTAGTTAAAATACACATAAGTTATTTTAGGAGCTCTCTATAAAATTTGAACTCCAATCATACTCCTTAGTTTAGAGAGTCATAAATACTATAATTATTTTTTAATTCAATATAATTGATCCATCTCTATACAAAGTAATATTAAAAAAATAGTTTGCGTTAATTAAAATTTTAAAATATGCATAAAACAACATTATTTCGTCCAAAAAAAAACATTAAATTATAGGGAGCCACTAGGAATCCTCTCTCTTCTTAGATTTAGGAGCTCTTAGAGGTCTCCCTATTTTAGGAGGTGGATAGAAAACATGGTTGCAGTTGTATTTTTCCAATTCCTCTATAAAATTTGTCTAAGTAGATGGTTTAGAGAGTTCATTGTAGATAATGGATATTGCTTTACTCTTATTGATAAAATAAAATTGGGGAAAAAAATTTAAAAGAAAAAAAGGATCCGAGCATATATTATATAGTATAGCCGCTCGGCTATACTATTTATTAAAGAAACGTTTTTTTTAAAAAGTGTCGAGTAAAGCCACGGGGCTGTCCTATTTTTTTTTAAATGAAAAAAACCACGTATCGCTGCGTGGCTATACTACTTACGAAAAAAAGGACTTGCCTAGCGATTAGGCGCCCACGTGTTTAGAAATATTATAGCTGCTCGGCTATACTAATTTTTTAAAAAAATATAAAAACCCGAGTATGGCCACTGGGCTATACTATTTATAAAAAATAAAAAAAACAAAACGAATGCCTAGTGCATAGGTATCCACGTGTCACAAACAGTCTAGCCGCGCGGCTATACTATTTTTAAATCAAAACCATAGTATACCGGCTATACGCGTTGAATATATTATATTTAAAAGGTATAGCTGAGCAGCTATACTATTTAATATAAAAAATAATTAAGAAAAAAGGACCCTCCTTTTGCATTAGTTTATACTTTATAGATATTACTTTGCTAGTTTTAACATTTCCTAATTTGATATTGAAGAGACATGAACTTCATACTAAATCAATCGGAGAGTTCAATTTTCTCCTTTTTTTTGGTGTGGGAATGTTTGCCTTTGATCGACCTCGTTCTCTCGAGTGCTACTAAATTTGGTTACTGCATACATTTTTTATCATAAAGAATTGCATGCTGAGTTAGAGTGTTCTTAGTAATTACTTCACTTTCCAAACAACAATTTACATAAAGAATACTAGCACATCTCTTACTGATATACCCATAAATCTTTGTTTGAAATTGTTGTTCTAGTTGGCAAAGAGATTGCAAAATCACCATCTTGTGATTTATCTGGTGTTGTGATGTAGACAGGCTCCGTAATTATTATTTGTTTTTATGATACATCTTTGTTTGTCCTTTTTTGTGTTTTAAATGTTACTTAGCAATATCTAGTGGACGTGAAATTTGTGAATTGTGTTTGGTAATTTGATGATCAGTGTGGTTTAAATGTAAAAGGAACAGAGGGTGTTGACACAGGAATAAAGATAAAAGAAGCTAAATCCCAAATTGATGAAAAAAATTTCAACTTTGTTCTTGTATTCTTAATATCAGTAGGCTGACCTGCAGTTCAATTATAGAAAGGAAAACCCCACAAGGATCATGACATAGTTATATGAAATAATAATCCTGAAGGACAGGGAAATAGTTACAAAACCCCCTAAAATGGGTATATTACCACCTTGATTCCCGTAAGTGTACCTTTCAACTCTGGTGCTTCATGTTTGTAATTGAAGTTGTTTGGAGATATTATGTCTGTGATTTGATTGATGTCTTAGTTTTTTCATGCCGTATGGTGGTAGAGAAAATGTTTTTACATATTGTTAACGCCTTTTCTCTTGATATTCAACTCTAAAAGTTTTTTTTTCTTTGGTAAAAAGTAATTGTGAAGCCTCATCTGAAGCGTCTTTCTTCCCTTTTAGTTTTGAAAATATAGCCTTTTATTTCTTCAGGTTTGCTTCAATTGGTTTATAGATAAAGGGTTTTGGGTGGAGCCTTATGGTTATGCTACTGTGTTTAGTAAATGTAGTTGCTCATCAATGTACTATCTACAATTTACTGCATACGTATTCCTGTTCCGCTTCAGCTCATGAAGCTTCTAGTATGTTCTTAGACTGCTAATGCTGTAGGGAATGATATTTTCATTCTATTTTACGAAAAACGCATCTTTAACTGTTTTGGGCAGGATAGTTTTCCATTTTTCTTACCGCTTCTGCAGGCAATGCTTTTTCAAAATTATAACCCTCATAATCAAATTTTGTACAATCTTATCTGCTTACATTGACACAAATTTCTGTTAGGATTTTGGCTCGTCAAATATGTCCTAGTTGGTTTAGGATTGTTTTAGGAAAATTAGAGGTATACCAATTCCTGTCCTAGAGGGATTAGGAAAGAATTTCAGTTTTCCTTATTCAATTCAGGTTTGGTTTTCTAGAAGTCTATTAGGATTTGAATAAGTGTAATTTCCTAATCCACTTAGGAATAGGAATCCAATCAGCCTTGGGACATGTAAGCCAACTCTATATCTATAAATAGGGTGTGGCAAGGCTTATTTTAAAGAAAGGAAAAACAGCCAGAGACAGCCAAGAGTTTTGAGATTAGTTCTAGGGTTGCAAAAGTTCTGTAATCTCTATTATTAATCAAAGGAGCGGTGATTTCTCTACCTAGAGAAATCACAACTGGACGTAGGCAAAAGTTCTGCCGAACCAGTATAATTCTTGTGTGTTCTAAGTGTTTTAATATTTGCTAGTTTAGTCTATTGCCGTTGGTTACATCAAAGAACAAGATCTAGAAGGCGAGTTATTTAACAAGTGGTATCAGAGCCAGGTTAAGGGGTTCTACGATGTCTAAAGGGAAGATGAATGCGGATCTAGGACCTGCGTTAAAGCCCTTTGACGGCAAGGATGACTTCACGGATTGGCAAAGGATGATGAAGAACGTACTGATACAGCAAGATTTGGATGATGCACTCAGTGGTGAGAAGCCGACAGGCATGACAGACGCAACATGGACCAAGGTTCTCAAGAAAGCCAAGAGTTCCATCGAGATCCATCTCACAAGATCAGTTCGGTCACACATCACAGAAAAGATGACTGCCCAAGAAGCATGGGAAAAGTTGGAGAATGTTTATATGGGCAAAACCGTGTCCAATAAACTTTTTCTAAAGGATGAACTATTCGGACTTCGACTGGAAGAAGGAGGTGATATTGAAGATCACGTATGCAGGTTTCAAAATTGCATAACTAATCTTCAGAAGGTCGAAGAAACTTACAAAGATGATGATATGGCTATCATCTTGCTGAGGTCTCTACCTTCGTCTTTCAAGCACTTTCGAACAACTCTAATGTTTGGAAAAGAGTCCCTGAAGCTTGAAGACGTGATTCAAGCTCTTCAGTCATATGCTAAACTAGATGATATAACTGAAAGCTCTCAAGGCCTTTATGCCAAAGGCAAGGAGAGGGGGCGGGAAAAGACAAAGGAAGAGAAAACAGGCAACAGAGGTAGGTCAAAATCCAAGAAGAAAAAGGAAAAGAAGGAAGGTTGCTTCGAATGTGGTTCAGCCGATCATTGGAAGAGGAACTGCAAGATTTGGAAAGAGAAGAAAGCCAAGAGGGAAGGAAGCTCGGGTTTAGCTAGTGCAGTCACCGAGCATGAGAGTGACGGGGAGCTTCTTTCAGTAACATCAGGCTCCAATGCTTTCACAAATTGGATTTTGGATACCGGATGCACTTTTCATATGTGTGCAGTAAGAGAATGGTTCGATACTTACAAAGAAGTCAGCAGCGGGGAAGTTTTAATGGGGGACGATTCTTCATGTCCTGTAAAAGGAATCGGCACTGTTCAAATCAGAATGTTTGATGGGATGATATGAGTTTTGGGGAACGTTAGATATGTCCCTAGACTAAGAAAGAATTTGATTTCCTTGGGTACTTTAGATGAGGCCGGCTATGGGTACGAGTCTAAAAAGGGAAGACTCAGGGTAGCCAAAGGATCATTGGTGGTAATGCGGGTGACCTACAACCCAATAAGCTGTATAAGTTAATTGGGACGACTATAGTTGGGGGAGCAGCTGTTTCTGTAAATTAAGGTATAGAAGACAAGACTGAACTCTGGCATCATAGGCTCGGGCACATAAGCCAGAAAGGGTTGCAAGAATTACACAAGCAAGGCCTGTTGGAAGGCGTGTCATCTTGCAAACTGGACTTTTGTGAATATTGTGTTCTTGGAAAGCAAAGGAAGGTATCATTCACGAGTAGCAATGCAGATAACCGAAGCAAGGAGCAACTCAGCTATATTCACTCAGATGTTTGGGGCCCTGCACCAACCAAATCAAATGGTGGAGCCAGGTATTTTGTTACTTTCATGGATGATTTTTCTAGGAAGGTTTGGGTTTATTTCATGAAGCAGAAATCCGAGGTTTTTGCAAAGTTCAAGGAATGGAAAACAGAAACCGAGAATCAAACTGGAAGAAAGATCAAGTACCTGAGAAGTGACAATGGAGGTGAATATACAAGTAATGAGTTTACTGATTACTGCAAGCAAGAAGGCATCACAAGGCACTTCACAGTAAAGAAGAATCCCCAACAAAATGGAGCTGCTGAGAGGATGAACCGAACTCTCATGGAGAGAGAGAGAGAGAGAGAGAGGAGCATGCGATTTCATGCAGGATTGCCTGATAGTTTTTGGGCAGAAGCTGTTAATCATGCAAGTTATTTGATTAACAGATCACCATCTACAGTTCTCAGTTTTAAGAGTGCAAAAGAGGTATGGTCTGAGAAGCCGGTGGACTATTCCAAGCTCAGGGTATTCGGCTGTAGTGCTTATGCACATATTCCAAGCGATGAAAGGTCCAAGCTCAAACCAAAGTCTACACATTGCATATTCTTAGGTTTTGAGAAAGGAGTGAAGGGTTTCAAGCTTTGGGATATCAACAACAGGAAAAAGGTTGTCAGCCGAGATGTTGTCTTTGATGAGACAACCATGCCTCTGAATAAAGTCGAGAGCAGTAGGGAGAAGAAAGACGATGCTGAAATTGAAGCAACAAAGATTCCGCTAATCAGTTCAGACGAAGAAGAAGCTCAGGTGGAGCAAATTGAGCAAGATGCCGAATCTGATGGTTTTGAGGAAGAAGATGAGTATCAGCATCATTCACCAGTTAGGAATCAGGTTGAGCAAGAAATAGGGCAGATTGAAGGCACTATAATCCGCCAAACATCCCAAAGGGTTAGAACTCCAACCAACAATCCACCTGCATTCCAGAGATGCATAGCACTGGACAAACCTAATCGGAACAAGAAGAAACCTGACAGGTTTGGGTTTGACCAAGACGAAGTTAATTATGCTCTCAACATTAGTCAAGGAGATCCAACTACTTATCGAGAAGCTATAGCAAGTGATGAGCGAGATAGTTGGATAAGTGCTATGACAGAAGAAATGGAGTCTCTTTACAAGAACTCTGTTTGGGAGTTGGTTCCTAAGCCCAAAGACAGAAAGCTAGTTGGATGCAAGTGGGTATTTAGGAAAAAGGAAGGACTACATGAACAAGATGCCGTGAGATTCAAAGCAAGGCTCGTGGCTAAAGGGTACTCACAAAAGGAAGGGGTGGATTATGATGAGATCTTTTCACCCGTAGTTAAGCATACTTCTATCAGATTGCTTTTAGCAATGGCAACTCAGCATGACATGGAGATTGAGCAGATGGATGTGAAGACAACGTTTCTTCATGGGGATCTAGAGGAGACAATTTTCATGGCTCAACCAGAAGGGTTTGTTGAATATGGGAAAGAAAACCTAGTATGTCAGCTAAAGAAGTCCCTGTATGGCCTGAAACAGTCTCCAAGACAGTGGTACAAGAGGTTCGATTACTTCATGCTGAAAATCAATTTTAGAAGATGTTTATATGACTGTTGTGTGTACTATCATGTGTTCCAAGATGGGATGATCATATTGCTATTGCTATATGTGGATGACATGCTAATCGCTTGTCAAGACAAGTCTAGAATTCAAGACTTGAAGAAGATGTTGAGCAAGGAGTTTGACATGAAGGATCTAGGTGCAGCACAGAAGATCCTTGGCATGGAAATTCAGAGAGATAGGACCGCTGGAAGGATTTGGATATCACAAGCCAAGTATATTCAGAAGGTTCTTGAGAAGTTCAACATGCAAGAAGCAAAGGTAGTTTCGACTCTTTTGGCAGCTCACTTCAAGTTAAGTGGGCAACAGTGTCCTAAGTCCGAGGAAGAGCAGCAAGTAATGGAGAAGGTTCCTTATGCTAATGTCGTGGGCTGCCTTATGTATGCAATGGTATGCACACGTCCAGACATAGCTCAAGCAATCAGTGTCGTTTCCAGATACATGGGAAATCCAGGAAAGCAACATTGGGATGCAGTCAAGTGGATTTTGCGTTATTTGAAGGGTTCTTGGCGACAAAGGATTATGTTTGAGAAGCAAAAAGAAAATGCAAGGGTGTTGGGATATGTGGATGCTGATTATGCAGGGGACTTGGACAAGAGAAGGTCAACTTCTGGTTATGTGTTTACATGCGCAGGAGGACCGATCAGTTGGAGAGCACTACTGCAACCAATTACAGCTTTGTCGACCACAGAGGCAGAGTATATTGCATTGGCCGAAGCTGGAAAGGAAGCAATTTGGCTTAATGGCTTGGTAAGTCAAATGGGAATCACCCAAGATTGTGTGAAGCTGAAGTGTGATAGTCAAAGTGCCATTCACTTGGCAAAGAATCAAGTTTTTTCTGGAAGATCAAAGCACATTGAAGCAAGATATCACAGAATCAGAAATTGGGTGGAGTCTAAGGAGATTTGGATTGAAAAGATTCATACAGATGACAATGCTGCAGATTTCCTTACAAAGATAGTGCCGGCCAAGAAGTTCAAGCATTGCTTGAACTTGATCAATCTCGTTGATTGATTAAAGTGGAGCACCTCCTCACTTGAGGTGCAATGAGGCAAGAAGAAGATTGCCAAGGTGAAGACTCTTGAAGATTTCCAGAGCTGCTTCAAAGAGGTTCAAAGATACTCTGGGGTGCAACGATCAAGACTTGGTTTGACTCACCAAGGTGGAGATTGTTAGGATTTTGGCTCGTCAAATATGTTCTAGTTGGTTTAGGATTGTTTTAGGAAAATTAGAGGTATACCAATTCTTGTCCTAGAGTGATTAGGAAAGAATTTCAGTTTTCTTTATTCAATTCAGGTTTGGTTTTCTAGAAGTTTATTAGGATTTGGATAAGTGTAATTTCCTAATCCACTTAGGAATAGGAATCCAATTAGCCTTGGGACATGTAAGCCAACTCTATATCTATAAATAGGGTGTGGCAAGGCTTATTTTAAAGAGAGGAAAAACAGCCAAAGACAGCCAAGAGTTTTGAGATTAGTTCTAGGGTTGCAAAAGTTCTGTAATCTCTATTATTAATCAAAGGAGCGGTGATTTCTCTACCTAGAGAAATCACAACTGGACGTAGGCAAAAGTTCTGCCGAACCAATATAATTCTTGTGTGTTCTAAGTGTTTTAATATTTGCTAGTTTAGTCTATTGCCGTTGGTTACATCAAAGAACAAGATCTAGAAGGCGGGTTATTTAACATGCATTGCATCTCCAGATTCCGCAGCCCAGACTGGACATGCAACTAGGGGTGATTGGCAAGAGCTGGTCTATCAAAAAGTAAGATGTCCTGACTTGTTTTCCATTCAAGGGTATTCACTAGGATATATGATTAGAAAGAAAGGTGCAATTTTGTTGGCTTTTTTTTTTTTTTTTTTTTTTTTTTTTTTTTCCCGGATTTTTGCTATGTTTTTGGGTATTATTTATCCTTTTCAAAAAGAAAAAGAAGGTATTGTATACAGGATTCATAGGGAATGTAATTAGCTTCTGTAACAACAGAACGTAATGATAATGATATTGGAAATATATATATATATATATATATATATATATAAACAAATGATTACTATTATAATAGAAAACACGGCATAGCAGGTAATATAACCTAGGATGGCATTGTTCAGAAGAAAATGCTGTTCTCATGTGATATAGAAAAACGAAGCTAAATTTTATGAAAAATACTCTTTAGTCCAGTGCTACCTGATTGTTATTGCATGAAATAATATTAGTACTGCATGACAGTGTCATGAATGATTAATGCATTCCACGTGAAAAACAGAGTGGCTTTGTGGCCACCCTTTTACTATTTCTCCACCCATACTGCCACACAATTTTAAAAATCTTAATCTACTTGCATCATCTACCAATATTCCGAAACTGTTCTTGTGCCCTTCCCCCTCCTTTAACCCCAACAAAAGAAAACTTTTATCGACAAAACAAAAGATTTCTGGCTTGCATGGTTCCCAGCTGTGGCAGCCACAAATTTTTTGTTTTTTTTGTGTTTTTGTTTTTATAATCAGTTCTCTGTTTCTTTCTTATTTTACAATTTATTTAGGGTTTTAAAAGTTTTCCTCACCTCATATGCACTCCATGCAGCAGTCACAAACTCAAATTACTCAAGTGCAATCTCATGAAAATCAAATGAACCCACAGTTGCAATCAATTAACATACAAGGTTCTGTGGCAACAATGCAGCAGAACAATATGACAAGATTGGAGCAAAATCCTGTGTCTTCTTTATCGGGGTTTTCAACAGCACAGCAGAACATGATGACTTCATTGCAGCTTAGTTCCAACATGGATTCAGGGCAAGGAAATGCACTGAACTCATTGCAGCAGGTTCCTGTGGGCAGCAACCAACAAACTCCTGTCAGTGCTCCCCAACAAGAGAATATGAATGCCTTGTCATCACAGAGTGGGGTTAATATGCTACAGGCAAACATGAATTCCATTCAGTCAAATTCTGGTATGCTTCAACACCAGCATATAAAACGACAGCAGGAGCACCAAATCAATTATGTAAATGAGTTAAAGATGAGACGAGCTGCAGGCCAGCGTGCTTTTTCCCATCAGCAATTGAAATCAGGATCTCCATTTCCTATTTCATCAACAACACAATTCCTTCAGGCTGCATCCCCTAAAATTTCGCAACATTCTTCACCCCAAAATGACCAGCAGAATCTACTGGCTCACACAAAAGCTGGAACCTCTAGCTCCCCATATGTCATCCCATCTCCTTCAACTCCGATGGCTCCATCCTCTATGCCAGGGGATTCTGAGAAACCCTCCTCACTCGCAAATGCTGGGAAGATTGGGCATCTACAAGCAACTGGTGTCGGATCACAGATCCAGTCCCTTGCCATTGGCACCCCTGGGATATCAGCCTCTCCTTTGCTTGCTGAATATAGTGTACCAGACGGTACTCATGTTAATGCTTTGTCAACTATTTCTGGCAAGTCAAATGTTACAGAGCAGCCTCTTGAACGGTTGATTAAAGCGGTTAGTAAAGCTGATTCGTTTCCATCTCTCTCTCTCTCTCTCTCTCTCTCTCTCTCTCTCTCTCTCAGAGTGCTTGAAATGTTCTATCAGTAAATACTTTCTAAGTTCTTGTTTTCCTCAAATTCCTTCAACCGTGTTTGACTTAAAATTTATGTAATTTGAACTTTCAGGTGAAATCGATGTCTTCAAATGCATTGAGTGCCTCAGTCAGTGACATTGGCTTAGTAGTGAGTATGAGTAGGATAGCAGCGTCAGCACCAGGCAAGGGATCTAGAGATGCAGTTGGTGAGGATTTGATTACCATGACAAAGTGTTGTCGGCAAGGAGGGAATGTTTTGACTCGTGATGGAACAAATGGGTCTAGGAAAATAAGACGCTTCGCTAGTGCCGTGCCCTTAAATGTTGTGCCATCAGCTGGCAATGATAGTTTCAGGCAGTTGGCCAGTTCAGAGACATCTGACCTGGAGTCAACTGCAACATCTCGTATCAAGAGGCCTAGGATTGAGGTATTAATCCTTTTTTTGGTATATGCTTCTAGAAATGACAGCTGTTGCAGTTGTAAAAGCTTTGATTGGGCACACTTAAAATATTAAAAAGGGATATCACATCATGAAATGAAATTTCCAGCAAGACTGCAAAGCTAGTTGCTTTCCTGCACACCTATATGCATATGCTTCTTGTGTGCCTGGAGTGCTTTGGCACATTCTGAGTGAGGCACTTGCCTCCGTGTGAGTCCACTGTTAAAGATGTTACATTGCTTTTAGATTAGAGGAAAAAAGAAACTTTTGTTGAATGGAGTGATTGTTTGTGTTTAGGAAAAAATAAAAAAGTGCATTTGAGAGCATTGAGGGCATAATGAGAGATTCGTTACTGGACCAAGAAATTTCTGAACCAACCTGAACACATATCATTTATTGCTGGTCTTAACTCAATGTTATTTGTTTAAACAGTTCCCCGTCTCAAAGTATTTCAATTTCTGGTCAAAAGGCTCATTCCTGCTTCTTCATTGGACGTAATTTTGTGGTTTATGTTGCAGGCTAATCAGGCTCTTTTGGAAGAAATAAGAGAAATAAGGCAGCGGTTGATCAACACAGTTATTGATATCAGTGATGAAGATGATGACCCTAGTGCACCTGCTGCTGATGGGGGTAAAGGAACCATTTTCAAGTGCTTTTTTGATGCTGTGGCTTTCAGTCCGGACTTGAAATCGCAGTATGCTTCAGCACAGATGGTGGGCTCTCAAACATTAATGCAATGACTTCTTACCTGTCTTCAAGATATTTATATTTCGTATTTACCTGCCTTTAATATGGTGCAGTCACCAATTCAGCCATTAAGACTGCTTGTTCCCAGCAATTATCCCAACTGCTCTCCAATACTCTTGGACAAGTTTCCAGTTGAAGTCAGGTGAGGATAGGCACTCTGCCTCTACATTCTTCTGCTGCTGCTGCTGTTACATAAACTAAGAGATGTAGCATTTCTTATTGAGAATTCTCAGCCATATGGGCTTATGTCCTTTCTTATTTACCCCCATTCTGGTGAAATCCTATTTCAAACGCAACATGCCGTAATGATCAAACAAAGAATCTATTCCTCAGTTTCTGTCGGTAACAGTATGTGGCGCTGTAATGGTCAAACAAAGAATCTCTTTATTTATTTTCAGTTCTCTTTTGAGTTTATGTACTCATTTTGCTTTCATGTGTTAAATTCTAAAGGTTTTCTTTTAAGCATAAATTTGACTTTACTGTTCTGCTTTGGCAGTGAGGAGTATGAAGATCTTTCTGTGAAAGCAAAGTCAAAGTTTAGCATATCTCTACGAAGTATTTCAGAACCCATGTCCCTTGGGGAGATAGCAAGGACCTGGGATGTTTGTGCATGTGCAGTTATTTCCGAGCATGCACAGCAGAGTGGTGGAGGCAGTTTTAGCTCAAGGTATGGGACATGGGAGAACTGCTTGAGTGCTGCTTGATCATCTCTCTTCAGACCGGAAAAAGCTAGTCCAAGGGTCGTTATCTAAACCGTGATGCATAGTTTTTCCACCGCTTTTTTGCTGCAACGATGAAGCAGGTTTAGGATAGTCTGCATGTATAGGAGGAATCTGTGATGTTTTGTATATGGTCAGATTTTCCGAAGTGAATAATCTTGGGATAGTTCTTGTTGGATTTTTCCTAGGTAACTTCTGTGTGTTGTAGTTTGGATACTGCAAATCATCTGTGATCTGTCTGCATGTTTTCGTTGGGTTATGCCGCATTATGCACTATTCTGCTACGTCTGCTTGTAACAAAATTGTATCAATATTCTGCATTCTGCAGGACTAGTGTCATGACCGCCTCTCGCAGTAATAATGTGTGAACTGTCACAATGTGAAGCAGTTCGTTAATTTGTTTTTCCCCCCTTTTAAGGGAGAGAATGGGGATATGGATTGTTTATATAAAAAAATGGAGATATGAATCTTTTCGGTTTTTTGTTGTTGTTCTTATTTAAACTTATATGTTCTACGGCTGCATTTGGATCGCGGAAAGAAATTCACTCTCAATTATTTTCCAAATGGATGAGAAATGGAGACTCCTTTCCATGTTTGGTAACATTGGGGAAGTTGTTTATGTTTAATTTTTGTAGGAGTTGAAAATATTTTTTTTTTTTCAATTATACAAAAATATATTGGGGCGTCAGATATGAGTTTAGCTAAGTTAGCTAGAGCGGATGTGTTCTCCATCCGAGTTTGAATCTCATTCCCTATAGAATATCGTTTGGATTTAAAAAGACCATATTGGGGTAATCATAAAAACATATTTAATGCTTCTTTTTTTTAATTACCTACGCGAAAGGAAAATGAAATTCAATTGGGTTGGAGGATTGGAGGGTTTCATTTAATTTCTTATGTTTGGACTCACCAAACATAAGAAAATACCAAACATAAGAAATTAAACTATTTTCTAAACTAATTTGCTTGCAAACCAAACGCCTACAATTTTTACAAAGAGGATAAACTGGCGGCAGCAAGAGTTCATAAGCCCAATGGGCCGACTTTGTACCCGAACAGAACCAAAGCGAAGATGAGGATGTTCTATATCCCAAACCGACCCGGAATTTTTACGACATCTTTCTTTCTCATACAAGAAAAGTGCTCGACAGAACCCAAAAGAAATGCAAATTGCTGGCTTCACTCTTTGGTCGAAACAAATCGAAGAACGAAATTGAACAAGGTAAAAACCCTAAATTTCATCAACGCAAACTTCGGATGAATTATTTACGTGTGGATTCAATTGTTTGCTCGCGCCATTTTTTCCTTTTACTTCAGTACTTCTTTCTGCGAATAAATCCCAAAAAATTTAGGTGTACGTTTGGATGCTGAGAAAAACTTGAGAGAAAGTTAAAATTTCTTTGAAGAATTAGGAAATTTGTGATAGTTTTGTTTTCAGCATCCGGCGATTAATTTAGTCATATTTTTCATTTCTCTAATTTTTCATGGATTTCCTTGCTTGTTTGCTGAAAAAAGCATGGAAACGAAGATAAATTGAAAGCTTAGGTTGCATTAACACTAAATTGAGTCTGATTTCTGATGGATGTTTTGTTGAAATCTTTCTTCTGCTTGCATCAACCCCAGTACATAAATCTAGGCCAAGTAACAAAGACTGAAAACGAACTTAACAAAGGAGAAGGGAAGTTCCAGAGAGAGAGATTGAGAGAGAATGGCGGACTATCACTTTGTGTACAAGGACGTGGAAGGAGCATCGACGCAGTGGGACGACATACAGAGAAAGCTAGGGAACCTACCGGCAAAGCCACCGGCGTTCAAGCCAGCACCTTTCACTCCAGCCGAGGATGAAGCCTCTCTTCCAAAGGACAAGTCCTGGATCGATGAAAAGACCGAACAGGACCTGGAAGACCTGGAAGACAATCCTGATCTCGACGATGATCGCTTCCTTGAAGATTACAGGTCCCTAATTGTTCATTATTGTCCTAATTACTTCATATTGAAAATGTAAATGTGAAAATTGGGTTGGTGTTGGATTAGGAAGAAGAGGCTGGCTGAGTTGAGAGAAGCAACTAAGGTTGCGAGGTTTGGATCAGTTGTGCCGATTTCAGGATCAGATTTCGTGCGGGAGGTTTCGCAAGCTCCGGCTGATGTTTGGGTTGTTGCGGTTCTCTACAAAGAAGGAATTGCGGAATGTGGAGTGTTGATGCAGTGCTTGGAAGATTTGGCTACGAAATACCCAGCTACCAAATTTGTCAAAATAATATCAACCGACTGCATCCCAAATTACCCAGATCGTAATGTTCCCACTGTTTTGGTGTACAACAATGGTGCTGTCAAAGCAAATTACGTGGGCTTGCAGAGCTTTGGCAGGAGATGCACACCTGAAGGTATTTTCACTTTGAATTCAATTGGGTTCTTTTGAGCTTCATGTTTCATTTTGCTTTCTTTTCACAGATGGAGAGAGATTCCAGCTTCTGTTGGATTATCAAATGGGAAAATGAACTGGTTATTGAAATTCTTAAGATTTGCAACTCAAGTGAATTAACAGGATGTATATTTTTTTAACACAATATTTTGACCGTAAACTTCAATACTGGTTGTGGCCTTTTGCTGCATTATGAGATCATTTTGGACCATTTATACATTTCTTTTCCTGAATTTGGATACGCATGATTAGTATGGGCCTTGATGTGAGCCAGTATTCTATGAAATTTCTTGTACTCTTTTTGATGAATTTTTTTCTGTGCACTCCTGAATATCAGGTGTAGCATTAGTCCTCTGTCAATCAGATCCTGTGCTCAATGATGGCCAGAGCGGAAATGATCGGTCAAGGAAAGCTGTGATCGACGGAGTTCGCAAGAGGTTTATAGAGAAAGTTGTGACAGAGCATGAAAATGATGATGATGGATCTTCAAGTGATTAGGCTTTATATTGGTCCCTTTTGTAAGAGTTTTGAGTTTAGATGAATCAAATGACTCTTGTTTGTGCATCTTTTTTGTTCTTGTACAACCTTTTTGGTTTTCTCATTATTTGTGAAAGGGAATGATTGTGATGTGTTAAGAGTAATGACGTGAGCTTTGTATGCTACTAGAATACGGATATGCAATTTACCAAAAAAAACAAAGAACACGGATTCGTGTAAACTGTACACATTATAATATGAGTGGACACTTTTAGACCATCTCCAACCATGGGAGGTCAAACCTAAAATTTGAGATTTTTAGCCTAAAACCTTCTCCAACCCATGCATTTGGAGGGGGGTTAATTTGAGTGGACTGAAAAATGGGGTGGAATTTCGCCTCAGATTCCAGTCCACGCATAATTTTTGTGGGGCCCATTTCGCAAAAGACAAGAGACACGTGAGGCCACATTTGAAGCAAATGATGGGCTGTTGCCCACTGCCCCAAGTTGCTGGCCACTTGTCAAAGCCTAGGCAACTTAAAAATTGGACTTCTATGGCTGCATTTAAAATGGGCTTCTTTCAAATTTGTTGTTTTCAAACCTAAAGGCTAGAAATCAACGGCTGATATTAAATTTTGGCTGGATCAAAGGGAAAAAAATTAATCCAACAGCTGAAATTTAAATCCAAAGGTCAAAATAAGTAAATATGTTATTATAAGTTGGATGCAACCAAAACATATCCTAAACTCTATAAATACCCATCAATTTGTTAGTAAAATTATGTTTGTGAAATTTCAAAAAATTTATGTCAAAATGTTCAAAAAAATAAATCACAAAGTAATATGCAAAAATTAATTTTAAAAAAATTAACCACAAAAACAAAATAGGATTATATTATTCTTTAATAATTTAATAAAGTTGCAGACTCAAATTATGAGTCCGCAAGGTTGGAGGAAAAAACAGTTTGAGTCCTAAAAATACATGAATAGTTGTATTTTGGAGGGTGAAAATTTGAGTTTAGCCCCAACATGGTTGGATATGGTCTTAGGATTTAGTACCAATACATGTAGATGGGTTATACCACGTGTGATCATATTTCAGTACTATATTATAATTACTCGAATTGTCACAATATAAAGCAATTTTTTTGCATTTTTTAGGCTTGTGGTAGCTGGAGCTCATAAGCCCAATGGGCCAACCATGTACCCAAACAGAACCAAAGCAAGATGAGGATAATTTTGTATCCGAACCGACCCGGATACTTTCACCGTCGTCATGCTTTCTTTTTCTTTTTCTTTTTTGTTTTAGGAAAAGTTATACTTTCTTATATATGAACGAAGTACAAATTGTTTTCCAGCACCCAAAAAAACAAAGTACAAATTGCTAACGTTTCTCTCTGCTCGAATCAAATCGAAGAACAAATTCAAGAAGGTAAAAACCCTAAACTCAGGATCAGTTCTTTTCGTATGTGTTCAAATGATGTTGGTGCCAGTTTTTGTGCTTTAGTATTTATCTCTGCAAATAAATAGATGCCAAAAGTTTTAGGGTTACGTTTGGTGCTGAAGAAAACCTGAGAAAAATCTAAAATTTTCTTCGAAGAATTGGGAAAAGATTGTTTTCAGCCTCCGGCGGTTAATCATCTGTTTCCTTTCTCTAAATTTTCGTGGATTTCGTTGCTTGTTTGCTGAGAAAAGCATGGAAACGAAGAGAAGCTAAAATTTCAAGTTGCATTAACTCGAAATAGAAATTGAGTTTGATTTCTCTTGGATATTTTGTTAGAATTTTTGTTCTGCTTGCATCAACCCCTCTTTCTTTTTTGGTCAAGGCCCCTCGTCATCGGCTTCTTCTAATCTTTAAATCCATAACTTTCGTGCCACCACCAGGAAAAAGAACGCCATTGTCAAATTAGTCTGTTTTGTATAAAAATAAAGAAGAAAAAATTCTTAAGGATAGCTCAATGATTGAAAATAACCTTGAATTTCAGTACTCTCTCCCTCACACACTTTTGTGTGTATGTATTTGTTTTATTTTTATGTGCTATTTGCACTCAGATGTATTTTATGAGCATTGTACGTATGTGATTATTGGTGTAGGCTTGTGGATGGTTTGTGAATTTTAAGTTTATTGTTTGGTTGACAGGTGTTGTGAATATAATTTGAAGACATGACGACTGCGGCTCGACCCACGTGGGCACCTGCAAAAGGTGGTAATGAACAAGGTGGTACTCGGATTTTTGGCCCTTCTCAGAAATACTCTTCAAGGGACATGGCGGCCCATACAACTCTAAAACCCAGGTTGGTCCTTGTCATTGTTACAGATATTGATTTTTGTTAACTAGTTTGGAGTGTGTCACATCGAATTCTAAATTTCCACCATTCCGTTCAATATTTGTGGTCTTTGTTACAAAGCCGTCTTTCTGATATATATTATATATGTGAGCTGGTTTTCCTTGGATGCTAATTTTAAACTTTGTCTTTGTTGGTGTGTTATGTGTATCTAACAGAAAGGAGGGGCAAGACACCCAGGACGAGTTGCAGAAGAAGAACCTCCGAGAGGAGCTGGAAGAGCGTGAGAGGAAGCATTATTCATCGAAGGATAAATCTTATAGTTGTATGATATCTTCCACACCTTTTTTAGTGCCTTTCTTGGGGGGGTGGGGGGTGGGGAGTGGGTTTCTTTATTTGTCAGTTTCCTAATTATACAGTGATGTGATATTCTTTTTTCGTTGTTTCTAATTGGTACGTGCGTTGTGTAGATGACAGAGATCGCAGGAGAGGAAACCAGCTGTTGTTGGAAGGTGTATATTCCAGCTCTTACATTTCACACTTTAAGGTAGAAAGTTCATTTAAGTAATTGCTCGCCTTACTAACTACATAATATCTTTATGGTAATAGGGGGCAGAAGGGACACTGAAATTGTGCCGCGTAATGTAGATGCTGATGATTCTGATGTGGAAGTCAAAAGTGATGATGAAAGGTTGGTATTCATTGCATATATATTTGAATGAAAATGCATAAATAATCCCCAGTGAATTGCTAGCCTAGTTTTGTGTTGAATTATTAGAGTTCTATCAAATCTTTTGTTGCAAGGTATGTGAGAATAGATAGAACTTACCTGATGGTTTTCTAAACTTAAGAAAGAGGCATTGTTTATAAGTCATGTATGTATTGAACTAGATACATGTTTCTGTCTTCTAGCTTCTTTCATGGTTACTATGGGCTTTGTTTGCTCAACTTCGAAACTGAAGAACCAATTTGCAGAATGTGTTTTATCACAATCACTCATAACTTGTCTGCTTACAGTTGAGGATGTTTTTATTATGAGGGAGTGTTTATGGAACTTCTTGGTTCCCAACTTCCATTTGAATTGATAAAAATATCTACAGCTCAAAAATAGCTACTTAAAGACTTTCAACAATCTTTTTCATTTGTTGGTAGTTATGTTTCATTTGCTTATATAGTTCAGTCCATTTTTTGTGGTGGAATGATATTACCGCATGATTTGCTGATATATTTGGAACAATTACTTTTTATCTTAGTTCTGAAGATGATGATGATGATGATGATGAAGAAGCTCTGATGGCCGAGCTTGAACAAATTAGGAAGGAAAAAGCGGAGGAGAAGCTACGAAAGGTGAGATATCTATGAAGTGATTTGACACTTTATCGTAAGATTATCAATTGATTTAGTCTCACTGATTGTAACGAATGTAACTTTTATGCTTCCACAGGAACGACAAGAGCGGGAGGAAGAGCTTAAAGTCAAGGAAGCAGAGCTTCTCCGAGGGAACCCATTGCTTAATGGTGCAACAGCTACATCCTTTAGTGTGAAAAGAAGGTTAGTTAAGATTTTACTCATGGCTAGTTCTGTGATCAAATTATAAAAAAAAATCAGTAGCTCTATTGGGTCTTTTTTTCTAACAGCTCTGTTCTTTCTGCATCTTTTGGCCCAGATGGGATGATGATGTGGTGTTTAAAAATCAGGCCCGTGGTGAAACCAAGGCTCCAAAGCGCTTCATCAATGACACTGTCAGGAATGACTTTCACCGCAAATTCCTGCATAAATACATGAAGTAATGTCATAAATCAATCTATATCTTGAGATGGGACCCCCCCAGCAACAAAGTCAAAATGAACTTTGTCTTTAACAGTTGTATGTACTGTAATGTTCTAATTTAATGCACCGTGCTTGATTCAAATTGGCTTGAACTGAAAGAAAAAGAAAAGGGGTGTTGAAGATGTAAGGCTTGTAAGCGGGATCTTGATATTGAATGTTACCTGTTTTATGAAGTTGGAAGGAATAGTTTGTTTGTTGAACTTGGTGATGCGATTGGTTTGTGTGAATGGTGAATATTTAAACAAGTTGCAGCTTGGTCTTTGGTGGCCTACAATATTGGTGAGATGGGGATGTTTCTAATGTATCTGATTATGATGTGAAATTATAAAAGTCGACAAGTTTTCAGCTTCCTTTGATTAAATGAGGTTATCGGAGGAATGCTTCGTTCTATGAACATGGGCATGAATATCCAGAACTAAATCCATGGTTTCATTTGGAAAAAGTGAAAGTACTGGTAAAGCAAAGTGACTATCCAGAGCTTTTTGTTGCACTCAATTTGCAGATCGACTGAAGTAATACATAATAGCAAACTGTAATGGACTTTAGATTTTGAATTACTGTACTAGAGTAACACACAAAGAGAATCTACAAATTTTCATTTCACTGCCAACAATTGATAGGATACAAATTACAGCCACCAATCTAATCTTACATCGAATAAGGACGAGAGATACCATAAATGAACTCATCTTACTATACAAAAAATAAAAAAGCAAAAAGAACTCACAACAGCCTGTTTCATATCAAGATACAATGAATTAACACACCATGTGAGTGGAGAAAAGCACTCACAACAGACTGGCAAAGAATAATGTGCTTGCAGTTCAGATTAAGCTGCAATCAAATAAATAGAAACTGGTGAGGAAATCAGACAAGCATGCTCTCTACTCAACTTTATCCTTCGGTTCGCCCAGAACAAATTCCACATACAAATCCTTAAGTGCAATCACAACTGTAGTTATGAGGGGACCCATAATTGCACCCTGAGAACAACACAAGAAATAAGAAGATTAGCTTATGATCGTGATGACCAAGTTGAATGCAAAGTTTATGTGATGTGATCAAATGTATGAATCTTAAGATATCTGATTGTCAATATTATGTGAACCTCCCCTAAGCAATGAAGAATGTTTTCAACACTGTTGTTTCATAATCTCCTCCACTGATGACAAAATGACCTTATATCCTCTTCTAGGAATTCCTACCCCTATTTTAGTCAGTTCACTAGGAAGAAGTAAAACACTCACCCCCACTTCACTAAGTTTTTGAATTGTAGAACGAGATGACTTCCTAGAATCCAGTTAAAAAGATGCAAAATTGAAACTAGTTCAACTCTTAAATTGGATTATTTTCCGAAGTAAAACAGTTATCATCAACATTGTATTTACCTCGAGTGCAGATGGGAACAAAGTCATTCCACCAAGGATGCTAAGTCCTGTAAGATATTCACTATGACCAGGTATATCCTCCTGAATTTCAGATGCGCCATAATCCATAAGCACGAGATGAATAACGGACAAGATGATGGCTACTATATATCTCCCTTCCAGTACCAGTTGAAGAGCTGCTGGAATAGTTGCAAACCATGACGGAAAGATTGGCAGCAGAGAGCTGAGGATTGCAAGAACGGTGGACATGTACAAGAAATGTATTTTGTAGAGTCTTAATAAAAGCCATGTGAGACATCCCTGAAAAATTGCAATCTCAGCTGTAGCCAAAAGAACACCAGAAATAGCATTATCAAGAACTTCAACACATCTAACCCTCGCAGACTTAGAAATTGGAAGCATACTCATCACTTGTTCAGTCACTCCACCAGACTCAGATGTGATCAGATAATACAATACCCAGAAGAATACCATTGACTGAGATACAAAATTGAAAATCTCAGCTGCTCCAGAAACAATGGAACTACCAATGGAGAACATAACTTTTGCACTACCTCCAACAACTGATGTACTACTAGCAATTATGCGTTGTGATACATCCATTCCTCGAATTGCAAACCCTTTTGCCTTCTCAACTAAATCCTCCCTGGTAATTACTAATTCCCTAACAATTGCATCAACCTCTGTGTAAATATGTCCCCATTCCCTCTTACTGATCCGATTTCTCAAACTCAGAAGTTTTTCTGTGTACGGAGATGGACTAGCTAATGCTGTTGAAGGCTCTGAAGAATTGGCAGGCTGTCTTACTACAAAATGCTTAATCCCAGTCGCAAATTCTGTCATATTATACTGCATTGCCAAACTATCTATCTGGTCTGACACTGTTTCATACAACTTGGAAGTGTACCTATCCACCATTCCAGGCACATCATTCTCCTCCATCCACTGCTTAATACCAATCTTCTCCGTGTAATTGCTCTCTTCAACATGTAATTTCAATGAAATCACTGCATCTTTACTCTCAACTCCAATCTTATACGAAAAGAATGCGACACCAACCAAAAATCCCACAATCATAGCAAACATCAACCCAATTGCCACAACGGTTTTCAACCGTATCAATATCCTTCGGGTGAAAAAGGCGCTAATTGGGCTACGACGAAAGCTACTACACCTCAAAGAGGATACAGTCGACATTGTCGAATCCACACCTTTGGCACTAAACAAAAAGCCTAATCCAAGAATTGCCAGAGAACCAACACCACCAATTCTCTCATAAGCAAGTATAAGTATCCAAAACGATACCAGCCACCTTAATAACTTGGAGAATTCACTCTGATGCCTCCTTCTGTACTCAGATTTAGGCTTTCGGCGAAAAATCCGGAAACAAACTTCTCGAATTTCAACCAGGGTACCAACAAAAACTCGAAACATTGCCACAGGGACAGCCAAAACAGTCTCAGTGAGGCCAAGTCTTAAGGGCTCAGACCAAAATCCCACAAGGGTTTGTTGTACACCTCTGAGAGGAATTGAACAAAGCACAGCCCACTGAATTGGTCTCAAGTATTCCTCTAAGAGCTTGCCCACAGCGTAAAGTATAAAAATTGTAAAGGCAAGGCCAGCATGAGCCATGGTTATGTAGAGGGCTAAGCGTACCTGGGGATCGCCGGAGAGGGTGGTTTTGTGATCTGGATCGATGGGTTTTGACCGGTCCTTCGGCAGAGCCTGGGGTTCAGGCACCTGGGGCTCAGGGGTTGATGATTTTCGAATTGAGGCTGATCGGAACATGTCCTGCCATGCAGGGCTTGCAGAGGTTGCTTCAGAGCTTGGGTCTGAGTATGGCACTAAAGCCATCTTGAGAGAGAGAGAGAGAGAGAGCTTTATATCAAAGTTTGAAGCTCTACTACTACTTGCTGTCACTGAAAACAGAGTTTCTTATTATAATTTATATGGAAGGACACGTTGGAATTTTTGTTGTTGCTGTGTTGAATTGAACTCAAAGAAAAACAGAGTTCAGATGGAATGAAGACTGAGAGACAGAGAGAGTCAGATGGGTAATCGGACAGTTGAGTGGATGAAGCAGAGAGAGAGAGAGAGAGAGAGAGAGAGAATGAGAACCAAGAGAAGAGAGTCCAGATGGGGTGGGGCAGGCAAGGCTGAAATGGGTGGACTTTTGACCATGAATGAGGGTGTTTGTGTTCCCCTGGCTCTGTAGTTTGTGGATGGCCTGTCTTTCAAGATACTAAAAAGAGTAAAGTAGTTGTATTATTGAATCACAAGATTTTTTCATAAAATATTCATTCAACACTGACCAAATTGCTCCATCACTTTTTTCACTTTTCTTTTATGACAATAAACTTAATCCTGTCCAAAACTTTCTCTAATTATATCTTAATCCAAAGGGTTAGAAATTAACAATAATAAAATCCAAGGTTGAGTAAAATTTGGGGTCACCCGAGCACTCTTTCTTCAATCATCTTTTAGAAGCTCATTTTGTAATGTATTACCTGTTTCCTGAGTTAAATCATCTTCTTAATCATTATTTAATTTCTGTATCAATGAAGAAGGAGACTTCAAACAACATTGTCTCATTTTGTCAAACTTTTGTGCTGGTTTAAAGTTTATTTGCCCAGATATATGCAATGGCAACTCCAAGACAATGGCCGGCTATCTCATAAAGACAGCATATAAATTTATGACATTGGTGGGCTATCTCACAAATCAATGAAACAGGCCAAATATAACTTGTTTTTCTGAGTACGGATATTCCTTAATCCTACTCAGTTATTTACTTTTGATTTTCACTGCCATGCTAAAAGTTTCATTGCTTGAAAGCTTCGGTGAACAAAAGTGGAGATAATCATAGTACAATCCCTTAACCCAACACCAAAGTTCCTCTCTTGATTTGAACCTCTGCAATTGGGAAACATAGTAGAGCTTTGATTTCTCAAAGTTATCCATACTAGGTGGAAATTATACATTCACATATTGCTTATGCTAATTCTTCTCCGAAGGCAAAAGTAGGCGCATATCCGGTAACCTATTGCCATGGCCAGCAAAATCCATACTTCTTCCATGCCTCCATTCAAGTCTACCATGTCAAATGTAGGTGAACTCTGCAGAGACCTACACCCTCCTTTGCTTTCACACTCATATAGTTGATCACCAGAATACTGCACTTTCAGTAGAAGCCGAAAGCCGTAGTACATAAACGACAAGTACTTCAACCACTGCATAAATTTCGGTATATGCTGCAAACCAAAACAACATGTTGTCACATGGAAAGAGTGAGTGTAATATAAAGACTCTGATGTTAATGTAAAAGGTTACTTGTGATGCAAGAAAATTTGCAGAAGTTAAAAATTGTCCTAGAAAATGTGATTTCGGGTCAAATTCCATTAGATTACCTGCACATAATAGCCTCCAGTGAGAAGAAACAGCATTAGTATCAGAGAGGCAACCATCCCAGCCCTCCTAATACTCAAAACTAGAGCTCCAAACAGTTCTCCTGCCCCCTAATTAGGAAACAATTGAAGCTGTTTTATTCAACCACCAAACTAGAATTAAATTAACTTCATGTTGGAATTGTTAATTTTGACTTACTTGGCTTGTGACAGCTACCAATAATACGGAAAACAATGTGAGGAAGAAGCAAGGAACTGTTCTTATAAAGCCAGCCATGAAATACACAATCAACATGAAAAAGGTGGGATAGAATACATGTGCCATCATGTCACACAGAGTGCTGCACACATAGTATACACTTAATCTATACATGTCTGCTTTTCTTTCCTTGACCAAGAAGACTTTTTCGAATGGAAACACGTATACGGCTCCAAAAATTGACGAAGATGTCCAGAAAATGCAGATGTAGAACATTAAGCCGACCTGCAGAAGAGTTTATATTGGGATGTTTATATATTTGATTCGATTTTATGACCCCCGGGTCACTGAAATTTACCTGATCTCTGAGTTGAGCCTCAGTGTCAGTCTTCGATTTCCACCAAAGAAGACCCAACAAGACTGCAACTCCAACCGCTTGAACCAGTCTTAGCTTATCAAAGTAGTCCCTGCATCTCTCTCTAAATGTTCTCTTAAACAATATCATGAACTGCTCACACCAGGTGATTGTCCAATCTTTTTTAGCCTGAATAGCTACTCGAAGATGGTCTGGTGCTTTCGTTGTTCCATGATTCTCTCCTTTTTCTTTTGGCTCCAGCTGAGTTTTGTATTTGAGTTGTAGGTACTAACATAAATATAAAAACACATGTTGAGAGAGAGGAAGATACAAAGAATTTAGGTGCTGGAGATTTTGAAGTAGTAGTTCTTACCCTGACCACAGCCTTCTCAGAGTCGAGGGTCCCTTGCCCTTGAGGTACCACGAGATCTTCAGGAACACTAATGTCGTTAACTTGTCCAGTGGCTAAATCAAGCAAGAACTCTGCAGGATTCATGGGAATTTCCGGGATGAATCTCAAAGATGAAAAGTACTCCAAAGACTCTGCACCCTTTCCATAGTACACAGGGTAACCTTCTGATATCAGCAAAAGTTTGTCAAATGAATGAAACATTCTGCTTGATGGTTGGTGGATAGTTGTGATTATTGTCCTTCCACCCTGTACAACATCAAATATGATTTTTTTCATTAGCACTTCTTCCACAATGGAAATATTCACAGGGATCATTTCTTTCACAATGGCATTTCACTAATTGACCTTAGCAAGTCCTTGAAGAATCAGAAGAAGTCTATTAGCTGAGGTAGAATCAAGGCCTGAAGTTGGTTCATCAAGCAACAACAATGAAGGATCAACAAGAATTTCATAGCCTATACTGGTTCTTTTCCTTTCTCCTCCTGATATGCCTTTGATAAACCCTCCACCTATTCGTGTGTGACGACATCTATGATCATATGGGAGAAAATTTAGGACAAGAGTTCTTGAAACAAAGTTCTAGGTTCACCATGGAAAAGAAAATATTAAAGATATAGTACATACCTTTCAAGACCAAGCTCCTTCACAATCATCTCCACTCTTGCATATTTTTGCTGTCGGCTCATGCTGCTTGGAAGCCGCAAAAAGGCAGCGAAAACTAGAGTTTCTTCCACAGTTAATTGTGGGAACAGCACATCATCTTGTGTCACAAATCCAATCCTGTTGAGGTAAAACAAAAAAGAAAGAGCACAACATTACCATATCAATCAAATTTCCATGAACAAAGAGAGGAGCATCATGGAGTTGGCTAACCTCCTTTTAAGAGCTTGATTATATGGGATGTCATTGTAAGTTATTTTGCCTTTAACATTGTCTAGTATTCTTCCTCCAATCACTTTCAGTAAAGTAGTTTTCCCACTACCAGAAGGTCCCATCAGAGCAAGAATTTCCCCTGGCCCAATGCTTCCTGTTATCCCCCTTAATATCTGCTTGTAATTATCTTCCATGTTGAGTTGTGAGGCTACTTTTGACACCATTGCTTTCACTGTGTTGCTAGAAGCCTTGCTGCTTCTCACCCTAAACTCCACATCTTCAAACTGCATTGTAAATATAAGCACATGAAGATCATAAGCAACAGAAGAAAAAAAAAATCTGTTAAATTTGCTTACTTCAATTCAACTTTTGGTTTTCAAATTACTACCTTAAGAAAAATTGGAAGAGGCCCATCTTTATTGGTATTAGAACTCTCATCTTCTATGTCAATCTCTGAGTACCTGTTTCTAAGGTATGCTTGAGACATGAACTCTAGGTTGTGACCAAAGCCACTGCTCCCCGCAATCTGCATAGACCCCATTGTTGGGGGTGACATTGAGATGTCCTCAATCTCATCATCTCTCCTAATCTCCATGTTTTCAGACCGCCGAACCCGAGACCAAGCTAGAAGAAGCTGAAACTGTTTTTAATGGGGGGGCTGAATATCAACTGTGACAAACCAAAAGCTTGCCTATATAGTTTTGAGGCAGGGTGGTGTTTGGTAAGCCACATGCTTTCAGTGCTTAGTTTTAGGTCTTGATGGAAAAGCTTGTTTTTATTTGTTATTCTTATTGCAACCAATTCTTGACTTTGCTTGGTAAACATGCCAAGGACATGACTAAAAATTAGCTCTTTATGGCACTCTAGGACTAGGACTAGGAATGAGAGCTCATTTCAGGCTTACATGCAAGCCCCTTTGTATTGCTTCATATTCTAACCAAAGAAATAATACTCTCAAGTCTATTTGGCTTTTAACTATCAATAATCTGTTAAAAAGTAATAAAGATAAAATCTTCAGTGCCATGGATATAAAATTGAGATATTTAGTGATATACCCATTCTTAACACTAATATTATAGATAAACCCTCTATCATTGAATTTCTATAAACAAACCCAAAAAAAACCCCAAAAATGATAGCTGGCCTTATTGAATTTAATATTGATTATTAAATTACTTTAATGCCATATTGAGTGTTTTGGGTATTTTTATGAGATTTTGGGGTTGGGCTTGTTTTAAGAAATTTATGGTAGTTTTGTAATTTATAAGAAGTTAAAGCCTCTTTGTTATGTTGTAAATGAGTTTTGGGTGTGTTTATAAAGTTCATTTCATATGGGGTATTTTTATAATTTGGACTCCCATATTGGGTATATTAGTGAATCTCCCTATAAAATTTTAAAAAAAAATACACATATAATTGATATCATTTGAAGTTTTAAAATTTCTTTCAAAATTCAAAATTATACTATAATCTAAATCACGCATTCTTCATCTCTTGAATTGCAAAATTTTCCATCCGTGTAAAATGCTCAATAGTTTAATTCTTAACTCATAGCATCTAAGTTCAAATTTAACTTGAAAAACTACATGGTTGGGTTTACAAAACTTAAAG